GACTTGCCGTAACCTGTGGGCAGCACGCAAAATACATCATCCCTCAGTAGATAATGATGCAGGGCCTCAAACTGCTCTGGTTTCAATTCCGATATACTCATATTTTGCAAAGAATCAAGAGATAACTTAACACATTATTTTACGTAGTCACTCGTAGAAGACGCCATGCTTTCTTTGTGTACGGTTATGCACTCGGCACTACTCGGATGTCTCCGCACTCGACAATAACTTTGTTGTTAGTATGGAGCTTGCGGAATCAGCCGAGGATTACCGATTGACGGTCAACCAATCAGCGTTTTCACCAAACTTTGGTGAAAAATTTTGAAACTTGGATTCGATTGGCTTATATAAACTAGGTCAAACTATTTTCGTCAGAGGTAACTTGACACGATGAAGATAGGCTATTGTGAAGAGGTTAGTGTCAAGTTATCTCTGAAGCCATGGACATAATAAGAGAAGGACATGAAACGCTGAGCTACATCAAAGGATAATCGGCTTAACGTGAGCTCTTCGCGAAACCATGTGCGTTCGGATCACGTGACCTCCCGTACAGGTAGTGAGCATATCGCAGTTGTCGATGACTTTTTGTGTCATTTGGGCAGGTAGTTCGCGATAACGTGAGTCAATCCTTCGGGTGGATGGGACAATACACTTATAGATATTAAGTATTAGTACAATTTGTTCTGTCAATTTGGAAACTATGTGAGAATTTGATATGTTTGTTCATGGAGGAATTCAAAATGCCCTATGTGGTAAAGGCAATCTTGCTTGTTGCCGTAAAATGAGCATTCAAAATTGTACAATTGTAGTGTAGTATACTTGTTTTCAGCTATTGTCCGATTGGAAAAATATTTCTAATGTCAAACTTTTCTCTCTATGTGAGAAATTAGCCTGATGCGCGGCAATAATGAAACCTTCAATCGTGTCTTGAATTAAAATGACGCAATTCCTCTACGATTTATTCAACTCGCTGACATCGTTTTAGGTCTGGTATTTTTTACGTACCGTTTAGATAAAGGTGGCATTTACACTGCTGTGTACTATATGTATAGGTTTATGTTACTTGCTCATGTGAGCCCGAATTATGTAATTATAATTAATATTTTTAACTTTCAATATGGGCTCTCGTTGCAATAGGGCAACACACACGCATTCTTGACGCACAAAAACGCACCTGGAGGCCTTTTAATATTCTTTTATCAAAGTTGACATTAACACTGCTCTGAAGTATATATATGTTTACACATTACCGCCGATGGTCTGCTCCAGTTTGAGAATGATAATTAATAGTTTTTCATTTTTAAATTGGAGTCCCTAAACAGCATAGAGACGATGGACAAACACCCTCATTGGTCTTTTAATTAAAGTATAAATGTGGACATGAACACATGCAAACTTCATGATTATATTTACTTGGGTAATGGTCGTTTTAATGAGGTAACAGGAAAAGATACTGAAAACCCGAAACAAATTTCCACGTGTTGGCGCAAGTTTATGTGCTAGCAACTGCAAGATGGAGGCAATGCTGTATCATAGCAACCACGAGGGACCGCGAGAAATTGCGTTATCCATGCAATAGAACAAAAGAATTTCAATGAGGCACAGCGCGCGCTACCTTGATAATAAGTCGTTCAGGCTCCCGTGGAGCTATCAAAACAGCTTATCTGAGACAATGGGCGAATGTTTACCCGAACGCACATAGCTTCAAAGGAAGATGCCGCGTTTCATGTCCTTTCATATTTAGGTCCAAGCTGAAGCTCAGGGTGCCATGGGCCTGAAGCCTTATGCTTGTTACACATTTTACTTACATTGGTATTACCTGTTGAGCATAATTAAAATTTGATGTTGAATTTGCAGTTAAGCATAATGTACTTTTGCATCAGAATTGACAGTAGCCTATTTTGTGCATTGTTATTTTCTGCTTTTTGTCTGTACATTTGACAGCTTTTTTCTATATTTTAATCATATGGTGAGAGGAATTTGTCTTACAATTTTCAACAAAATCGCTAGTATAGGGCAGAAATGGTTCTGAAATATGAGAGAGAGCCTCCTTAAGTGGGTCGACCATATTTGATCCGTGGGTCTGTTAGTCTGCGGACCAACTAGTTGTAAGTGCAGCCATACACTACTAATTAATTCATTTTCGAAACAAAAAAAAAATCACTTCAAGTGTAAGCTCTAAATAACAGGCCAACACCGTGTAATATCAATGTATCTTGTACAATTTCTCACAAAATTTGCATGAAATTTGAATCTTGGAATTATTTTATTTATTTATTTATTTTTTATTTATAACTGAATAAAATGTTAATGTTCAGGTATCCTTATCCCTCTAAAAGCCATCACAAAAATCACTTCTCATTCCAAAACTGCCACGATTACTTAAAGATATGACACGAGTTATGCAACCTTCTTTGGCGGAAAGGATCCCCAAAGGTACCTCCCTGAGGACTGCTTTGCATCTGCAAAATAACCCAAACCGTTTTTTACGTATTCCTTCTCATCCAAGTAGCCATCGTCATCGATGTCAAAGATGTTGAAGGATTTTGGAGCCGTCTCTGGGTCCACGCCGAAGCTTTGCAGAAAAGCAGTGTAGTCTGACAAGTCAATCAGTTGGTTGCCGTGAGAGAGGACCAGTTTAAACACTTCTTGAAACCAGGCCTCACCGTGTTCTGGAAAGTGAGGCACAGTGAGGTATCTGGACTGCATTTTTATCACATCCTCCACAGTAAGATTGTCATTCTTTTCTCGGGTGACGAAAAAAAAGTCCCAAGTTGAATGCCATATGGCTTTAAAAACGGACGCTTCGTTTCTACTAAAGTATTGATCCATTCTGTTGGGAATTGTATCCAGAAATTCATGTTGCGTTAGCACGCCGTCCAGGTCGTCATCTAGTAAGTTGAAAAAGGAGCGCATCTTGCGGGTCCAAAATTTAGGCAAGTTGTCGATATTAGTCTGTATTGAAGAAAAAAAAGTATTTAAAATGGTCTAATATAGCATTGATTGCCCTAAGGGGTGAACTTTGGCACCGTATTTCTGCTGTCAATGGGCTTGAACCTTATCACAGCGAACACAAAAACGTTTTGGAAGTGTTAACGTGTACGGTTTATCTTCTTTAACATCACAGTGGCGGATTTAAAGGGATTATGAGGGTCCTGAACCCCACCCCCTTTGATTTCTGGTCCCCGCTTGAAATTAGAATTTTGACTAGCTGAACCATAGTTCTTAACTGTACCAAATGGGACCGTTCACCCTTTAAAATACCCCCCTTTAAATAATCCTGGATCCGCACCTGCATTATAAACACGTTGATAATGTTATAAAAATGTTTGAGATAAAATGACAAATAGAACCATTTATATGACGTTAACATAACGTTATGGCTAAACCTGGTGAAGAAAATGCTATGATATACTCCATTAAGTGACATTAATCATATGTTTATCTTAAAAATAAGACATACTGTTAATATGATCTTTACACATACAGTTAATTGGTATTCATATAGAAATATAAAGTTTAAAAACGTCCGCATGATGTGTTAGAAAAATATTGTGTGAAACTTAATAAGAATAATTTCAATTTAGATTTTTTAATGAAACTTTTTTTAATGTTTTCAAAATGTTACGTGTTAGCTGGGATTACCGATCTAATTCTTCAGTTAGGAAAATGATAGTAAAAGATATACTTTCAAAATGTCCCAAGGTCATATCTTTCTGTTAACATATCTTGAAATGTTACTTCTCTTTTCAAATTAAGACTCTGTAAACTCCAAATAAAGATAACTGATGCCAATATGTCTAGCATACATGGTGATCTATACGACCAATTAAAAAATAATCATCTTATTATATAAGAAAACAACGCATTCAAGTGCAATGGCGGTTTGAGCAGTGGTTCGCGAATAAGAGAAACTGTTTTTTAATGAAAATTCGATGTAGCGGGAAAATCCCGAATAGCTTCCTTTACTAAGTGCAAAACAGTGTTGACAGAAAACACCAGATAGATTCATCGCCACATTTTTCACCACAAAGACATAAACTGTGCATTTAAATATACGACCTAAACTAGTTTGATCTTGAACATTACCTCATTGACAGGATAGTCACTGTGTTGACTGCCATCTCCTTTGCCTGCGCTGAAGGTAAAGGACTGGACGGCGCCAGCAGAGATTACTACCATGTAAACCACGCACAAAGACAACATCTCGCTTCACTTCCGGTGGGAATTGATGGACCTTTGCAAACACGTGCTACAGACGCTATGATCGCTTGCTATGTACACATAGCTCTATATATACTGTATACATTGTGTGGTAGTCGTTATTCTTTATTTGCGTGTTTATAACAGAGAGGCAATGGGAAAATGATATTCAGTTTGCATTATTTTAGTTTTTTGGTGTTATTCCAAGATCTACCAAGAATATGCGGGGTTTAAAGCTATGTTATTAGTTAACTACTGGGCGTCGACGTGACAACGCAAACAAACACCGATATTGTTACGCAATTGATTTCCTGTAGTTAAAATACCATGTTAAAGTTACTTTGCATTATGTTAGTTCCGAAAACCGACAGGTTTTCTAAGAATTGCAGTAGTCATGCTGGTTATTTCCTGTGTTTTAAAGCCATGCTATTATACTGGTAGGTAAGACATATTCACTGGGCTTGAACGTAGCAATGTAAAAATTACCCAGGCTATAACGTGGGTGATTTTCTATGATTATAGAAACCTGACAAAAGTATTGGCGTATTTTTACTAGTAGAAGTTTCCCCTCTATTTAGATAATCTTCCTCTTTTCCAGTAGAAATTACCCCCCCCCCCCCCCACACACACACACACATTTAGACAAAAGCGATTTGATTATAGTCACTTTGGCAGTGAAGTCACTCGAGACAGCTGCTACAATCCGTGGAGAGCCGATAGCTTCCCACTTCCTACGATATGGCTGTATGTACCAAATGAACAACTTTATTAAATACCACAAAACTCATACATACTTCTTTTGCTTCGATCATTTAGGCGTCTCAATAAAAAAGGACAACTTACCAATACTTAAGAAATAAATACTAAATACAGTATTTATTGTTCTATATTCATACAGCGTGTATTCAGAGGTTTATCAGCAAGAACAGGAGTATTGTGTTGTGCATTCGTAGTTCTCAGAGAAAATCATATTGCAAAGTATTCCCGGTCAATGTCAAGGCCATCCAGAGAGAGCAAGCAAAACCGCTACACTGACAAAAATTGATTGTAAGACCATTTCCAGTTGTGCCAGCGACCAGAAGAGAAGTTTCTGCTTATAGATAAACTCGTTTAACATATGATTTTACATGGACTTCACCGAATATATAACCTATAATGTTAAATAAAATACAGATGCAAGGTGCAGCCCGGCAATCAGTTCTCACACATAAGCGGTCCCAGGGTGATGTAGACTTTCTCGCTAGCGTCACCTGTGTCACCAATTCTGAACCCGGTGATAGGAAGGACATCCTTGTCTGTCACCGGGCCGCTGTCTTCTCTCCAGACTGCGTCATTCATGTCGCAGTTACACTTCTTCCCTGAAAACAACAAACCGAAATTTGTTAAATTAACAACAGCTCAGTACCATACACGAAAATATCTAAAATGGAGATAAACTTGAATCATACTGCTGCCATACAGCCTTGGTTTCAGCATTGTTTTAAGAAAAAAATATCGCATTTATTATCAAATTTGTAAAAAAAAAAAAAAAAAAGCTTAGTGAATAGATTCCGCAACTAAATACACCCCTAAAAAAATTTAAATTTCAACGGTACCTCCTGCGCAGCTTTTGGTCTGGTAACATGCACATCCACCCAACAGGGCATTCCCTCCGGGCCAGTATGACGTCACTTTCTGTCCGTTAGCTATCCAATAAGATAACGTTCCACTGCCGTTCACTGAAGGTCTGATGACAGAACCGTAACATTGGTACTTCAGCTGTTGGTGACAGGGTCCAGATCTAGCCATCAATGCTCGGATGCGCTGACTGCTACTGGCGTATGACACGTCATCTTGACAACATAAATATGACATTAAGCAATGGCATACAGACTTTCAAAACATGGCTACATCATTATTATTCAATATAAAGAAAGGAGCCTTGAACTTTGCAAAGTATTGTACATGGTTTGAACGTTGGAAACATACACATCTTTCTTTATACTTAATAAGTATCCAAAAGACTTACGACTGTATGCTCCGTTGCCTTCAAACCCGGTAACCAAGGTTTTATTTTCCTTGTTATGATGGATGACGGCGATAGGTGGCACCAGAGCCATGTCACACCAGACCAAGAAATCCGAGACACCACGGAGACCGTCAGGGTCGATCAGATAGTTTCCACTTGTCACGAACCCGTCCCGGAACCAATCAGAACATGAACGACGTGCTAGGTTAATAATAATAATAATAATATATATATATATATATATATATATATATATATATATATATATATATATACAATCACTCTTCACAGATCTTTCCATCGTTCCACTCGAAATAGAGGCTATAGACTGCCACTCGTTACTGGAAAAAGTTGAAATCTAGAACCCGCAAGAAAACTTAAGACATCATACTTTTCTCATCAGTTTTGGTTGGAACACATCCCTAAAGAGGATATCTTTAGAAAAGTAATTTCCTTCTCTCCAGTAAGTTTTTCACTCACCCTGCAATAGATTCCCTCCAAGCAGCTGCCGAACCTGAAACTCCAGGGCGGAAACTTTGTCTTTCAATGTCTTGACATCATCTTGTACAGAAACTGCAGTAGCGTCGTCACAGCCGTGAAGGAGGGTTAATGTCGCTACCCCTATCACCATGACAACACTGATACCGGCCATTTCTGGGGCTGATCCTAGTAGAAATTAAGGTTTTATTTTGTCGTACCATATTCCTGGGTTTTGAGGCGTGGCCTCTGTAGTGTAACGCGTGCTGTAGATGACAGAAACGGAGGAATGACGGGACTCGAAAAATAAGGGCAATTTACCGTTACCTGGGTCAAGCATTACGAATGTCTTGCACGCACACCTACCTTTGCAGTCAAAAACTGAACTAAAAATCCTCCGTGCTCAACTGCTGTAATATAACAGACAGGACACCGTGGCAAGGTGACCCTGAACAGGATCTAAACAATTTTATACACTATTGTGTCATAAGAAAACCAGCGAAATAACATCTACCATATTTACTATTTTAAATTGTATCCTGTTTGGCTAGTCTCCAAAAAGGATTCGGTTGCTGCCTGGCTCTCCCCCGATACCGTTGCCATGGAAACCACCGTTTGGTTGTGAATAATAATTTATTACTGGGTCTCTCCACAAAAAAATATTTTTTGCTTTTTGTCTGTAGCTTTGCTGCCTTGTTTAGTTTCTTAATTTCATTTTAATAAGTCCTGTCATGGAATAAAATAAATATTAGATCGGATAAGTATGATGACTTTTTAAGAAGATAAGGAAGAAGAGTTCAGGAGGGAGGCCCCAGTCAGTGCTGTGTCGACTTGAGTTCTCTGTCAGCCCAGAAACTTCAGTTAATACCAGTCCAGGGCTCCGTAACTCGAAAGCATCGCGTATTGCGAATAACGATATCACATAGAGGCTACAATGTATTATATTGGCGCGTTATAGAATCAAGACGCTTGCGCTCGGTCGCAATGTGCGATGATGCTTTCCAGTTAAGGGACCCAGTACTCAAATGCGATTCCTCTTTGATTTTTAGAAAGAATGTGCCAATTTTAAAGTGCATATATCAGTGGTGTAGTGAACTGTAAAAGATGGCATTTTACAGTTCAAGAAAGATACACAATTTGATTAATTATTTATTCTGTTAAATAAAAACTGTATGTTTTTTTTTAGATTGGACTAGACAGTAGTTCAGTAAAAGTGTGGATCACACCAGTCCAATCCAAGTGCTAGACATTGGGAATGTGTATGGACACAAAGGGTTTAATAATGAATTTTAACTGGATCACTTTCAATAAAAGGTACACCTACTGATCAAGTCCATTGGTGTTTAACAAAATTAATTCATTTTTGTTCCCTTGAATTTTTTTGGTCTAAATGGTCTAGGTGGATGGGTTAAGAAAAATCAGTTGGACTTGTTATACAAAATCTCTTTTGTTAGTGACTAAATTGACAAAGCTTTAAAATAAACATATTGGGACAAGCAAGTTCCTTGCAATTTGAATAGTTGTTTTAGTCAAGTGTAATTATTATGGCATGTGATAACATTCAGAAGTACACTGACAGTGTCACATAACTCAACAATACTGTAACAGTCACAGTAATATTAATAAATACAATTGNAAAAAAAAAAAAAAAAAAAAAAAAAAAAAAAAATCTGGACAAAGAGTATGGAAATGTTTAATATGAATGAATAAGGTGAAGCCCAGCCATATTACGTGCCAATTATTCACTCTCCCCCCCCCCCACCCCCCCACCCCCCGGCTTCAAGAAACCCCCATAGACAATACAAAAACTACAATTATCAACAAATTCACAATGACAGTAACAATGTTTACATTTATCTACAATGCTTATAGCTACCCCAACCACAGACATAAATCACTGTAATACAAATAAAATCAACTTTTCAGGAGGAGGGGAGTTATAAAGAGAGAAACCAGACTGGGCCAGTATTACCACTCGTTTAGTCCTATTTAAATGAAAAAGAAATGAAAAAGATCTAAGCTATCCCATTTTCAGTGCAAAGACCAGTTTGCACTTGCAGTACATTTTGATAACCAATTCTTTTCAAAACCAATGCTGTACATATAATATTTCTTCTAATTATGTATGAAAATAGTTTGCTTTTATCTACAACACTTAAAGCATCTATGTTTTATACCAACAGCATGTAAAGTATTAACCTTGGTTACCTTGATACTGCATCATTAAATAAAGACTATTAATAACAAGACATGTACAATTATATACTATACACCCTCCCCCCTCCCTTTTTCACGGACTCAAAATGGACCCTAATAATAGTAAACTAATTCAGGCTGCATGAAAATAAAGAGCTGAAAATGAACTTGCACAGAAATGTAATACAGCAGTTTCCCCTACCCCCACTTTCTAATCTCAATTTTCATTAAGAAAAAAAGAAGAAAATAAATCTATAGACAGCTCAAAATATACCACAAACTTTGCACATAATTTCCACTTTATTTCAATTTCAAGTGTATCTTTAACCAAATGTGTATTTCCCTTGAAAAAAAAATACTATCATAATGCAGAAACTTTTTTTTCTGATCTGCCAAAATTCCACATCTTCTTTTCATATTTCTTTAAATTCATCTTCCTGTCGACACTCTCCTTACGCAGCGCTTCCAATTTCCCATCACACCTTTCTTGATCACATGGGGCTGTCATGTGACTGGGGTCTGGGGCTGGAGGAGGAGGGGGGTGCTCACAGCCATGTAGATATGGTTCCATATGGTGGTTCTCATTATCTTCAAAATACTTCTCTGTAATCTTTGTAAAACACCTCTGTTGCCACTGCACTGCCCTTACTACATACTATTTCAGCAAGGAGCATACATCAGCTAGTCCTTATGCACAGAACTCTTTACATGCTGCCTTTGCTGTTGTAGATAAGTGTCGAACATAGTCAAAAGATGGCGCTGGTGTCTTGCCATTCTCAGAAGGTTGTAGAGGAGTGAACAGCAACTCCTTTCCCTTCTGCACTCACTTCATGCTGCTGCTAGTTGAATGTGACTAGATTGTGACACTATTAAAAGGTGGCACCTGTGTCTTTCTGAAGTTTCAACCATGCTCAAAAAGATGTCACTTCACCTCACTTCAAGAAGGCCTTGTAGAGGAGTGGAGATTTACACGTTTCCCTTTCTTCTTCCAGTAAGAAAACCAAATCCCTGAGTGTCACACGTTTTATCCTGGGACGAAGCATCTGGACAGAAACAAAAGTCAGTGTCAGATATTCTTAAACTTCACAAGAGCAAATTTAAATATCTTATCAAAATATTACATACGTTGCATGACATGACAAAAAAAATTGTCATAAGCCATTTTATATAAATCGCACACGTACATATAACCATACATGGATATTGCAACTGCAAAAATGGAAAATACATGTTCTGCAATATGCATGATTCCTCCAAACATTGTTTCCCTATGTCATCTGTCATCAGTCAAACTTTGCACATGTCCATGTGCCCCTGAATCCCCCCCTCCCCCCATTTAAAGGCAGACCTGTGAAGTACTTACAGATGGCCTGGATGCAGAGGCTGATGATGGACTAGAACCTACACCCACACTGCTGCTACCCTGAAAATTATTCAACAATAAAAATAATAAATTTGCCCTCTATTACTATGTAAAATCATCAGAACAGCAATTTTTTTTAACTTTAAATTATTCTATTATATATATAAGTCTACCAAGACTTTTTTCACCTTTTTTAAAACTATTTCTCACGAATTGTCAACAATCTTTTGATCACCCCACCACCCACCTACACAAACACTTTTCTCCTTCAAACAACTTTACTAAATCCAAAGAACTTATTGTGTATATAAAAACATCCTATTACCTGAGCTACTTCAGAATCTAATTTCTTTTTCTTTCTTGGTCCTATGGCTGCTAGAGCTGTAAGGTTGGCCTCTCTTTGCCTCACCTCTTCCATCTCAGCCTGCTGGAGCTGGAAATACAGGGATTGAACATGTGTATGCAGGACGGTGTGTCACTGATAAAACAAATCTGAACACATAAACCTCTCTCTCTCTCTCTCTCTCTCACACACACACACACACACACCAATTCTGTTGTGATAAAATCAATGCTATCTTTGAAATTTATAACTTACTACATGCCTTTCAGTGGAAAAAAATGCACAAGATGGATATTTCATATGAAAATAAAAAATTCAAAGGACTTACTTCTTTGGCTTTTTGCTTTAACTTGAGCTGCTCCGGATCTTCATTCTTAGACCGACTCTACAAACATGAAATTATTTACGTTACAATCCCACAGTCACTCATGATGAGTTCTAATAACATCAATTTCTTCAATTTACAAAAAAAAATAATAATAATAATAATAATAAATAACAAATAATAAAATGAATAATTTAAGAGATTTAACTACACATAAACCTATCTTCTGAACCTAAAGTAATGTAAGTTATTAGTACATAAATTTGCATTAGTTGAATAAAATCAGATCAGAAGACAAGAAGACCTCCACAGATACATCTCACTGGTGTCTTTATTTCTGTAGATTATTTCTTGCAGTCAAAATCTTAATTTTTACTAAATAATGATTCATTAGTCAAAAATCTTGTCTTTGCTGGATCTTTCTTGACCAAAATTTAAGTACTAGCATGACAATTCTTTCTTAATACGCTTGCCTACCTTTGCTGCTCGGAGCAACATTTCCCTTTCTTGTTCTTCTTTCCTCTTCTTTTCCTGTTTGTCTAACTCTTCTAGGAACTTTAGCTGCTGTTTGACATCTGACGTCACCTCGTGATAAGAATCATTCTAGAAACACAAAATATCTGATTGTGAAGACCAAATACTAAATTCCGAAGACTTTGTGAAACTCGTCAACATAAAACTGAAATCATTCTTAATCCCCAACAAATTTGGAACAGATTTTGTTTGGTATTAGATTAAATTAATATGAGCATTATGCAACTCGACTGATTACACAAACTCTACAGTAACTAAGGCAAAAAATCTTTCTCTTAGACAAGCCAAGTCTGCCTTACAACAATTAAAGTGAAACATATATTGCAAAAATCTAAACATTAAAAATATGAAAATTATATGTTTGCTGACACCAGAGGATTAAATCAAAATAAGTCAAGCCATTTTTATATTCCAAAAAGGTCAGACATACCATCTCCCATCACATTTTCAAAAAAATTCTTATGATTTTTAAACTTAATTCACACCATTAAAAAAAGAAAAAAAAATCCCCCATCACATTTTCAAAAAAAAAAAAAAAACTCTTACGATTTTTAAACTTAATTCACACCATTAAAAAATAAAAAAAAACAAACAAACAAACAAAAAAAAAAACATTGCTATCTTACCTTATATATTTCTAACCGATGTTCTGCTACTGTGGCTAATTTTTCTAATATATTCCGTAGCCTTTCTTGGGTAGCGTGAGATATTAAATTGGCAACTTCTTTTGGCACATCTTCTAACCCATACTTTCTAGCTACAATCAAAATAATATGAAAAAAATAAAACACAGTTCTAAACAACTCACTCCCTTCCTCTCTTTGCTCTGATTGTTCTTCTGTCCACATAAAATAAATAAAATTTGAACTTTATACCTTCTTAGCTGTCCTTCTGGTAAGTGAATCAAAATTTCTAACAAATAGTAAATAAATGTTAACAGGTCTCAGACAAAACATTGTTTTTAACTTTAATAATAAATGCAAAGTTATAAATAATATGACAATGTCTAAGTGATTTTTTAAATAAACTAATGTATTTGTTCTGTGTCCAGTGTTATGCCATGACCTAATCCTTGTATCTACAACTCATACAAAAATTTGTGTCATTATATCTTAACAGCCTTTCCATAACTTCTTTTTTGAAGATAACCTTCCCCAAAAAGGCACTTTTCCCACATACCCATTCCTATTAACATTTGAACAACTTTCCAAAACAATTCAGATATAAACTTTTAACTACAATAAATACATGGAATATCCCACATTCTTCACATTCACCTACCTACTGCGTTAACCTTCTGCAGCAGGTGGGGGTGTGACAGGAACGCCTCATCTTTACATGACCTCAGCTGTGTCCCTATAAAGTCTGCAGTCGAGGCGAGAATATTGCGACTCTCCTCCGACAAATTGACACCACCCATGGTTGCTACATCGTTGATATCGTCATCGTCTCTGGAAAATTTAACCGCAATATTAATTCATAAACTGCAAAACTAGAGACTGACTTCTAGTTTGATATCCTGGGATGAAGTTAGACAAGTAAGCTTAATCAGCAACTTAAGGGAAGGGTTCACTTATCTTCAAAGTAAATTCACCTCATGACATCCACCTCGGTGACAAAAATTAAATAACTAAAAGTACCTTGACAGTAAACTCGTTAGCGTATGAGAGTGCGTAATTACGCGTTGTTTTGCTGTTTTTACGCATTGGCTGGAGCCCCAGCGCGTACGAATACGCACACCTTTGGCTTTGAAGATCGGCGAAGTTGACCAGTCCGTTGACTGTTGACGGTCAGACTCATGTTGAAAATGTCATAATTGATTCCCAAGTGTCTCATTTTTTTCTTAAGATATTTGAATTACCCGACTAAAACATGCTTCTTCTTTCACTGACCCGCAGAGGATGACGTAATCTTCTCTGATTGGTCATAATATGCAAGTTTTAGGTCAAAGCACGTGTGCCTCTCTTTAGTATAAACAAGGTATGAACAACGNAAAAACTTTACTAAGGAAGCAGTTAGGCCAGGAGCATTTTTAAATCTCAGTCAAGAATAGATTGTAAATTTTTTAAAATGAGATCTTTTATTTTGAGATTGTTATTATTATATTTATTTTGAGATTTTTGTTTTCAAGCCAAAAGAGGAATGTTTTCCTTTTGTTACATTTACTAGGTAGCACCAGTTACTTTTACTCTAGTCAAAGAAACACAGCATCTAGTCGTGACCTATGCGTGACCTGTCCATTTTGTTTTTGTTTTCTTTTTGTTAAATTGCAATAATAAAAGATTTTGGATTAAAGGATAGTGGGTTATTGTTATGAAAGTGAACTGTGTGATTGCATGATTATTAATACACAAAATTACACCTTGATGAGCATTTTTTAATTTTACCCCTTCATTTTGAAAATTACCCCTTCTTTTTTTGGGCAAGGGGTACGGTACTCCCTTAGAAAAATCCTACCGAGTGCACTGCTTGAAAAATGTTAATTCTTACTTAACAATAACCAATGGAAGTTAATTACATTAAACATAACTTTTGAACAGGCATAATTTTCACCAGATTGGACTCTTACTTAAGAGATTCATATCTCCTCTTCTCTTTGTGCCCAGGGTGGTGGGGGGCCTGCCCCTGCATCATGTGCATCACGGTTGTCCCAGGTTTCATCCCCACGACCCCTGCTTGACCCTGACCCTGTTTGACTACAGCAGCCTGCTTTTGTCGCGCCATGTGAACTGCCTGCAGGTCTGCCAAGGTATATTTTTGCTGTGAAAAGATAAGTGGGGTTCATTCACAAATATTAATAGTGATTTTTTTTTTGTCAAAAGATGTTCTGAAGCTGGCCCTCTTAATGTCTTAATGTCAAATGATGAAGACAGTTTGCTCCACCTCCACAGCTAATTTTTTTTCATAATTCAATGACCATTGCTAAAAAAAAAATAGTATATCCTACTTTTACCCACAGCAAAAGCTTTTAAGCAATTACCAATATATAAGTGTGCTAGTATAATGACTGTTAATGTACAAAACTCCAGTAAGTCCAAGTCTGCTTTTCAGTTGAAAAAAAAATTATCTCAAGTAAGGTGCTCTCTGTCAATGAAAGTGAGCCCAAAGAAAGCTCACCTGTATTGCTTGAGGTATGACTTGCTGCTGTGATCCACTGACAACAGTCGTGGCTGCCGATAAAGTGGTTGTCATGGTAACAGGGACTGGCATAGAGGTGACGGTGGCAGGAATGCTGGGTGTTGTATCAGAATTCGCTGACGTGAGGGGTGCACGTACGCCCTCGATTTGGATTTGCCGTTGTGTGAGCATGGCTCGAAGCAGTGGCAAACTTTTCTATAAAACACGAATGATTATGTGTGAAAGTACATTATTTTGAAGGTCAGATCCTTTCTGTTGATTTTAAAAATGTTAGCAATTTTTGCATCTTAACCAGCAGTATACATTACCTTGTGCATCTCTTTTGCATCTTATTGCAGCGAACAACCGAGTATCCTACACTTACTCATGGATATATCTAAACCTAACAGCTGGGAATTTAAAATAACTAAAATTTGAATTAATGATTAATTTGACAAAATACACATCCAATATATATCTTAGTGATACTTTATGTCTTACAAGCATACATGTGACCCATTTGCCTAATTAAAGTAAAAAAATAACTATAACTGTAGCTACCAAAAAAACATGTAAAAATTTTTCAACATATCATTAGTCAGTATAAAATCATAATTTAACATCTGGTTGTTTTCTAATGCACTTACTTTTAAGAATGGCACAAGATACGGTTGGGGAGATGATTTCAAAGCCACTTGTAAGTCCTGGGTGAAGGCTTCCGGCTCTATCCTCCCGTCCTGAAATAATTCAATATCACAAATCTCTGAATAAATTCAGATATATAGGAAATCCACATCCAGGAACTGATGTAGGATATCAAGATCGAAGTGTCTGAATCCTTCATTTTGGTTTGGGGATGGACATCCTCTCACACCCCTACCCCACCACCCCCACCCCTACTGTTCCCCATACAATGTATTTCATTTGACACACTACTGCATCACTGTGTACTGAATAACACTTGAATAATTTGTTATTTCAAACCAATTACCTTTAGATGTTCTAAAACATGTACTGATACTGAAATTACCCACACTGTAAACTAATGTATGCAATATGACAATGCATTAAAAATATCTCTTCAGTTTATTATATTAGGAAAAAGCATCAACAGGAAACATTCTGCACAGCATATGGGTTACAGTAAAAGAAATTTTACACAAATTAAAAGGACTGCGATTTTTTTTTTACAAAACCACCACATATTAAGCACTTTCCCTTCTTTTTTTACTACATCATTGGAAACTACATACTTGAAACAAATTTATTAATATATGCCCTCACGTTTTTAATTTTCTTTTATCAGAAATCTGGTAAAAAGACTACTACCCTCAACAAAACAGCTGAATATTCTGCCTATAAGAGAGTTTAATGAAACACTTACAATAAGCCCCTGTATCAGCGCCCTCACATTCTTGACTGTCTCTGGGGGCTGATTGGAGGCCAGTTTTATCAACGTGGAGAGAAAGTTCTTGCACTTTTTGACATTTTCCACTGTTGACTGTTCCATGGGGTTAGGTATAGTGTGAGCCACCGCTGAAAGTAGGACAGAAATAAAATAATAAGAATATAATAAAATATCAGAAATATGTGATCTGCTATACTTCTTTACAGATGATCATCTGGGAGACTGGTGATAGAAAGGATGGAACAAAATATAAATCTGTGAGACTTTGTTGGTAGAGTTGAACAACAGCTAAGATTAAAAGAAAAAATATATCTGAAATGTACCAGTCATCCTCAACCCCCAACCCTGGTTCTTATCATCTAACATGTGAAAAAATATCAACTCTACTTTTAAAAGCAAGAAGAAAAACTGGTGACTGGAAGTCACATTCCCTGCCTGGTATTACCCCAATATACTAACAACAACAACAACATTTTACATGCAGCAAACTTTCTCTCCTCACTGAGCAGGTGATTATAAGGAGATATGAGAATAAACATGAACCTTTTTTTGCCATCTTTTAAGATTTTTTTCTTTTAATACATGTACAGTACACAAAATATTTAAAAGTTATTCAAAACACTATCTTTATTAGGATCCCATACAGATGAATTATCTAATTTACACTCATACACATTCCCACCCCCACCCCACTCACTATGTAAAGTTTTCTTGAGGAGATCCTTACTGGCCTGCTGTATCTGTCCCTGGGGTGTCACTGCCCTAGGGCCTGCCTGGGCTGCCCCTGCGGGGACTGCGTGCACCACTGTGGGGACAGGGGCTCTCTGGGGGGTTGGAGACATCCTGGGGGTGGTGGCACGTGCTATAGACTGCATTCCTGCGACTGCGGCGCCAGACTTCACTGTCATCAGGGACGTAGGAGAGGCCCTGGCTTGGGCTTGGGTTACCTGAAGTTTTGTTTAAAAAAAATCGCCACTAAATTCATGCACAATGGCTTGTTTTTGCTGACGTATTCATTTATTTATATAAGAGTAAAAAGACTGGTTTGCAAGTTTTCTTGTGTATGTTTGTTACATCAGATGACAAGAAATTATATTGTAAACATGCGTAGATCCTTACTTAGGTTTGTGGTACCATAAGTGATAAGTATGGCATAACAGTTTCAAAGCAAAAAAATTACTATTGTTATTCCTGAATCTGGCATCTTTAATATTCAATTTTGTTAGATAACTTTTGTCTAAACTGCAGTTTAAATGCTGTTTTCAGGCATGCTGAAACTGTCGGTCCGATCGGTCATGACCGGGAAAATTTGTTTGGACCGGTAAAAAAAATTGGACTTGGTTGGTCCAAAGGACTGACAAGAGTTTTAAGAGCTGCAATTTTGAATTTACAGTCATCATTCGACATACTTCACTAATAACATTACAAAAAACCTAAAGCATTTTTCCCCTTCCATTTCAAACCTATCATATTCACAAACAAAGTAAGCTAGCCTAATCGTACTTGTAGTATCTGTCTCAAATGAATAGAGTGATTTTTGGTCCAACAAAAATGTTTGGTTCGTGTAATTTTTCATTACTGCCAGTCCAAATGTCTGGCCATTCTGAAAAATTTTCAGCATGTCTGTGTTTTTAACTTGCTTAAAGGGATAATAACTCTTCGTTTCGGCCAAAAAATGAATTTTCCTGGAGTAAACAACAATTTTCCCATACTTACCAATGGTTAATGAATCCATTTTTACATTCAAAGTTAGTCCCTGGTTTTTTTCTTTAAAGTTTGGTTTTTTGTTAAAATCTCTTAAGACAAGCTCAGATATCAGAATAATAGCTATAACTGCTGTTTTTGTGGTAAAACAGAATATATTATATTTCTATGAGTTATTCACAATGTTTTTATTGTGAAATATAGATCTCATACGAAGAGTTATTATCCCTTTATTGCTTTCTATTTCCATTTCCTTTTTATACTTCATGTGTCACAGGCTTACAACCTCTGCCAAAAACTTTTAGCCTAAAATTGTACTTTTGAAGACATTTTTACTAGTCCAGAGCCAGACTATACAATTGGTTAAAGCTCATATCACTACTTTCAAATCTCACCATCTTTACTACAATGGGCCAAAATACCCTTGACTATAAAATGTTACCTCTGAATCTAATGTGCTGCACACTTATAAAAGTTTACCTTGGCTTGTTGGAACCTGTATTGCTGCGTACCACCAGCAACCGTTGTAAGTTGTGGCTGCTGTTGTTGCTGTACAATGTTAGGGTTCCCCGTGTGGACCACCATAAGCTGACCACTTTCATTCTTCATCAGGACTGTCCCTGGGGGTAGCTGCATCCCTGCAGGCAGGGTGATAGTGTTCTGCAGTAAAAGAAATGGCATCTTTTCACTGGTTAGTTTGGTTCGTACCTCTCAATATCTCTAAGAATCTTCTGCGCATTTAACATCTTTTTTTAATGTATATGCATATCACAGGTGGATATAAAAATGCAAGGAATCAAAAACTGTTAATTGCACTTGAATGGAATTTTATTCTAGATAATCTACATCAAAGCACCGACTCTCACATAAAAAATTTAATCATTAGCTTTTTTTTTTTTCCATGTCCCTGTGGCATGCAATGAAAGAAAACAGTCCTAAAATAAGGACTGTAGGGAAGAGTTACACATTTACAATGGCATCTTCTAAAAAGGCTGATTAATTTGGGTAGGAAAAAATTCAATAAACAATTTTTAGGTTCTCTACATACCATCACTATCTCATGTCAAAAGCACTCCATAAATGTGCAATTTTAGGATTTTCTTTTATTTAATGGCACAAGCCTTGTGGGCTACAAGCATTGTTTTCACTCAGCACCAACAGTTTGTTTGCTGATCCTTCGAGACAATACATTTGTAATGATACACAATGCCAGTTCATTTTCATTTGATATTTGACAAATAAATACATGTATTCAGGTGACAATGAGCTTGTTTTGCCTAAATTGCTGTTTCTGTTTCATTTTTTGTTATTAAAAAGTGTCTAAAGATTGGGCTGAATTGAAATAAATATTAAGATAGAAGTATATTTTGAAAAGGAAACTGTACAAAAAATCCAAGGATGAAGCTTCATGCAATGACTGAATGAAATTGTATTCATAATGAGCAGACTGCTTATGAGCTCTTGCAGCAATAGGCAATTGCTCCATTTGTTCAGTATTACAGTAAATCCAATGCTGAGAACCATGTCAATATTAGGCATTACCAGAGAAGATAAGAGAGAGAGAAGAGAGACTTCTGTATCAATTCAACAGACATGAGCCTAGGTTCAGAAAAAATTTTTGAACATTTATCCCCCCAGGTTTTATTGCAGATCTTGATGAATCTCAGGAACCATCAGAACTGAATTAAAAAATGCAGAATTCGGCATTTCTGTGGAAAATGCTCATCTCTTCTTTTACCCAAAACAAACAACTTACAGATCCTGGTCTAGGTGCCAACAAAGGTTGCTGTTGCGGTGCAGCAGCGATTCTAATAGGAGTCTGTACAATTCTTGGTGCCAGGGATTTCTGTCCCACTGCTGTGCCAGCAGGATTTGTCGTTGTCACAAACTGAATCTGTGAACCACCTATACTGGTGGTGATAGTGGGGCGAAACACCCCTTGCTGCTGCTGCTGAATAGCATTTACAGTAATAACATTGGACGTCCCAGGAGTGCTGCCTTTTAAAGTTGTATTAGCATTTGCGCTATTCAGAATTTGTATCGTCCGTGCAGGAGTGGAAGGTGAGGACTCTTGTTTCATTGTTGTCGCAACACTTTGAGGTTGCATTTTGGTATCCTGTTTGAGCACAATTTGAGATTTTTGTGAGGAATTTCCAGTCGCTGTCGTTATCACCATAGGTTTTCGTTCCCCTGAATTCTCTACTTTGATAATCCCAGAAGTATATTGACTATTATCCTGTTGTTGTTGTTGTTGTTGATTCTGAGTTGTCACTGCTAAAGGTTTTTGCTCAGCAGCTATTGTAGCTAGATTATAAATTGCATTACTGGCAGAATGGTTTATTAAACTCGAACTACTGTTCTGAGCACCACAGCTCTGAGAGATTATCACATTTGGTCCGGAATTTTGGACATTAGTCCTAACAACAGAAGAAGGTTGTGTCTGTTGGAGAATAGATTGTGTCTGAGTTACAACTTTCACCTCTCCTTGTGCGCCCCCGCCGGTTAGCTGAGGGGAACTAGTAACACCACCAGTTATCACTGTCACCCCACTACTCGCACTGTTTTGGGGTGTAGATCGACCACTAGAAATAATAGAATTGATCCCAATGAGTTGATTTGGGTGTAATGCACCTTTGTTTACGTTTGGACCAGCGTTACTTATCTGTGACGAAGGAACAGAAGTTCCTGAAGCAACTGTATGTGTATGGTTTGACCCAGTTTGTGAAGCAGAAGTACTTGCACCCGAGACCTGTTGACTGTTCACATGATTGTGTGTCCCAGCATTTATAGATATCTGGTGCGGCACATCCTTGAGGGTTGGTGATGCCAGTTGGGACTCCAGTGACCCGATTACTGCACTAATTGCGTTCTCATCAACGTCTAAATTTAGAATTTCTTCGAGCGGGTTTGAAGTCGCCATTTTCCCAGCCCGCAATCTTGTTGAATGAAGCACGCATGCTCAAAGCAAGGGATGATGGGACTTTGTGCCGCCATCTAGCGAATTCCGCGAAGCTGTACTCACTTCAGCCATTTTGGTGATTTGGGAGAGCCAGTGTAAGGAGAGATAGCGCAGGTGAAATCGTCCTCCATCGCTCGATAGCTGGACCTGTAGGTCAAACGGCCAATATGAGTGGAGGAATACCGTACTTAGGAAGTAAAATAAGCCTTATTTCAAAGGCTGGAATCAGATATGAAGGCATTTTGTATACCATTGATCCAAACGAATCTACTGTGGCTTTAGCCAAAGGTTGGTTTCTTTGTGCAGTGCGTTGCAGTCTATTCTACTTGTCTGGAGTTTTAAGCTTAACACTTCCTTTTAACTAACTAACTTTTGCTTTTTATTGAGTCATGTGCCGCCGTTCTATTTGTGCACATAGCGTTTGCATCGAAGCGAATCGGTAAATGTCATTTCGTAATTTGCCATGCACTCGACGCTAAACAATAACAATATTTATTCTCTCCACCTCTTATAAATTCAAAAAACTAGTGCCCCATTTTATCCAAAATTCTGTCATAAGTGCCTTGAATAAGCACAAAGCATACATTTTACTTACAAAAAAATGGCATAGTATTGTCTGATATTTGAATTTCGTATTTGAAATTTTTACCAATAATGCAAGAAAACCAAATCATATAATAAAAGGATATGCAACTGGGAATGAGTCAACATCTAGTATGTCACCATTTTCAAAGCCTGACTGCAAGGATGTGACCAAACATTTAAGTCCAGATGTACACATAGTTTAGTTGCCCATTCTTTTCAAATTGCTGTAGCAATTACATGATTTATGTATCTCAGAAATAATATCGCCAAAAGTTTTCCTTTGCATAATGATAATGACAACCTTAAGTTATATCATTTCTGTTGTGACATATATTAAAGGTGTGTGACCTTAAGTAGTTATTGCATGACGATAAGAGTCATGAAATTGAAGCAAGCATATATTGTACAATGTACATGTGTATATGTATACGATGTACAAATCTTTGTTAGTGCTGTGCAGTTTTCTGCAAATAAATCTGTTAAAATCTGTCTACTGGCCCTTCAAGCCTCTTAGATCAAAGAATATATAGACCCAAAGCAAAGACAGTACCCAACATCTGTACATATTTACTCAATTTTACTGGCATGCTTCCAATTTTACTAACATTTGGCATTGAGCCAGAGATAATGTTGCAAAATGCATTTATGTGACACATGAAGATAGCATTTACATAATTTGGTTGAATTTTAAAGAATGTTATGGATAGAAACTGTAGGAATTTTGTTCAATTGATACTTTCATTTTTTCTTGTTGTATGACTGTGTATTATGCTACTAGTTTCTTTTGACATGCACGTGTATCAAGTACCCTTATAAAAGCCAGTAGCATTTTATTTATCTCCATAATAAGTGTGAATTAATTTTTGCAGGTAGATAAATGAGTTTTTTTCAGCAAGATCTCAGTATTCTTTCTATCACAAATATGTATGTATTTTTATAACTTCATCCCTGTCTATCAAGTAAAAAATAATAATAATAAAGCAGTGAAGAAAATAAAATGATTCAAGTCAAGAAATCTTTTTCTAGTATGCTCCTTTGGAACCGAAGATCGTCCAACTGATCGTCCAGTCTGTCCTCGTGATGAGATATTTGAGTACATTATCTTCCGTGGCAGTGACATCAAGGATCTCCATGTGTGTGAGCCTCCCAAACCACAGAGAAATGTGGCCCAGAGTGCAGTCCCACAGGACCCGGCCATTGTGAAGGTGGGTAGATTTTTTTCATAAGAAATACAATGGCAAAGATCAGTGTTGCATCTGGGCTGGACAATTGCGTCATTTATGCATTGAAAGCAGTGTTGCCCTTCATCTTGGGAATATTGTGCAATTACTGTTTCTTTGTTCCCCAAATTTCTAAACGAGGGGCATGCACTGTCCATTTTTCAAAACCAAGATGCAACTCTGAAGGTTTTGGTAGAAAAAAATTGGTAAAGTCTACAGAAAAGAAGTCTGTAACAGAAGTGTACTTGTTTAAAGGTTATGAATGTTGGCGCCCTTTACATACCAAAAATTTTTCGTTCAACCCTGCTAGTTTAACATTTGGCACAAGAACAGTGAAAACGGCCCTTATGTCTTCAGTGTGTGTTTACGTGTGGAGCTGCACTGCCTTGGTACTTCTTTAACTCTCCTCTCCCTCCATCAAGGTGTTCATGAAAAGAAAACCCTTTGTTTTGATTTATTTCATTCTCAAATAAAACAGTTATAGAACAGATTGGTATACAAGCACATGTATCTACAGTGCACTAATGTGTGTGTGTGTGTGTGTAACTAATAGAATCACAAATATTACCATACATTAGCTATGCATTATGACCCAGTGCTTTTAAATTGTTCTTATAATAACTTATATATTGTAACCAGGGAGGCGAGATCATGTACACAGTGTGTTATGACCAGTTGTCTACCTGTTATTTGTATGTACATATTTGTAAAGTCTAACGAACATACATTATAAATGGTATATTTTCTTCTGAAATATAGTAATTCTTTTTTATCATGTGTAAATGCTCCCCCCCCCCCCCCCCCAATATGTCCAATGACCTTAAAAATACTTTTGCCTTCTTCCATAACAATCCAGAAACTGATGCCATGTGTTATATTATATATGTAACATATTCCAGTCATCTCAGCCCATGCCTCCAAGTGGACAGCAGTCATTCCAGCCTCCACCCAGTGCATTCAATGGACCTGCCTATAATCAGTTTGGAGGTCTACCGCCATATACTCAGATGGCCCAGGGAGGAGCCGGGCCGCACTCTGGCAGTGGTATGTTGTCTGTGTCACTTTTATTCAAGTGATGGATTGTTATCAAAAAAAGTAGTTATTGAATGTTGAATAATAGATTTTAAACAGGGTTCAAATGCAGATTTTAAGCACTACAAATGACATAATGTAATGAGGGGTTATGTTATGCTTAATTGTGCAAGGCCTCCCAAAAGTTGTACTACTAGAAACTCTGGTAATAAGATGTAATGCAATGGCTAAAATCTAGAAATTCAATGCTGAAGTGAGCCCAGTAGTATTGTTACTCATAATATTTTGTTGTCTAGATCTCGTAGTCCACAGAACTTTTAGTATATATAATCTAGACTGAGTGTGGTGTTGTTTGCAGTAGAAATAGCAAAATCTCCCTTATCTCTATGCTGCATGTGAGATGAAAGCATGTAGCTTCAGATATCGAGGGATCAAGTATCACTTTGCTGCATGTGTTGGTAATTTCTGTTAAATTTCAAACATTGGAATTTTATCCCCACCCCCCTCCTACAGAAAAATGTTTACAAGTATTACCTTATTGAGTTTGAAAAAAAATGTCTTATCACCAAAAAATTTTTGGACTGAAATAATGCAATTACTATTATACTGACAGGAGGGTGTTGGAATGAGATGTTTGAAATTTATGAGTAATGTCCATGGTTCATAGTTGGTATTGGCACTTGTTTTTTCTTAGCCAATTTTTTGTGTTGAAGAAAGTAGTTTTTTGAGCGACGTGCAAACATAACTTGTTAATGATTGTGAGTGACTGTCAATTATTTGCTGCTCTCTTGTTGTTTTTACCCACTATTGACAAGAGATGCATCAAATATCTTTGTGGCTGGGGGATACTTCTGCAAGGAAATAGAATGGTTTCTGTTATTCTTAAATGATCTTTATATTTGATGATAAATATTGACTATGGTTATAGGCTATCCTTTGAAAGGCTTCACATATTTTTTCTTACCCATTGTTATTGGCATTTTTTAAACCAGACCTGTTTCCTTGAGGAGGTATTCGTATCATTTCTCTCAAACTTGGACAGCTTTCTGTGGTTCACATCTTTGGCTACATTGATTTCATGGGAGTTCAGTTGGGTCACAATATAGTTTGTAAGGCTTTAGACAAATGAGGGTCCGCTCACAATGAAGCAATTGTATCAGCTACTGTTCACTGACTCCACAGGGACTCCAGCTAAAAGCAATCAGATTAACATGCCTCTTACATTAATAATTACCGGCTCTTTTGTATTCTACTCGACACCAGAGGTGTGTTAATCTTATTACATTCAGTGAGATTCCCCTTGGATTTAGTGCACTGTAGCTAGTACACAAGTTTCATTGTAAACACACCCTGACACATTTTCACCAAATTCCTTATTATTTGGTCCAACTTTTTTTTTTTTTTTTTTTTTTTTTTTTTCAAAGTGGATCATATTGGTATGCCAGCCATTTTATTCTGCATTGTGATCCTACTGAAGATTACTGTGGCACCACAGTAGACATGCAGTTATCTTCCTGTTGGTTTTGTTTTTTGCTTGTGTCTTAGCGTGTGTCGTTTGCTTGTCGCAGGTTCACGTGGCCCCACCCCACCTCTTGCTCGTCGTTCTCCCTCTGTGGACCAAGGGACCCAAGTAAATCTAAATCCAGCTGCCAAGAAGCATCCTGGTAATGCAGCGTCATGTTTTCTTGCTCCAAATTCAAAGGGATATCCAAAAGAAAAACACCATATAGTAGTTGAAATAATACACAATTTACCCAATTTTATGTACAGACATAGGAAGTGTCTGTATGTATTCTGATCACCTGACTATGTATGCTGTCACTATCTGACACATTTATCTAGAATCACCCTAATTAGCACACTTACTTTAATATAAATTTTATTAGTTTTACTTGAAATTTTGTTTGGCTAAAATGCAGTTCAAATTCAATTTGCATATGTTTCTATATTGTGTTCCACATAACTGCCAAGCAACAATTGTTTAAATTGAAATTTACAGTAAGATTATATATTTCTAAAAAATAAATAAACAAAACAGTATAAAGGTTTGGAAAGTGGGTGGGATTGAAAAGTAATTCTACACCACATTACCTTTGTCCATATATATATATATATATTATACATCTGAGAGGTTTTTTTGTCTGTATATATGCCAGCTGTGCTGGCTGGTGGTTGTGATTCTTATGGTTTTGGTTTGCATTCACTCTATTGTAATCAATATTAGTTTAGTTGTAGTTTGTACAGTAATTGTTAAAGGTTGGCTGTTGTCACTTCTTAACTCTACTTTGTGTGTATGAATTTGTGTACTGTTGTTTCCATCTTAAATTTGCATGTAACAAATTGCTTCATTCTTTGTTTAGTTATAATATAGATACTTTGCCTAACCTAGTTTCTACAATACTGTTTGCCACTGGTTTCCCAGCTTCTGTTTCAGATCCTCAACTTAGGCCGCATTCACATCAATGGACTAACCAAGTCACAGATAAAATATGGACGACCCAGTAGAATGTTTGTTGCTTAATCCCGATGGGGAATCTACTCAGTGTCAATTAGAGGATTAGACAGCAACCTTTTTAGTGGGTAGCCATATTTGATCCGCAGTCAAGTTAGTCTGCTGTCCTGAATGTGGCCTTTGTTCTCCATGTCATGACGCTTCCACCCCAACCCCAACCCCACCCCCCCACCTTCTATCCCACATTAATAACCTCTTTGTTATGTGTACCAGGTGGGTCTCGGGGTAACACACCCCCAGTAGGACACAGGACGCCTTCACCTGCCAACATCCAGCAACAACAGCAGCATTTTCAAGAAAAGGAGAACAAAGAGCCTGATCAACACCAGCAGCAGCATGGACAGCATCAGTACCAAAGGCAGCGGTCTTCAGAACGTGGACGAGGGGGACGCGGGGGAAGAGGCGGACGCGGAGGAGAAGGTGAGTCACGGGTTAATTAGATTTGTGTCAGGATAATTACTCCAGTTGGCACACTGTTGGGACTGTTTGGCTGCTTTTTTGCTTCACTTTAGCCTAACATTGTGTACACTTACTGCAGTGATATTTTATAGACCATAATTATTGCACACACCCTCCACATCTAGAATTTAAGACACTTCCTTTATTGCACCAGTTCATATGAAATGAGATACTGTTTTATCATAATAATCTGTAATAAAAATCAGAGGCCTTGTATCCCTAAGGTTTCCTCAACACACTTGTGCCTTTGAGTAGAAAACACATCTGGTTGTTAGCATGAACAAAATAAGGAGCAAGTTAAATACTACTGTGTGCTAATGATGACTACCCTAGCCGACATGTATCATCTGAGAATTAATGATCTTTAATGATAGGGCTGAAGCACAGTATGGTCACAATTGCAATCTGACATCTCTCTTCAGCAAAGACCAAGGATGGTTTTTTTTTTTTTTTTTTTAAGAATATTCACTAGTATGGATGTTATGCAAGTTGTTTCAGTTGAAATATTTAATAAACAAAGCTATTTTAGTAAATAAAGATATTTCTTAGAAAAAACAGACAATTGATCGTCAATGTTATTTGGAATATTGATAACTTCCAATTAAGAATTTTGTCTCATCTTCTGGTTTAAAGCTCACAGTGCGCCCCCGATGCGCGGAGGTCCTCGTGGAGGTCACCGGGGAGGTTACAGGGGCCGCGGCGGAGGTGGTGGTGGTGGTGGGGGTGGAGGTCACGCCAATCAACAGCCTGCCAAACCAAAGCAGCCTGTGAAGTTCGACACAGAGTTTGACTTTGAAAGTTCCAATGCTCAGTTTGATAAGGAGAAAATTGAAGAGGAGCTGAAACAGAAGTTAACGATACGTAAGTTTTTATTTTGATTCAGTTTGGGGTGTAGGTAATTATTTTTATTTGATAGGAAGTATATTATTAAGTCAATGTGAGGGACACATGTTAAATAGTCTGTTTGCGATAAATGATCCCACCCCCAGTTCCCCCCTTACAGCAGTTGTAAACTCTTGTGTAATTTGAAAATTTCGTGTGTATTTAGCTGTGCCTAGGATGGTTAAATCAGATGACTTATCTAGGGAAATCCAGTAGTCTTTCATGATTGGGATTCACTTCCACATTGCAGGTGCATTTACAATGATTTACTATGGTTGAGTAAATATGCTAATTTCTTGCCCTATGTAATTGTTTTCATTGGCCCCGTTTTGTTCAAAACTGAAGTGGAGACTAAAAATTATTTTTACAGACTCAAAAGCTTTTATATAATTTAGACGCCCTAACAGTCTGTTGTTTCTCTTTGACATTTCTAGATGACAAAGTCCCAAATGGAGACAAGGAAGGCTCAGGGGACGAGGCTGTCGTGGAGGAAGAAGAGGAGGACGTCACCTGCTATGACAAAACGAAATCATTTTTCGACAACATCAGTTGTGAAGCAGTAGAGAGGGCAAAAGGGTAGGTGGAAATTCAGAAGTGAAGTCGGAGATAGACCCTACAGTTTTAACTTATCTAATCTAAATGTCCAGAGTTAAGTATTTTCTTGCTGTTTCATCTTTTTCAGTTTTCTCAAGTTTCATAGGCAGGAATTGAAAAATTGTTGCTTCTTATGAGTGAATTTACGACTACATTTACTCATTTGGGGAAATACATGAAGCTGTATCAAATATTTTTTGCTGTAACATTTCAAGATATTTTCAACTTAATGCAGTGGCATTTTGAAATTTTGTCTTCTCCAGTGTCAGCACACGGCCGAATTGGCGTGAAGAAAGAAAAACAAATATTGAAACATTTGGTGTTGGTTCTGTCAACTATGGACGCAGGCGTGGCACGCGGGGAGGTTACAGAGGAGGTGGTGGAGGTGGATACAACAGAGGTCGTGGTGGATACAGGGGCGGATATGGTGGATACAACAACAGGGGCCGGGGAGGTTATAATAACAGCTATGGTAAGTTTGAATATATGTGATGTGGGTTTGATGGTGGGTTTTGATTGTGATTTCCTGAGAATTAATTCCATGCACAAAATGTTTATTGTGCACAGAAAAGTTTCATGTGGCTTTCAATTCTGCAAAAATGAATTTGTAAAACAGTTGTACAATAAATGGATTTTGATTTTCACCGAATGTGCAAAATGTCGAGCAAGTCTAATATAATATCTGATCTAACTTTTGTTAAGCTTGATAATAAGCAAAAAAGGGAAAAGGAGAAAATTGTTGGAATTATTATTATTATTATCATTATTATTACTACTATTATTATAATTATTTCAAAATATTTGTTGTATCTTTCAGGAGGTCGAGGAGGTAGAGGGGGAAGCAGGCAAGGTGGAGGAGGATGGGTGGACTATGAATACACACCCAGGAATGTAAGTAGTAGGCTTTTGGTAGCACTGGAGAAGCCCTTTCTCTGGACTTGCTCTAAAATGGATGCCCTTCCAGCACAATATTGATGCTTGGGTATTTAACAAACTCAAGAGTTGAACAAAATGTAGGAGTGCATTCCCAATGAAGAGTTGAACAAAATGTAGGGGTGCATTCCCAATGAAACTGTCATTCTACGTAGATTGGTCTGCAGGGACTCTCACTATAAACAATTATTATCTGATAAAAGTGAATGACAGACCTTATTGAACAGCTAGGGAATGATTAACTTTTATGTGTGTTCCATTGCACTCAAATTAAGTTAAACTGCCTGTAAAAGCCGAGTGCACACAAAAGCTTTTTACCCCCTTCTGCTCAAGGAGGCATGTCATTCAGTTTATCTGACTGCATTCAGCAAGAGTCTCCATGGAGTTAGATCTAGGTAGAAGGATAGTTTCTTTGGGTACATGCCCAAAGGTAAATTTATTGAGAAAAAGAAGTTAAATATGGGACTTTCTTTTGCATGACTGGAAGGGTTGTGTTGGAAAGGGGGAGTATGATGTGGGCATTATGCCTGATGATGCTCTTATGACATAGTGGTTTCATATATAACTAATGTTCTATTGTTAAACTTTGAAAAATATTTCTAATATATATTTGGTGTAAGCACTGGTACTAGTAAGCATATTTGATGTTTTTCCATTTTTTCGTTGCAGAGACCTGCTCCTGTAAAGTCATAGTAGAAGAAGGAAGAGGAATGTAATTTACTCATATTTTGACCATGCTGAACAAGAAAACTGATCTCTATTCAAGTTCAGGATGAAAAATCTAAAAAAAAATGGATTGTATGAAATACCTTCACATTTCAAGTATTAGGATTAAAAAAGTATGAATGAATAGACACAAATGTGATATTCACTGTTCTTTGCAAGGGAAATAAGAAATGAAAAGCAGTGTTTAACAAGTATGTGCACAACACTGGGGGAATGACGAAGCATGCTGGGAGAACTTTTCTGTCTGTCAGATTTTCAGGAATGTGCACGATAATCAATCTGATTAGATGACGTTGCTATGATAATGCAGGCAGACAGGAGGTCACTGCAGAAAGAATACTGATGCTATTTCAACTCAAAAACGCACCTTTGCAATAAGATTAGGTGTCCTCTGCCTTGCCACCAGAATTGAGTGATCCTCTCCTCTTCAAATAGATAGGAATGAAGGACTCTCGTCAGAATGGCTTGGAAAGTGAACATACTGCCCCAGACAATGTAGTTTTCTATCCCCGCCATATGTTGATTTAGTTTCATTGCATTTTGCGTAACATTTTCTTTGTCTTAATGAGGACTTGTGTATGAAGTCCACTTCAGGCTCCACATGGTTTAAAGAAAAAAACAAACCACCTCGTCACCTGAATAAGTCATTTTAGTAAGTGTGGCGAGGTTATACATGAAGTCAAAATGGTCAGTTGTTCACTCCTGTGAGGCGGGGAAAATGTGCCATATTACTGACACTGGGGCATTTTGTTGTTGATTTTGATATATATTGGGTGAACACGACGCAAAGACTTCTTGTATCGGGGATGCACAACATGGCTCTGAAAATTTAGACGTAATATCTACCACGAGGGAAAGATGGGACTTGTTTAAAAAAATGTGGTCACCTGAAGCGATTTTAGTAAGCGTGATCACAAAGGCACAGGGCGCTGCAGTTTTTGGTAGATTTGAACAATGAACCTTTTGTTGTCATTTGAGAGCTTCAAGCTTGCTTAGGCATTGTCCAAATGACTAGACTGGCTAAATGTCAATTTGATGTCAGATACTGGAGAAATACACTGTCAAATAAGAATTTGTTATCAAATCCAAGTGTTGCAGAATAAGTAGTAAATTATTTGCAGATAAAGACCTAGGCTCAAGTTACAAGTGGCGAAAATATAAATTCATTTTGCTTTTCTGAATTTGGATAGCTGTCCCCTTTCATTTCACCAAGTTGGTCACCAGAAATGCCGAAGAAATTGCAATTTTTTTGAAGTTATTGAGCTAATGAACTTGAATTCTACATTTTCCAGGCTACTATATGAAGCATACACTCCCTTCCATCTTTGTCAAGTGCAATAGGACGGTGACCTAGAATTAAGAACTTGGTGAACACTTTTGGGGAAAATTTGAGGCTTTTTACTTGTGGTTGGAAAAATGCAAAGTTGAGGAGATAACGAGACAATAAAATACTATTTGCTATCAAGATTAACAGTAGTTTGTTTTCATTTTTGAATACGCTTCATAGTAGTCGAGTGATAAACATATATCTCACACAAATCGTGATTAAATAAGTAAGAAAATCGAGCCAAAATGTTAAAAGTGACGTCCATGATTAAATATCTGGAAAAGGGTATTAAAAGTTGGTAATTATAAGTTTCAGGTTTATTTCACATATTCAAAAAGTACAAGCCTACCAAGGCACCGCTAAACCGAAACCCCAATTATTGTCCGTTGAAAGCACATCTCACCTGGAAGCAAGTTACAAGTCGGTGTAGAATATTGCGTTTAACAAAACCATTTAGACCTATCGTTTTGGAAAGTAACTATATACTTCCAATCTGATAACTGTAAGCATGAAGAAATGCCCATTTTCCATTTAGGGTGCATGCATATTTCACGTGATACAGATAGATAAATTCTTTTAAAAGGCAAAACATTATGCCCGTACCGACGTAACCAGGTAGCACAAAAGCCATTGGAGATGTGCTGCTTGCAAGCGAAGTGAATACGGCTATTTTCTTTTGAGTAAAATAGACGATATTAATAATGACAGTTGCGTCGCATTTGGCCTTTTTAGGCATGAAATACAGTTACGTGTACATTTTTTCACAGAAAAACATTCAGACTAGAAAACGAGGTAAGAAGCTGCTTTTTTAGCTATAGCAGAATAAAATTCGAAAACTCGGCTGTTGGTTTCAATATATTTGTCCTTTACACCCAGTTAAGCTTTTTATTACTTTGTTCTGTATCAATCAAAGATTCCATGTGGCTTCTTTAAAGTTGAGTTTTAGAAGTATAAGAAGTTATAGTTTTAGAAGTTTTAGAATCTATTTTACAAATTTTGGCAATATCACTCGTCAAGAAGATTCAGTTTAAAACGTTAAGTCCTGATAACTATATATAGCTAGGAACGAGGTTTCAATTACTTCATATCGTGGGTATGCTCAGATCAAAATGAATTTTTATCTGAGAGTCATGTACTTTTTATCAGTTTCCCTTTATTGAATGTTTAAGGTTCGGGGTCTTTTCTGGAAGGAAGACACGATGCTTCCGATTCTGGGAGGTGGAGGATTCGGTGCACAGTGTACAAGGTATTGCACACATCATGATAAACAAACTAAAGCTATAATGGGATAGCGGGAGTGGCAAAAGTAGTAGCATTGGTACGAACAGTCATGGCATTAATCATAATTTTAGATTTTTAAAGAAATAGCAAAGAGCAATATGTGTTAAAAGTGATTAATCATGTAGTAATGTTTTCAGTTTATCTTTGCTATTATTATTTACGTACGTGACATTCCACTAACCGTTCGAAATATTTTTCGTTTAGTTTAAAAACAACCTAGTATTGAAGGTACCAACCTCTGAGGCCTATGGAAGGTCCATCTACAGTGAAGTTTCTTTTATGAAGAGGATTGACAGTAAATTTATCTTAAGGTTTTTTATCAGTTGAAGACAAACAATTTAATATGTTGAATGATATGTAAAAGAGCATTCACATCGAGAAGACCCGAGGTCTAGCAAGGCCGAGACCTAAATATGGCGGACCTACATGAAAGGAAAACCGCATAATCCTTTAATGGTCTCTCCGCCTCTCACACGCCTCCCCACGCGTTGTCCCTGCGGGAGTACTCCGTTTTGGACTGAATTGCCAACTAGAGCAGAAGCCAGAAGAAAAATCCTCCAAGGCACCATCATTTACACAGATACAGAGCATGTCTTCAGGGATCTGATTGTCAGATTAGTCTGGTAGTACATTAAGGGAGCGTTCCCATAAACCCATCGTACTAACTGGATCAATCTAATTCTGCGGGGATTCTAGCTTAATTGCATTCAGTGTGAGCAGCTTAAATGCCTGACACGCCTACTGAAGCTGCTAGGGGGTAAAACGATAATCAATAACCCCCTTGTTAGTCAAGGGGTCCAGCCAAACAATTAAGCTGATAATACTAAAGCCCCGCAGAGTTAGATCGCTCCTGCTATTACGATGGGTTTTTGGGAACGCAGTCTATGACAACTTCATGAATATGTGCGGTAAAAAATATAATGAACAGCTCTGTCCCTAGCCTTTAAAGCACCGGTCTGTCTAAATACACAAAAGTACATTATGCACTTTTTCAACTGTCGTGTTAACTTTGTAGAAAGCGTTTTTCGTCTTTTTCGTCAGTTTCCATTGTCCCCAGTTGGTCTCACATTGAACTTCCAACACGATTTGAACTATTTATCTCTATTTCATTTCAGCAACGTGGACCAAAGAATTGACAGCATGACTGGCCTGTGAAGCCATCGTTATGAATATCATCGGTGTTTTTTTTTCTTTTTACAAGGCTCCTTATAACTAACAGTTTTTATCAAACTTTTTTTAGGCATGTCTTTAAAGTTTTTATTTATTTATATATTTCATTTATTATTATTATTATTATTATTATTATTATTTTCATCCATTCACTTTTTTGCCTTTTTACCTGTTATTATTATACATTTTTTCACGTAAATTCAGTTGGCTCTGTGACTACTACGTGAATAATTTTCTAACCGATATGGGCACCTCTCCCATTTTAGACATTGCACAGGTAACGCCTTGGTTTATTACACTGACCGCTTCTAATAAAGCAAATACTCGATTATTTCTAAAGTGAACCTTTACAGACTTCAAGCAATTTGTACGTGTACATAAGTCAAAATATCCAGATGATAATGGCCTACTGTACATGTATATAACGGAAGGAGATAGGATCTGTTTTCCGTACACATTCACTTTTAAAAGCATCCCATGCATGTGATGTTGAGATATACTGTAGTTTACTGAGTAAGTTAATATAATGCAGCGTTTTTCGTCATGACAGGAAGTGTTGGCGGAAGAACAGCTGGAGATGGGTCCTCTGACTGCAAACATCAGCGTCCGCAATATTGTTGACAATGGGGACTGGGTTCCCATGCCTAGATCTATCATCTGGATCGACCTAACTCCCTGGGGGTTCACGCTAAATTGCTATCAGCTGAAGAGGCTTAAATGTCTGTAACGCCTACCGAATCAGCTGTGGGGGTAATTAACTTTCTTGCACGCTCGGCCTCGCCGATAGCAGATAGCAATTTAGTGAGACTCCCCGTGGAGATAGATCGATCCAAATATCCGTGGGAATGGTCTACTAACCGACTTAAACGTCTGTCACGCCTAGTAAAGCTGTAAGGGGGTAATTATCTTTACCCCTAGCTGATTCGGTAGGCGTGGCAGACATGTAAGCCTCTTCAGCTGACAGCAATTTAGCGTGAACCCCCAGGGAGTTAGTTCGATCCAGATGGATCGATCTAAGACTGGGTTCCCACAAATTTTGATTGATCTATCTGGATTGCTGTCAGCTTCCGGGAGCCGAGCGCGCACAAAAGTTAATTACAAAAGTTAATTACCCCCTTACAGCTTTTAGTAGGCGGGACAAACATTTTAGCCGGTTAAGCTGACAGCAATCTAGTGAGACTCCCCAGGGGGATAGATCCATCTAAATATCTGTGGGAATGGTCTCTAAGTATGGGAACCCAGTCTGAGGGACTGCCGTAGACCACCGGCTGCTTCAATACTTCCCTCAAGTTTCACGCTTCATTTTTAAGTAGCCCACTCTACAGCCGACTCCATGAAATAAACTATCCACTTCATTACATATATGTATACGGCTTTATAACTTAAGCCTACAGCAGATAAGAACAATTAATTAAATATCTGCTACAGCATCTATTTAAGTAAATTATGAAAAAAAAAGAAGTGAATGCTCCTAATTCAAGTTTTCCTTATCCCCGCAAAATATGCAGCTTTAGACTATCTTAGATAAAAAAATTGAAAGTCATTTTTAAAACATTAAAATAGAATTAGTTCATGAAGACAACGTTTCTTTTGTAAGTGTACAGAATCAGTGATCATTTTCTTAAATAACATAATCATGTGCGTACATTTCTTATAATTACCATATTGTAAATTGTTTTATGATAACTTAAACAAAAAAGATGACTAAATTTTTGAAACTTTAATTCCTCTCTTCTAAAGGCCTATCTTTCTCAGTAGTTTCTAATTTTCAGAGGGTGGGTGATTTTGGGTAATGTAAAGAATTCCTACTCCCCCACCCGTCCCCTATAGATTACACGGTCTCCTAAAAAATGGGGTCATGTGATATGTTTACATGTATTTTCATATCATACATATTTATATGGACTTTACACCACCGGCATAAAGTTCCAATCATATTCAAAAGTCCCCCAGACCAAGAAGTGGATTGATTATGCCAACGACACCGTATTCTCCTGCCCTGAAAGGGTTGACAGTCACCCTGGTCTTATTAGAGGTGGGACTGTACAGCATCAGCGTGGCAGGATGGCCGTCTCTTGTCTACATCTTCAGAGACTCGGGGTTCTACTCCGACCTCTGTGTTTTTAACTCGACGGTGGACTCTGGAGCTTCAACTGAGAAGGAGAACGAACACAATCAAAACCACTGTTCGGCACAGGAGGAAATTTTGAACCTGGTTTTTACGGTGGCTGTGTCGGCGCAGATACTGATGCCCACACTGGGCTATTTTTACGATCACTTTGGATTGTTGTGTGTGCGGCTAGTTAGCATGTAAGTCCGGGTCTTACTAAATGTAGACAGATCTGATACAGTTGTATTCATGTGTGGTTATGATTTATATATAAATATTTATATTTAGACGAATATAAGCACAGAAAAAGGTCAGATTGAACCTATTAGGAATTTTGTTTTTAAGACCCAGCAACGAAATAAAACGAAATGAAATGTACAATATATAGATAAAATAAGGCAAAATGTTATTTTGGTCAAGCTTTTTTCTGTTAATCCTAAGGACTAATTTAAAACTATTTTAAAATTTCACATTTGATGTAGGAGAAGACAATTGCTCAATGCTGAAAAGCTCTATTTTCTGATTCAAGTCAATGGGCCGCTTCTCCACGTTAATAAAACACTGAGTTTTATGATAAAACAACAGTTTAGGAGCGATTTCTTTCTTGACCGATCTTGCGAGTTTGGACACGTGTCACCAGACTCGCGTGACCAGCCAAGAGAGCCTGGACACGTGTTTGATTAACCTCCATTTTAAGGGAGTGAAGTGCAATTGAAATGGACTGGAAATAAGATCTCTGGGGGCTTTGAAGGAGGGGAGCAAATAATTATATGTGTGTTGTTTACTGCATATAGATAATTTAATGGTACGCAGCGGATGAGCTTCTTTTTGTCCACTTCAGAGCACGATTGGCTGTCACCTTGATATGTTAGTTTGAAAATTCGAAAACCACAGAAAACGAGTATATATCACCACATAATATTTCTGTTTTAATAATGAAAATTAACAATAACAATATGGCGCTTACGTGGTGAATTTATTAAATTCGCAAAAAATCTTACCGATGCTGCTCGAGATATTGATAAATGGAATATTGGTGTAGTACTATAAATTCATTTTATGCGGTTTTATATTTCCTGCATCGTTCAAGATGACAGCCGAGCCTGTTTCTGAGTATCGTTCGAGAAAAAGCGTTAGCCTGTAATGGCATGTAGACAATTTTGGCTTGTGGGTGGGTGAAGGTGTTACATAATGAATCAGAATGTTGTTTGTTGATATTGTTCTCTTTCCGTGACAAGGTGACAAAAACATAATAGTGACTACTAGGGCAATCCTATTGGAAAACCACTTGTCTACTAGGGCTATTGGGGGAAACTGCCGATGGATTTATTCACATAAGTTCATCCGTCTATTCACTAGCTGTGAACATTTCTGAGTTTTTGCACAACATTTACGTCAAAGCTCAGCTGAGCTGTTGTCGAGAGTACCCCTCATACACTTCACGCTCTGTTAACCCTAACTTCATCACGGATATGATGTAAGGTCGCGTTCAGAACAGGTGATCCTCGGATCTACTGGTCTGCCGATTAAATATGGCGGACCATTCATGAAAGCAAGACCGCCTAATTCCTTAAATATGTTCCCTCCTCCACACGTGCCCTCCATGCAGGGGCCTTGCAATTAAACCTTGAAGACGAAATTTGATCCGTATGGAGGCGGGGAGACCATTAAAGGAGAAGCCGGTCTTGCTTCCATGTAGAGTCCGCCATATTTGATCCGCGGACCAGTAGCTCCAAGGATCATTTGTTCTGAATGCGACCTAAGAAGTCGCGTTTTAGTCAATATCCACAATGAACAGACCCCTCAAGTGCTTAAGACTTACTTAAAGTATAGTTTACGATATATCAGTAAATAACCTATTCTTTAGCCGTTATTGACTTTATTCTATTTTTTTCTGCAGAGTTTTAAGTGTGGGTGGATGTCTTCTGATGGCCTTCTCCGAGCCAGGTAATGATTTTATATTGGCATCACCTGTATATTACTTTAATATATAACTTTAGCAAAGAGACGTGAACCATTTAACGGTTACACAAAAGTACAGAAAATTTCAAAACGGATAGCATGAAAAAATAAATACAGCAGAAATAAGGCAGAAACAGATTTTTAGATTTCACCTTTACTGTATATGCAGTTATTCTTAGCTGACCTTGAAATCTTATTCTTTCAATTGCATCATCTTTATTTGATAAGACTAAACATCCTTTGGGCGTCGGTGTTTAAATCGTAAAAACAAGATCATTAAACAGCTTTATGAATCATAATTCGTTTCCTGCTTTGTTTCGTTCCAGGGTTAGAATGGCTCTTGTTTCCAGGGGCTACTCTTCATCTATTTGGAGGCAATATGCTTATGACATCAGATATGCAGCTGGCGTCGCTATTCCCAACAAAGAAATCCACCATAGGTGCCCTTGTCTCTGGTGCAGCCGATATGAGCTCTTTCAGTTTTTTGTTAGTTAAGGTATATATGACAATGTGCGTCTGCACCACCAATTTTTTCGGATTAAATTCCTTGTGTGGTAAAGCACAGTAAACATAACACCACAACGGGTGCTTTTTGAGCGAATGGGAAATTTGTGGCAATCCTTCAAAATCAGAAACCCTATCAAATTGTGTCGATGAAAATTGCAACATATACAGGGTTCCAAAATGTTGGTACTTATAATGCATTTATCTTCGTTTACCATGTTATTAACTATAGAATAAACTTTAAAGGGATAATAACTCTTCATATGAGATCTATATTTCACAATAAAAACATTGTGAATAACTCATAGAAATAAAATACATTCTGTTTTACCACAAAAACGGCAGTTATAGCTATTATTCTGATATCTGAGCTTGTCTTTAGACCACGTGACCTCCATTGATGGCTATACTCTGTTAAAATCTCTTAAGAGATTTTAACAAAAAACCAAACTTTTAGAAAAAAACCAGGGACTAACTTTGAATGTGAAAATGGATTTATTAACCATTGGTAAGTATGGGAAAATTGTTGTTTACTCCAGGAAAAATAATTTTTTGGCCGAAACGAAGAGTTATTATCCCTTTAAGATCAAACCCGTTGGGAACGATAATGAAAATACGTAGAATACGCCTTAATGCCAACAGTTTCATTTGGTAATTTGTTACAGCTACACGGGTTATTTGACATCAACGTGGATATATCCCAATCAACGGGATCTATTTCTTTCAAACTCTTCCAGTTAGCCTATGATGCGGGGTTTCCCTACCGCCTTTCATTTATTGCTATGGGTTGTGGGACGTTTATCATCGCAACTGCTACCTCGATTGTGCTGCCACCTCGTGAGGCAGTGCCTGACAAATCTGAAGAGGGTAAAGGCATTGGTAATGTAGGCCATTCTGGGTGCCTGGTGCCTGGCAGCGCGCCCAGTGATGCTGAGGCAGTAAAGGTGAAAAGTAGAACCAAATTATATAAGGCTCTTCAAAGGTTGACTTTAAGAACAATAATTGTAGAGCATGGTGAAAAAATTCAATCCAGAATCCGGTAAAAATTATTAATTGTATGAATAGTAACATAGAGTAATAACGCATAAGTAAAGAGTATATACTGTAAATATAATATAGTTTTTATCATCATTTCTTCTCATATACCATTAGAAGACAAACAACAGCGGCGAGTTCGGAGTGAGTCCTTCGTATGATAACAAAGCACTGGAAGCTGATTCAGAAATTGGTAGATACATCCACCAAGAATGGGGTGCGCATAATGACATGCCTTCTGATGATCCGGCGAATTTAACGAGGCTTGCAACACTCTGGAAGACTGTGCAAACTGAAGGAAACCTAAAACAGCCTTGTCTGAGCGTTGCCGTGATTTCTGTTCAGCATCAACCATCCGCAAAAGGCGTTGGTCCATCGGGGGCAGAGCTTGTGGGACTTGGCGTAGATGAACCAATTCCCAAGGAAAGCAAAACCAACATTGAACCAACCAGCGTTGAAGAATATATTCCATTCAGTTCTGTTTTGAAGAGCCCCATGTTCTGGTTGACAGAACTTTGGTTTTCCTGTAGTTTCCTCATTTTGAACGCATATTTTGGCAGTTTCAACGCACTACTGGAATATAGGTCGAATGGCGATCTTAATGCAAGCAAGTACAATTTTCGCCTCAGTCTGTTTGAATTTATATAACATACATATCATTTATATTATCCCCTCGGAATCCAGATTCCTCCACCGAAACATTTATGTAAATATATTAAAGATGCATTGAAAACATTAAAAATAGTATATCTTTATTATGGTTTGTATTTTTCAAAATGCTTTATTTAAACTATTAAACTTACTTCGTTGATTTTTGAGATATGCAATTTAGTAAAAGATTTGGGTTTTAGTCTTTTTGTTCTTTTATTTTTACTCAGTAAGCCACTATACCAACGTGTTTGGCTACCTCCAGCTTGCATCTAGTGTTCCCCTTGCTTTAGTAGCTGGGCATTTAGTTGACATGCAACACAGTGGCCGGGGTATGATTCAAGGTCTCTCTCTCTCTCTCTCTCTCTCTCTCTCTCTCTCTCTCTCTCAGGATAAACGATAGGCACATACTCAATAATAGCCTAGTTACTCCAAAAGTAGCATTATACAGAGAATACGATGGAGTTAATAAATTTGCATCCGTACAAAAACAATGAAATGTAAATTAAATACTTTGTAAAGTTACCGAAAAATACTTAACATGAAAATCAAACATATTATTCTTTCAGCGGAACCTAAAGTATTTATTGGCTGCTTCGTGGTCACGTGTGTGTCAGGACTCCTGCTGTGGGTGACATGCGCAGTGCCGATACTGGAGATACAGTATGTGTCGATGCTGCTTCATTGTACACTACGGACCTTCACATTCGGAGCGCACATTACATTTATCGCATATGCGTGAGTACTTCTAAATCGTTATTGTAGTTGGTCTACTTGATACATTGTATATGGAAACAAAATGATAAAATTCTACGAAGTCTTGTATTTTTTATGATCAATACACACAATTGCACAAAAGGAAAATTACGAAAAGGTTGCAGTTTTGTATCTATCAAAAACGAGCTTTGGCAAAATAATGGTTTATATTAATTATGTATTGGTAAAACAGTATTTTGCTTTGTAATTTTTTTTTTTTTTTTTTTCTTTTTTTTTGTTAACCTAATCCTGTTAATATGCTTAATAGATTTCCACGTCAACATTTCGGGAAGACGTACTCCGTGCAGCGCGCTATTACTACATTGATAGGTGCCTTACAGTTCCCACTGTTCTTCTGGCTGAAGAGTGATCTTGACAGCGATCCACTCTATGTAATTATTGCTTTCATTCTTGGATATTTTCACTTTTTCGTGTAACGTCATCCGATTTAACACAATGGCGTCCGCTAGATTAAGTCGGCGCATGTGAATGGATGTAATTTGCCAAAATACATTACTTTTGCTTCATGCGCAATTTTCCCTATCCTAAAGCAGATGGGAAACATGTTGTTTGTACCCTTAAATGGTGTGTTCTCATTTTGTTTGTATCAGCATGCATTAATCATCTGCTCGTATTTAGGCTGTAAAGGCAATTACTCCAAACTAATAAAATGCTTACTAGGATCAACATTGACCAGAAATTGGTGACAGAGAATGCGTTACTTAAGCGCCCGATATTCTTGAGATTATTTTCAAAACTGTACTTTTCAAACTTTCAGTTCAGTCTGGCACTGTGTGGTATTTCCTGCTTGATGCTCAGTCTTCCAGTATACCTAATGAGACGGGGAGGTGCGCTGCAGAAAGAGCATAATGAAGGCGATATGAAGAAAACTTGACTGATTGCATTAGTTGAGCAATGATCTTTAGACACATTCGTAAGCTTCCCGACTGCTTTTTTTACGTGTGATTTCAGAGTCAAGCGGAGATATATTGATATAATGGTAGTGAGGTACCAACAACTGACACATTGAAGCGCTCATAATGTTCGTGTAGAAATGTGCAGGCCTGTAGTACATGGACAAGCGTAACATGTATAATCCGTGAAAATAAAGTGATTGATGGTTCTAGTATTTTCCCAGTCGATAGATGCTTATTGCATTAGTAGCACTGTCACGGCGCTCAGGTCAGAGCATGATAACAAAAAGCCTTCTTGGCCCATTGAACCCAATATTTCAAGTAAACGAACCAAATAAGTATTCTGTCATTTCTGGTGTATATGCATGTAAAATAATACAACTGCAGGCGTCTTTACATCCAAAGTGTGAATGACTGACTGAGGAGCATCTAGTCATTTGGGGTAATAAAAAATGTGAGACGAGGGTTTGGGCAGTGGGCAAGGACCCAAATGAACCGTCCACTTGAAAATTATATATAAATAATTTAACAAGTAAATAAATATCAGCAACTTTTGAGTTGATTTCTATCAAAATGCTGTTGACATTTTATGAACAGATCAAAATGTCTAACAGAAAGTAAAGATTTTATATGCAAAAGACTTCTGCATTCTCTGTGAAGATAGTTATAGAAAAGAAAAGAAAATAGCAGGCTAGAAACATTTTCGAAATTACTCGAAGTTAAGCATTCAAAATTAACTTTTACTCAAATATTTATCTAATTTATTACCTTTTTTTTGCAAAGGTAATTTGTTTCGGTACTACAGAACACATATTCGTTCCCGTGACTTCCCAATTCAGAAACCAACACGTTGGTAAACACGTGGAAGATTGCCTTTTTTTACAAGTGCATTGCCCGGTCAAACGGGAACCGGGAGCCAAACCAGTAGTGCTGGCTTCCGCTTCAGAGACTAGCCCGCACGTGGTTAATTGCTCTGTGATATTACTAGCGTACACGTAGACACGATGCTGACTGCATTTTGAGTATAACGGGTCCACCCACCAACGTTTATCATAGTTTTGTTCTCATAGTAACCGCAAAAATCGATTTCTAGACAAAAGAACTCGAATTCATGAACAAGTGGCTGTGGTGCCTATGACGACTTTGACTTTTTGAGCACTGCAGTTACTGGCATACAGAATCTGCGTTGATTATTTCGTATCATATGAGAACTTTCTCTGCCTTCTTCAGCGGCGTATTGAAACCGTCTTCTGGGTCTTCCGGAAGACGGTCAGATTTTAAAGTTTACATTGCCGGGTATCTATTTTTTTTTTCTGTTGGAAGACCATCAAAAATGTAGGATGGATCAACATAGATAATTTGGTATACTGTCAGAAAATATCTCTGGATCCACTCCTGTTCTTACTACGGCTACGTTGCAAAATCATCCCATCATATCGTAGTACAATTGTTAGATAGGGCGCTCTTCCTATATTCTACACATCTCCGTTCTAAACACAATATCTTATACTGTACCAACGGCGCTGCTGATGTTGCTGACTCAGTGATGCAAAAGGCCACGTTTAATTTTACATGTCTCAAAAGGAGACTTTCTTAAAGATTATTTTACTTGTTTTGCGCTGTGGGCCAGCTGAACTGATACATTACGTAACGACCGTGGTGAGTTGCCAAGTTGTTCAAACATGGCTGGGTTTTGTTAAGAGTACATTTTCTGTTCTGAATTTTGGCTGTTTGTGAGTCGCCCCAGGCACCGTAAAATAGAACTAGCAGGGTCCCTGGAAGGAAATCAGTCTTGGGAAGTTTTGGTAAACAACAAAACACGAAAGATTGACAATTTTAAACGAAATTTTGGTTTTTACAAATTCTCGCACTGGATCCCGTTGTAATATTTCATAGCGCTTTTTCTTTCTACGCTGATAAAAGCAAAGTAAAATAAAAAGCGATACATGTTTATAAACTTCGGCCTATGTGAAATTAAGTTTTGGTTTCAGTTTCTATATTTTTTTCATTTTTAAATCTTCGGAAATCGATGCACAGTAATTGGTAAGTACAGTAACTGTGTGTGTTTATTTTTAACTGCTCATTTATTTATTGCATGATTCTTGCGATTAGATTGTTCGAAATAAATGCAAAACATGCAATAAAATAATTGAAAACGATACAGGACTCACTTTGCAGGCAATTCAGAATGATATAGGACTCACTTTGTAGGCAATTCAGAATAAACAAACAAGAAAAAGAAATACGCACAAGAAAGTGCAGTACGAGAACCACTCGAACTTCCCAACATGGCGAATTCCGCCAGGCTTTTAAAAGGCTCTGTTATCTGTCAACACGCAGCATTACCAGTGGCATCAGTATCAGTTTTAGAGCTTAAATACACGATATTCATAGTGTAAAGAAATGCAAAGGAGATACTGCTGACCTTTGCCTATGTTCTGACATTGTTGCGCCGATTCTTTGACCTGGAAACAGTGCAAAAGACTAAACATTGACCGGTGTGACAGAAATGGTAGTTCTAGGTATGGAAGTCCGGGGTCCCACATGATTACTACAGGTTGGGGTTAGTTGGAGTATTGGGGTTAATATATGGGACGAATGCCACCTGTACAATGTAAAGGGGAACGGACCACTGTTCCTAGCGGACTACCATTCTTGTTACACCGGCTTTCCAGTAGAATTCTATTATCTAAACGAGGATCTAGAGGATGGGTTAGGAACTTGCAACGGGTCGCGTTCTAACACAACAGATGACACGAAGGAAATTTATTTTCTTTCACTATCCTGTTTCCCTATGTAACCTCCTGCGCCCACACCCAGAAATCTTTCATACACAAGAACTGTGGCAACCATGGATTAGTGTTTTTTAAAAAATATTTAAGACTGTTGATTGCTTGGGTTTAGATAGAAGAAAATATCCAAGGTTCTGGGTAGATCATACAAGTAATTCTACTGTAATTTGAATTATATAAATTTTACTTACTTTATTTATTTTCATTTTATTATCTCTTTTAGATAGTCAGTAGTTGAGCTAATTGTCTACAGCTGTGGGCTTCCTGCTTCGGCTTCACTGCTGTATCTCTCTGGTCGAGTTTGCAAAATACTGGGCTCGATGGGGATTGGAAACAAAATATGAATGTCCATAGAATGATATAGAAAGTTTGAATACCGTGTCACACTCACGGATTGGACGATAAAATATGTTGTGTAGTCGCGGGGTTTGACTTCTCGAAACATTTCCCGAAATCTTTCAGTTCGTCAATAAATAAGCAAACACCTGTTTGAAATAAAATCGCATTGTTAAAGTACAAGCAATCTTAACGAGTATGAAATTTCAAGGGAGGCTGTGAAAGAAACAAATACAAAACGAACAAAAACGGTTTCCGGACGTCATGAAGCGCTCAAACAATACCTTGTCAATGAACGCTTAACTAATTTTGACGTCAACGACCAAACACGTGCAAACATGGCGCTGTTTATCAGCTTCTACCACTTTCCCGCGTGTAACGTCACGTGAAAAAGCATATTATAAAACTGTGGGTTGATTAACTCAGCATGGTCTTTTGGAGTTCAGATACAGGGCACTATAAAAGCTTGTGAACGGAACAGATGCACTGGTATTTTTCTACGGTACTCCTACTGTTAGCCCCTGGATCGCTTGGGCAAGAAACACACTTCTTTTGAAAAATATTTAAACTATGTATAAGCTCGGGTTTGTAGTATTTGCGCTGGTACTTTTTGGCAAATGGGATTCTGCCTACTGCTGGTTCCGAGTAAGATCACACGTAGGTAGTTTTTGGTCTATGATTTCTATTTGGCCAGTATTTTAATTTTTTTTTTTCAAATTTAAGCTCTATATTTCTTTTTGCTAGGTTTGTTTACCTACGTTCAGATGGCAGAGCAGGGTATTGGTGATAGCGTCGCCATCTATGGGAGATCAGGCCTACCAGCAGCAGTCAAGAGAAATCAAAGTGAGTGAATTAGCCCCTAATTATGCTCTATGCCTGTCTATTTCCAAAGGAGAGAGAGAGAGAGAGAGAGAGAGAGAACACTATATTTTTTCACTATACACTATACCGGTTTTATAAGTACACACATGACCTTCCCTCTCTTTAGCCTCGAATGTACCCTTTTCTTGTCATCCCTTAAGCTTAGGTCCCAACTACGTTTTGGACGCACGGTTTTTAAGTTCCTTGCGTCCGGCTAGGACTTAGCTAGATCGCAGGGAAGAAATCAAGTAATTGATGAAAAGTTTCTACGTGCTGTTTGCGTCCTCCAAAAGTCGCACGATGGACGTGCTCCTCACGCACGAACTCCCACGTTTTCCCCNCTTAACGAGTATGAAATTTCAAGGGGGGCTGTGAAAGAAACAAATACAAAACGAACAAAAACGGTTTCCGGACGTCATGAAGCGCTCAAACAATACCTTGTCAATGAACGCTTAACTAATTTTGACGTCAACGACCAAACACGTGCAAACATGGCGCTGTTTATCAGCTTCTACCACTTTCCCGCGTGTAACGTCACGTGAAAAAGCATATTATAAAACTGTGGGTTGATTAACTCAGCATGGTCTTTTGGAGTTCAGATACAGTGCACTATAAAAGCTTGTGAACGGAACAGATGCACTGGTATTTTTCTACGGTACTCCTACTGTTAGCCCCTGGATCGCTTGGGCAAGAAACACACTTCTTTTGAAAAATATTTAAACTATGTATAAGCTCGGGTTTGTAGTATTTGCGCTGGTACTTTTTGGCAAATGGGATTCTGCCTACTGCTGGTTCCGAGTAAGATCACACGTAGGTAGTTTTTGGTCTATAATTTCTATTTGGCCAGTATCTTAATATTTTTTTCAAATTTAAGCTCTATATTTCTTTTTGCTAGGTTTGTTTACCTACGTTCAGATGGCAGAGCAGGGTATTGGTGATAGCGTCGCCATCTATGGGAGATCAGGCCTACCAGCAGCAGTCAAGAGAAATCAAAGTGAGTGAATTAGCCCCTAATTATGCTCTATGCCTGTCTATTTCCAAAGGAGAGAGAGAGAGAGAGAGAGAGAGAGAGAGAGAGAACACTATATTTTTTCACTATACACTATACCGGTTTTATAAGTACACACATGACCTTCCCGCTCTTGAGCCTCGAATGTACCCTTTTTCTTGTCATCCCTTAAGCTTAGGTCCCAACTACGTTTTGGACGCACGGTTTTTAAGTTCCTTGCGTCCGGCTAGGACTTAGCTAGATCGCAGGGAAGAAATCAAGTAATTGATGAAAAGTTTCTACGTGCTGTTTGCGTCCTCCAAAAGTCGCACGATGGACGTGCTCCTCACGCACGAACTCCCACGTTTTCCCCATTTTTTGGCCGTAGACCACACGTAGCAGCCCGTACGTTCGGTTGGGACCTAGGCTTTAAAAACACATGACCTTCCCTGATCTGCACGCATTCGTACGATTTTGCACGGCCTCTTCAAGGTCATGTGATAGAAATGACACGGCACCGTAATGTTTATACGTACAATCCGTAACCCGTGGCTACTAACGATGTCAAAATTAAAATTGTACTAAAAATTATATTTAAGTAATCTAGGCCTCATTTAGACCAAATCGGAGAGGCATTAGAGACCGTAATTCCGTACGATTTCGTAAGATTTCGCACGCCAATTGTCTGCCTCAGCACAGACGGATTTACGGGTAGTATACGAGCACTGTACGGACATTGCATGTCTATTGTAATCTAGGCTTTAGGAATCATCTAATAAAGCGTTTACAACCGAAAGATGCACACGCAGTCATAAAAGAAATGGAATCAACTCTTTTTTTGTCGTTTTATTTTGCAGAGTAATGTGTGCGAAATGTCTCTCCGTGACATGGCGGTGATTGCAATTTTCAATGTCCGTGATGTCGACCGATCCAAAGTCACCTGGATGGTGTACCAGCAGCATTTCGGCGTGCCCCGGACACGGAAGTTAAATCACAGAGAGGCACACAGAATCGTAGACTGCTTAGGGCTGGAAAAAGATCGATTCAACATGGTACTGGTTGGTGCCGATGGTTATAAAAAGCGCACATACCGCTACCCAACCTCTATGGCAACAATATTTAGATTAATTGATACAATGCCCATGCGCAGAAGAGAAATACAAGAACAGGCCAGAGACGGTATATACTGTTACTGAGAAAAACATTTAAGAGATAAAAAGAAAATTGAAAATCATCCGAGAAGTCGTCATTAGTACAAAGCGCAAGGTTCTTGAACATGCGACTGAAAAAGACATTTGTAGCGTGGATGCTGGTATGCTAAGAAAGGAATGACATTCTCAACATATCTGATCAATATTCCATTGTAAATTTAATACTCACTGCTTACAGTTGTACAAAGATCGTTTGTTGCCTACTCGCATACTTGTTAAAGTAATACACGTATACACAGAGTACATAAAATCGCCTTTGTAATGAACTATGTACATATCAGTGGATTGTGATGAAGACTATTGCTGATGCACAATAAAGAACTCCTTATAATCGGGGAATGTATAGCAAGTACCGCTGTATCAAAAGCTTAAAATGATTACTAACCAGTGATTGGCACATAATAAAATAAGAAATGTATTCATATTGATAAATAAGTTTTTTTATTGTGATAGCTAATATGCCACCCCTAGTTTCAAAGGACCCCGCAATGTCCGTTGAATGCAGTAGTAGACAACGGAATCCCCAGGGATTTCCAGGAAATTTGGGGCCTGAATCTCAGGGTGTTCTATGATAATATATTTGTCATTGTTCACTGATGACATGTATTCTACGTCTGTGAACACGTTTGCTACAAATGAAGGATATTGGCGCTGGTGACCGCAGTTTACTGTTACAGTGTCTATTTGATTGTACTAACGGCATCTAGTGTTTTATATTGTCCGCAGGGGCCTTGAGTTAATGTACTATGGCTAAGGATGTAATTTCGTTGAGATGAGTGGTTCTTTGGCAACACATGGTTATAAAAAGTGTCATTTAGAGTGGGTGTCTCGTTTCACTGATGACACTGCCTTCTGAAAAACGTGATTTCAAGCCACCGGCAATCGTCAACAATCAACGGCAAAACAAGGCTTTGGCTCACTACATTTCGTGCTTGAAGTATCCGTTGATAAGCTGCCGTGTCCCTGGTCGCGTTATTCAAGATTGCAGCATCGTCACTAGTTGCAATGATGCTTATTAACTCCCAGGCAACTGAAAGTAGGGAAAAAAGAGAACTGTGTATTTACCAGTGACTTCAGAAGCATTAGTAATGTGAACCAGCTGCTCTCCCTAGAGCGTTTTAATTAATTAATGTGGCATGTGCTCTGCTCTTCACTTCAGGATCGGAAGCTAGTGTCACAAAAGACCTTTGGCCAGAATATCGGTCTAATCTTTAAACCAATGGTTTGGTCTACTTCTGTTCAAAATAATCCATAACACCTCTAAATCCACTCAAATATAGTACCATTGGCCTGAAACATAAGCCGTACTGGGATCAGAGTCAATTAATTGCACTCGCACAGATTTAACTTGGTTCTTGGACCAATAATTCGTATTATTTGTCCACGATTGGGTCAAACCAGTCTTATATTTTGTCATAAATGTTAAGACCAATTTAAAATTCCGGGCTGAACGTTATTGATCAAACAGAACCTTATTGGAAAAGGCCAGGTGAATCATAACATGTGACCTGCTATCGCAGTGGAGGGGAAATTCGTCTGTGGTTGCAAAACCAGTGATTGACCAAAAGTTGGCACACAGCTTAAACCAAGGGCTCTTAACGCTCGTGCTTGTTTTATACGCACATTTGTCAATCGATTAATTCTCTTCCGCGTTTTCCATTAATTGTTGTCTGCATTCCTTAAAACACCGATAACTATGTTAAAAATAAAACTGATTGTTGAAATACAAGCCAATAAATATTTCAATACTCTTGCTGTTTTCACACTACGTTGATGTAAACTAAGTGTTTTGTTAATTCAACTTAAAGTAATACCAAAGGGCATTTTTGTCATAATAAATATTTTAAATGTGCTTTATAAACATACGCGTAAGATTCATTATGTCATGTGTGGAGCTTCAACGCTTCACCAGCTGTAAGAGACGTAACGTGGCAAGAGATTGTGCTACACGCTCGTTTATGACGAGCGAATTGCATTAAAAAAGAAATAAAAAAAACCCTCTGCAAACTCGTTTGTTTGCGCCGGTTTGAATGAATGTATGAATGAATGAATAAAACGAACCTGACATTTAACATTTACGGACCCAAATTGCAAGTGCAATCAGAAACCATTCTAGGGAGTGTTTTGCTTCCTGCGTATTGTATGAACTACAGTGTTGAATGAGCGCAGAAATCCCATGGAATTCACCGAAAATATCGCAATTCTTCTTTATACTGCGCCCCCATTTAGGCTTAAGCTCAAATCTAGGAAATGAGCGCGTATCGGATGGGGTTGTTAATTCTAATAACAGTTCTACAAATAAGCACGCACTGTGTTTGGTAAAAACAGATGACAAACAATGGAAGGAATGGTATAATTTCCAATCAACAAACGTACATGTTCAGTAGTGTTAGTGCTGTCTAACAAACACTAAAAAAAGGCCATTAATGTCCTTTATGCAACGATTTATCGTTTGCCGTAAGTTGACTTAATGTTCGTGACTAGGAGATATCATATTATGTAATCAAAACTTATAGGCAGAGGGTGAGCTGGTAGCGGTATTGCCAATTGAACTGTTTCTCATAATGCTTTATGTTCTATTTGTTATATTTAAGGGGGTTTAATATTCGTAAGGTTTATTTTAACCATCCACTTAGGTAATCCGGATTTATACATCGTCATGTAATGAGATAATGATGTGGCATTAAAATACATTGAGGTGAATTTGTTAACTCGAGCTGATGATGTAACAGCGGCGGTTTTGGTAAGAAAACTGTGTTGATTTCAAACAGATGTCCCTCACCTGACCAACTTCTGACTTTATCGGCCAAAATTATGCCTTTCTTTAATTGAAAATCCCAATTAAGGTTTTTAATCTGGTAAACAAAAGAGGCATGTAGCCAAATACGTGTGTGTATAACGTATCGATCCCCCTTAAACGTTATCAATTGATTGGATTATTCGGGGATATGCGGATCCAATATTCCCCTCCATTAAAGAGAAAGAAGCCAATTGACGCCCGGAATCGAGCTTTTCCCAGCCACCTAAAATACTTTAAATTGCTAGAAGATTCATTAAGTGGAGATGTCAATCCTTTCACAACATTCTTTCAATTTACCTTTTAAACAAAATTTTAATAAAAAGGAATGGGTAATTTTTAATATCCTGTATCCTCTAGCACAATTCAACTCCATGATTATTGCTGTAGAATTAGCACCCCTGCAATAACTGCAGATTAACAAAGTTTTGTGCTTTTCGCCTTTGCATCTGTTCCACACTTGAGAAACTATATATGATTTCTGTCCCAGCATTAGGTCCACTTACGTCGTGTTAACCCTAACCTGTATGATTCTCACGGTTGGTGAACCTTCTGGTACACCACCCTCAGTTCCTTAGCACCAGCGTTTATTGGTCTTGAATTTTCAGTTTCTTTTGATATAGACTTCTATGGGTCTGTGAGTGGCTATGGAGCGCAAACGAATAACGCAGGGAGTGGTCCTAATTGTGCCCTAAATACAACAATTGCAACCAGTGTTTCAGAGTTTCTACATCCAGAATACCCGTGCCACTATGTGCAGTGCCATGCATCCAGGGCGGAGAGGTAAAAATACACTGTTTGCGGGAGTGATTGAAATTATTCTTTGCTCAGAATTTGTGTAAAGTATGCTGGGATAGTGTCAATAATATCTATCATATGAAGGGGAAATATTTACAAGTGTTTACAGTAGTTATTCTTTTTTCCTTGTATTGAAAGCTGCGAGAGTCAACATTGGACTTAAATGTTTGTTCAATGGAGGGGAGAAATGATGCAGAAACAGTCTTTTTATATTTTCATGTCTAAAACGTGATTACCTATGTCGTATTATTGCCACTTAGCCCAAACAAATACCACCATAGTGCTTCAAACGACAATAAATGTTGAAGATACAGCCCAGAGTTTTTTCACATTATTTCCTTAAAATTATATTTGCACATAAACTGAAGAAAGTGCAGTTTTAGTGCTGCCCGAAAGATTAATTTCGGCTGTTTTTTTTTTTTTTTTGGACATATGGATTTTCTTTGCTTTGTGCGAGTAAATGGTACTGATGATTAACTCGTATACTGTATAAGGTGCAGGGTATTAACTCTCCCTTTATATATATATATATCTTTAATAATTTGTCGAATCGAATGTATTACGTTACATTCTATCAGAACTGTGACCATGTCAACGTTAAACGCAAAGTGTGATTCACTATCCCATTTGCTGCCAAGTATCATTTTGATAAATAATACATTTGTGCATCTGAAAACGGTAAAGATGATGTCCTTGGTAATGACTATCATCCAATCACGCATGCCATGGTACAACAATGACTCTTTTTCATTATTCATAATCGACCAAACGACATATTTATTTAGACTGCCGGCGTGAATCTTTTATGAAATGCATGTAGCAATACATGTGACTACAGTAATTAGTCGTATATAATATACTGCATATTGATACACCAAATTCTATATACGCTCGGAAGTAGAATTATCTGCTTTTCAGGCTTATTAGTCATCAGTGCTCTTTTTGTTCACTTTATGGATGGTGTGTAATTCTACATCTCATATTACTGAGACAATGAATCAATAATGCAATGTAAAAATGGGATTAATTTTCACCCCAAACACCGATAAATAGGCGTCAATGGGAAATGAAAAGTGAAGAAGACTTACCAAATAGATTGTCTTGAAATTCATATGTAAAAGAGAGAGACAGAGCTCTGCCTGTAAAAAGCAAAATAGAAGCAGAGAATTACAGGACAAAACAGTGACTGTATAACAAGAACGTGGCAGACAGAAGGAAAAACTCGACCTCTCAGTCGCGTCATTCTTAATTTTGTAGCCTTTAGGTATACAATAAAAACATTTTTTCAAGATAATAAAATAGACCATATAATTCACCACTTGTCAAACAATACAAACACGTTGATACAGTAAATAATGAGCAATTTGAATGAAAACAAGGTAGACGATCTGCATAATTATATAATGCCAATGACTAAATAGAGAACAAACTGTAAAACGTATAAAATTATTTACATGTCACTTACATCAATAAAAGTCACCAGACGAATGATTTAATGTCTTTATAGACCTGACATTGTGCCATCAGCCATGTTTTAAAGAAGCTAGGTATGGACTTTGGTTGTGAAATTTGCCTCGTTCAAAAAACTAATATACTGCTATACATAAATAAGTACCGTCTTCCAATAAAATATATAAAAAAATACACACCAGAAACATTATTGGAGTACTAATACGTGGTCAAACCACACAAAAAAGACTGACACGTTGACAATGGGAGTATTGCCAAACCCACATTATATTTACTACGATTTTTTGTGCTCAAATATTATCATCATTAAGACCATGGTTTACAACTAACTGCTCAATTTGGGCCTGATGTTGGCAGTATATTATGAGCATTATATTTAACAATTGTTACTGAAATAAATATCAGACGTTTTCATCTGATCCGCGTTGCAGTGTTAAAATGAATCATTGCCTGATTTGGTATTCAATGTCCAGTCGGTTTAACTTCCCAAAATACAATTCATTTTACACTTTTGCAAAATAGAAAAGGGCAGATTGTCTCAGTCGTCAAACAGAGCTATCAAACTACGTTTTATATCCAAACTCATAATCTGGATCAATTTCACATAATTATACTAAATCTAAAAATAATTTTCGTAACTTCAAAGATAATATGCAATCAAAAGCTGCCCTTTTTCCCCTCCTGAATATCTGATGAAAAATAAAACAAATCAAACAAGCTACACCTACACATATCTACAGGACTACAGTTCCCGTGTAAATGTTCGAGACAGACTGCAACATAAACATGTCTTTTCAACATGTGCAAACGCCATTTAACGACCTTTCGGTGCAGTTCATGAAGCGGAAAGGTTAAAGGTCAGGAAAATCACATAAACGTCACTACATCCAGAGAATCTCGTCCAATGTGGTCATCCCGTAGGCCTGAGGACTGCGCGATTCAGGCACATGTTTTCCGGCTATGTGCCCATCGATTAGAAACTCTTTCCCCAGCTTCTCTTGTGACCACAGCAATACCTTATCTATGTGCGGAGTATCCACGCCGACTATTTCCGCAATACCTCGAATCACAACCAGGCCGTATGGGATATCCTCGGAGAGATAGCGATTGTTGAAATCCGGGCTAAGTTTCCCGTCTTCGGTGGCAACCATTGGGAACCGAAGTCCCTCGTAGGCGGTGTTTGAGAGAAACGCGGTCTTCAGATTACTTTTGTCTAAAATGTGATCTTCGTAGATCTCCAGAATATAAGGGAACAGACCTTTTACTTTGCTGAGGTCAACGTTGGGGCGGAGTTCCATGATTCTCTTGGCCAATCCTTCCACCTCTTCGTGAACTTGGGTCATTTCCTTGATGGAGCTGTCCGTGACCCCATGGTACAACAGAGGGGCTCTGGACACCGGCTGACCATCCCAGTTAGCCCACTCGGCGTACATCATAGTGGGATGGACGTAAGCATTGGGAGACAGGAGGGTGATTCCCAGGATATGGCCGCTAACGTCTAGAACGGGCACCTCACCGACAAGATATTGAAGAGTTTCTACGGCGTTTCTGTCATGAGGGAATACCGTTTCACAATTCCCGTGAAGAGCTCCGTGGATTACTTTCTTTATGCCTAATACTTCTACGCTGTGGCCGTACTCCTTGAGTCTTGCTGCCCAGGGTAGTGTGTCAAAGGTCATCACTGATATAGATTTTGCAACATCTTTTAAGACGTCATTTACTTCGAATTCGAAACCAGAAGAGCCAGGCAAGGCAACCAATAAGCTGCCTGGCTTGAGGAATGGTTTCATTGCATTAAGGTACTGCGCATGCCCATAGGCTGGCACTGCAAATACAACTAAATCACATCCGGGCACTACCTCTTCCGGGTACTTCGAAACAGTGAACGGATTTGCCTGTAGATCAATATCCGGTTGACCTCGGTGACCTTTGATGATAACGTTAAATCCCCTTAATTTCATTGCTTCTGTCCATTTATCTGCTTCGTCGGCAAAAATAGTGAGAACTCGGACCTCGACTCCCTGCCTCGTGGCGGCCAGGCCAGCCATCACGTGCGCTGCATTGCCGCCGCCACAAATAAGAACTCGCACTGGATTGGTCATTTTCGGCTTGCTTTTGGGCGTTCTTTTTAATTTTCGATATAGGTCTGCAAAAAGAAGGATACACCTGGATAATCAACTGACAAGGTCTTTGCTACACGTACGTGTTCGTTAATGGACTGCAAACAATTTACGGCGTTTCTATATGTATTCAGTCGCTGTCTACTAAATGGCGCTAAACTAACGTTAACTGAACATAGAATCAACAATGTAAAGGACATGGAGCTTCCGCAATTTAAGAAGAATACGCAGGATAGATTGGTCTTTCTACATTTGGGGAGGCAATTCACTCTGAACAAAAACGCACATTAAAAGTTAGATGATATTTACCACAGACAAATGTAAGGAAGCGCCTAGAAGTATACGTTAAAATCTTGAGTAGAGAATTATCTGTAATTTAAAGGTGCACAGAGATGCACTTATCAAAACATTATTCCTCTGCGATATAGGATAATCATTGTGATACCATCTAGCAGTCAATTAAATTTCATGGAGACTAATATCCCAAATATAACGCTTAATGCGTGTAACAACGACATCGATGCAATTAAAAGATAGGTCAATAGTTTCTTAACAATTGTTACCGCAGTTATTGGGCAAAACACGAGCAAAAAAGATCACCATGGAAACGCTGTTTTAACCACTTAAAGAGCAGAAGCAACTGACCATTAATCTCGTCAGTATCTATAACCGTCTCCCAGTGAACCTAAGACCTAGCAGCTATCTATAAACTGAAGCGCTACAGTATCTCTTAACGAGCGTAAAGACTTCGCCCTCATCATATATTATTTACGGTTCATCTACAAAGATATATGCCACGCTGATGTACAGCAAAGCGTTGTAATAATATGCAAGTGAGTCTCTCCTAAACTAAACTGAACAATGTACAGCCTCATTGTATTGTGAGGAAGGCATCCATGCTTCACCCCGAGTTTCAAAGGCCACTGGAAACTCTCGCCTATTTTCCGGAATCGGAGGAGAGTTGGCAGTGACCTCTAAAACACAGGGTGCAAGCCACGGAGGCACGTTGGCATGTTATTTTAAACTTTCATTAGACTGTATTATGACAGCAAATGAGTACGAACAAAGTTGCCAGCATCAAAAGTAAAACGTGTAGATATTCTGTTGACTTCGTTTTGCATGTATTAAAGTTCGATTTTAGTACATCTAAAAGAACAGATCGATACCGGGTACTAGTGCTTATCGTGACCTAATTAATATACGGAAAACTGATACTTAAAAACACACACGAAAATCGGTCAGGCTATTCAGGTAAAAAGCATATGTCGTGTATGTATCAACGGCATGTTTTTTGTTCTACTGTTGTCCTATAATTCATTTGCACGCACTGCCCGATAACAACCTATTTTACATGTATTGGCAGAAACATAGTCTCAAACTACCTCTGACTGCAAATTTCAAATCCGTGCAGTCTTCACGTTAACCTTACATATCTTACCTGTAACTTGGCCCTGTAGTGCTATATCTGCTGACGTGGATCTTAAAGATAACCCATAAAAAGGGTCATGCAGGGATTGCCCAGACTACTGCTACACCGGCGTTGTTATAAAGGAGCCTCTATTTACACCACCACGCGGCTTCGGCAGAAGACCTGGAAATGACGTTGGTTCTCGAAGCGCGTGATTATGAAAATCCCTCAAAGCTGGGTTAAAGAATGCCACGTCGTGTTTCAATGCAAAGTAGGCCTAATGCATACCCGTCGGGTGTTTTTGTCGTGTTTGACTATGAATAACACACCTTTCATTTTTTTCTTTTGGGTTGTTGTTTGTAATGCGTATAACAGTAGATCCGAATATAGCGTACTTCACTGTTGCTTCGCGTCGACTTGAAGTGACATAAGTTCGTTTGCCAGAACTAACAGAGCACACCGCGTTCCCTCAGTGACGTGAAAGATTGATGCAATTAATCCGAAGCGTAACCGCAATGACAAGAACACTCATGTTAGTCACGCAAACATCCAGAATTCGTTACCTCGTAGCATGTAAGAAGTGTATTTGTCGAATGTCTGGCAAACATGGCTGTTTTTGATCACAAATGAGAAAAGGATCAATAATGGCAAATATACCACTTACAAAAACCTTATCGAATAATTGTACGATTAATGAGACTCAATAATATTTCCACATTTTTTGATTCAGTGGGTGCATAGGCGTAGAAGCAGGAAGGTAGATATTCGATTAGCGATAACGTGACTTATTGTACTGGATTTAATTGCACTAGCACTAATATGTTAAGCCTGAAAAGGTAAAGAAAATTTTTGAAAAGAAAAGTTGTGTAAAGGGCGATGATATTCTACTGACTGTTTGACCGGATGTGATTTTATTTGTCTGTGTGTGTATATTGTTCGACTCAGTTATCTTGATGTTGTTAATATGAAAACATTCTTCACCTGTCTTTTTTTAGACTTAATCTAAACGAAAGATTGCTGATTGGCAAAAATGAGAGCATCTGGTGATAAAAGAAAACGTACTGTCTTCTACGTATGGCAAGGTTGCTAAAATTGCCGCATGAACAGTGTGATTGTGATGTCCGTCTCTAAAGCAATCGAGCTTTTTTTTGTGCCAAATCTAAGTCGTTCCTGGTGTTTAAACACTTTTAAAACCGATATCACGTACTCCTCTCACCTACTACTCAAAATTTATTTTTTTAATCCAGCCTCCCTCTTTATTTATTTATTTATTTATTGTTTGTTTTTGTTTCATTCTAGAAAACCCATAGATCCATTATGCTTCATAAACGTCAATTATCACTTGGAGGGGGTCTTACTCTTTAATAAAATTCTATTCTACTTACTATACAAAGCATAATAGATTCTACTTCTGCCAAATGTCACCGATAAGTTTTCAAATACACGCTTTGGGTATACAGTGTACAATACTAAACAGTATATAAGGGATTCAACCCGGGCAAACATAATAGGTCTTCTTCATAAAATAAGCAGTGCGAATAAGTCAGCCAGGAGGAAAATAACCAAAATGTGCTGAGGAAATTGCCTTAGTGAAAGCTATGAAAACGTGTGATAACGAAAATGCCTCAGAGCTAAATTAGGACGATTATTTTTATGTAGGTCATTGCTGTAAGTGAGCGCGATATTTGTGTGAGATCTGAGATTCACTGGTACATCTAGTTAGCACTGACAACAACTTCATCATCATGAGCTCGAGCTTTTACAACATTACAAGACTGATTTACAACATTAAAGGAGATCCATTAAAGGAACGGATTTTGCCAAATCATCTTATACATCAAAACTAAGACCCACAAAACACGTCTGTTTGGTCCAAGACCAAAACTAATTTAAGTCTAAGACTTTCAAGGAGACGAATGGCCCCTGAGAGAGCAATGGAAGATTGATTGAACGAGTCATTATGATAATGATTATTATGTAATTATGACAGATGCCTCACCGATTGGTGAAGATCACGGGTTACGGACTCGATTATCCTGCTATTTTCAACCTCCATTTCCCTAAAAACCTGATTTTCAACTAGCCAAAATATACTAAGAGCAAAAGTAGTGTTGTGCATAGTCGCTGTTATTGGACGTAATGCGGTGTGGTATCACACATACGGTAATCTTATTACCACAAAGCACATTTATTAATTTTGTATTTCTGTTACAATTAATTCTGGACATTAACTGAGTACAGGGGTCTACCGGGTACAGACTAGTACTTGACCAGCATGACAAATACATTTAACATGTCTGTATGAGCGGTCTAAATGTAAAGACAAGTGCTTCTTGTGGCTTTTAAAGGGAAAGGCGGTGATTAATCGGCGAAATCCATACCATAAAACCCGCATTTAATACCACATGTTATACTTCTTTCTCCCTGCCGATTGTCGTATTCATCCTTTTCGTCCTTTCCAAGTCATTTTTTAAATTCCGTTCACTCAAAATGACATCCCATGCCTCTTCTCGCTAGCATTAGCCGTTCCATACGTCCCTTGGAGCGTTCTCATATCAAGACGCAATTTTTATCCTCCGATACAAGTTCATAAGCTTTAAAAACAATATTCAAATAATATTATTGATATTCAAATGATGATATTCATGTTCAAAAATAAGTGTGAAAAGTTGATATAAAGAGTACAAGTCAGCGTGTCATCTGAAGTATACTAAGATTGTGTGGGGCATGTGAAGACAAATTTGTGTTCTTGTTTAAGATGCACTAACCCGTACAGACAAAAAAATTCAGTAGAAATATATGGAGAATATTATCAAGGGCACGCAATGAGTGATTAACCTAAATTTTAATTTTTCGGGATATTCCAATGCCTCAATCTCTTCGATATCATCACCGGTTGGTATATCATATTCATATAACGATCTTGCAGGCCTTGTTATTGAAGGAGTCGTCTGCTATTTTTGAGATCCATATTTGTGTCGTACTGTGACCGCAGAGTCCAACCTGTTCTATTCTATGCTGTAAGTGACCCCATCAACCACGTCTACTACGTCTCAAATTAAAGTGGCATGTAATTCTATACGCTTACACAGTCTGTAGGCCTGTTACGGGTCAAGGATCTGGACTATCCATTTGTCACCAAAAGATCGCATAAACCAGTAAACAATATGAAGGGACACAAACTTACTTAAAGTGCCTGCTAAGATATCTCGCCTTCGCCTTTTGGATGAACAAATGTAGATTTTTATGTAAAAGATGGGCCGTATTTTGTATTTTAAAAAGAGAATACAGACCACAATTTGCGTTAACGTTTTTTCTTTCTTTTCTTTTTTGTTTCTCTCCCTCTTTCTCTCACTGTCTTTTGTGTGGAACAGATTCCTGAACAGTTTGAACCGACATTACCCAAAATGGACGGCGTTAATTCTAAATGCAATGTACCTGATTTGTATGAACATTTATCTTTTTTAGCTCTAGCTAATATCTCAAATTGATTATTTTGTTCAGTATTGGGTCATAGCTGTGCTCATAGTCGTATCAGGTCAACATGATTGAAACAATGGCAATAAATTAAACAAAAGAAGACAAAAGAAAAAAGTTTGCAGTATAAAAACATAGTATAATTTCGTAATACGTCAAAATGTCAAACGATTTTTCTAAAATATAAAAAAGTATATATTACAATTTGTTGTTGCTTTTAATTCAAATAAAAATGTTTTGTTGTAAGTTAGAAGTTAGTAATAAAGTACTAAGTGGCTGTTTTGTGCTGATGCCATTCAAATAATGAAAAAAAGTAAAGCCTAATATATATATATATATATATATATATATATATATATATATATATATATATATATATATATATATATATGTACGACATCACGCCACAGGGTGATAATTATATTTAAAGCGGCACACAATGTTCAGTGCCCCAAAACTTCATCCAGAGTTTTTAGGCCGTACGCCTGAGGACACTGAGTTGAATAGATGTCTTTTCCCTGCATCTTTCCATTTACAAGAAATTCTTTCCCCAGTTTCTCTTGCGCCCAGAGTAAAATCTTGTCCATGATTGGAGTTTCTATTCCTGCCACCTCAGCTACGCCTCTAGTCACCACCAACCCAAAGGGAATGTCTTCAGAAATGTACCTATGGCTAAAATCTGGTACAAATTTGCCTGGTTCTACCTCTAACATGCTGTGTTTTAGGCCTGCGTATGCGTTGTTCGTTTGTAGAACTGTCTTTAAAGAGCTCTTGTCTTGGACGTCGTTGGTGTAGCGTGTCATGAACCAATCGTACACGTGCTTCACTTGGGACAAGTCTACATCAGGGCGCTTACGTTTGATACCTTTTGTCACCTTGAGATTTTCGTCGCTCAGGTCACTGATCAACTGGGCTGTGGTTTCGTTTACCCCTTGGTAGAACAGCGGGATTTTATCCAAAGGTTTGCCGTCCCAATTGGTCCACGTGCCGTACATGATCGCAGAATGAAGTGTAGGTGTGGCCATTAAGGTGATGCATAAGGGATGTCCCGCCAGGTGAAGCACCGGGGCGGCGCCCAATACATACTGGAGGGTTTCCACCGGGCTTTTCCCCATAGGACCAATGGGGGCTGTAGACAAACTACCTTGTATGGCCACTAAGACAGTTTCTTTGCTGCCAAGGACCTCCACTTCCTTCCCGTACTCCTTAATCCGACAGGCCCATGGAAGCGTTTCAAAAATGAACACGGTATCGGCTTTTTCACCCAAAATTCCTCTGACCGCGTGGTCGAAACTTGGTCCAGGGACCCCTAGTATGATACATTTAGGGTCAACGTAGGGTTTTATAGCTTCCAAGTACAGGTTATGGGCAAAAGCCGGGACAACAATGATGATCATTTTGCAACCTGGTACCACCTCCTCCGGCTTTTTGGACACCATACTGGGTTTGGATTTTATTGCAGTATCCGGTTGACCATCAGAGCCTTTGACGAGTACGGTGAGGTCGTTGGTTTTAAGGCTCTCTGACCACTGGTCAGCCTCATCAGCGAAGAGTGTGAGGACTCTGGCCTCGATGTCAGGTTTGGCGGCTGCTAATCCGGCCATCACGTGGGCACCATTGCCGCCCCCGCAAACGAGCACTTGGAATTTGTCAGACATGTTGTGGAGTGGCTAATTTTGTCGTGATGAACCGGTTATGTCGCAGTGTCTCCTGTGCTGAATAATTAATGCAAATGCATATATTTTATAATAACGCAAATATTTATTTTATTAAAAATAAAAAGCATCTGTTTTAGAATCACATCAGAAGATAATATTTATTTAGAGAGTAAAATTAGTTCAGTTTTTACAAAAGCATATTTCACAATGTGTAATGATATAATGGGAAATTTCATTATGAGTTCTAGCACATCTATGCAAAATATCTACATTTAAAGTATTCTGTCAAAGAGAAGATGTTGCAAACATGATTAATTTACGTAGAATGCTTGTTTTAACTTATAAGTAGTCAAAACCTCTTTTAAGTTGCTTAAAAGTACTAGGCTACGCAATATATATACACCATAACATAATTTCGGTACGGTAGCAATATTCTAGCATGAGGGTTAGTTTTCTGATAGCACATATCCCATACCACTGATTCTATCAAAGATAGATTTTACTAGATATCAACAGATGCTTCGTTGGTATATTCTGTGCACATTTATACACAGCGAGAACTTTTGCAAATATTTTCGGAAATGACTTCTGTTATGATACTTAAAACTATATTAACACTTTAAGCGTTATTACTTCAAAAAAGAAGGCGACTTCATTGATAAAAAAATAAAGACCATTAGGCGACTTTGCTATATTAGCCACTTCATGGACACTTGTATCCAAATTTGTTTCAGGTCTGCTTAGGTAAGAAAATTAGGCGAAAAGGTCGATATGATGTTTCACTCTGTACTACATGTAGAATGTTAAAGCATTACACTTGTGTGTGTCTTGCCTCATGGAAAATTAGTCTTTTTAGAGTGCGAATCGATCAAGACGATAGAAGCACATAGTTATATACTTTCACTGCTTATTTTAAACACCATTATTTATTATTTATGGTTAATCCGATTTATTTATTTATTTATTCATTTATGGTTATTCCTATTTATTTATTTATTCCTTTTATTATCCAATAGCCTACACTTAAATAATATTTCCATAACCTGGTTCACCTAACCAAGAAATTTTGCATATAAGGCGCGGATCTGGGCACGGGGGCTCCAATAAGCCCCCCCCCCCCTCCTCCCTTTTTTTTCAACGCTGATAGAACATGAAGTATCGTAAGAGACGTCATCAACCACATGGCGGCCTTAGGTAGAGGCTAGGACACGCAGTGCTTTCTCCTCTGATGTCCAGATGACCCCGTAAATAATACTATTATACGTCCTGTTCATGTCCATGCTGTACCAGTACATTCTACAGGTGTGTGTGTGTGTGTGTGTGTGTGTGTGATCTCACCACTAACTTTAGAGCTCTTCACATAGCCCATGTAGTGGTAAACAACCGCAAGGGCCTGTAGCGACGAGGAAATGTTAATGTTAAATATCCATTGTCCCATACAACTAAAAATAACTAAATAGAAAGATTTGATGAATATTCTCAATGGCACATATTGAGTGTGAAACATTTTAGAGCAATATTTTATATTTCCTCGATATTCAAGGGCCTCTATTCATTTTTGAATTACGCCGTACCCATATTACGATCTACCAAGCAGTTTGTGAGTTGTGACCCAATCTTGTAATGTAGATGGAAAGTGGTGATGGCAAAAGATAGCATGCGGGTTTACATATTATAATTTTTTTCTCAGCGGGTTAGGATAATGTACAGAACAGCTTGGTGATAAAAAGGAAATTACTGAAAATTACAGGAATGGCTGTTTTTCTATTTTAAAGAGAAACAAGCGCATTGTATGCCTTTTTTAAAATACGCAAACAGTTCGTCGTCTGCTACGTGTATATCGGAGATTCACATTTATCTCACAGTGTGACCGCAGAGTCTTACCTGTTCTATTCTATGCTGTAAGTGACCCACTCACCACGTCTACCAGGTATTAAATTAAAGCGGCATGTAATTCTATATGCTTACACACTCTAGAGACTTGCTACGGGTCAGGGATCTGGACTATCCATTTGTCACCAAAAGTTCGCGTAAATCAGTAAACACTATGGAGGGACACAAACATACATAGAGTGACTGTTAGGGCATCTCTCTTTTTTCATTTGGGGTGCAAAGATAAGTTTGTACTTAAAGTCGGACCCTATATTGTATTATTAAAAAGGAAATACAAAGAACGAGTTTAGACCAATTTTGAAGTATTTTGTGTTTGTGTGTGTGTGTGTGAAACAGGTTCCTTAACAGAATAGGTTTTATTTGAACCGGCATTGCCCAAATGAACGGTTTTAATTTTAAACGCAATACACCTGATTTGTATAAACATTTATATCTTTTAGCTCTAACCAATATGTCTAATTAATTATACTTATAGAATATAGCTACATGCGTCAAACTTGTACCAAATATTAGGCCAACAAGTGATAAAACAAATTGAACAAAGGAAGACAAAAGACTGAAGTTTGCAGTATAAAAGCATAGTATTTCATCAAAACGTGTCAATCAAATTTTCTTTAATATAAAAAGTACGTTTGCAAGTTGTCGCTTTTTATTCAAATAAAGGGATTGTACTGTAAGTTAGTAATGAAATTACTCGGTGGCTGTAAAATTAATATCGATAGAAATATATCAATTTGAAATGTTAAACAACTGTTTAAAATTTGTTGATGCCAGTCACATTTAGAAAAAAGCCTATTATCAATAAATATAGGCCTACGACATGAGGCCATAGGGTAATAACTCTAGCTGTACACAAAGTTCAGTGTCCCAAAATGTCATCCAGAGTGGTTAAGCCGTATGCCTGAGGACACCGAGTATACTGGATGTCTTTTCCCTGCATCTTTCCATTGACAAGGAACTCTTTTCCCAGTTTTTCCTGAGCCCAGAGTAAAATCTTGTCCATGATTGGAGTTTCTATTCCTGCCACCTCAGCTACGCCTCTAGTCACCGCCAACCCAAAGGGAACGTTCTCCGAAAGGTACCGATGGGTAAAATCTGGCACGAATTTGCCTGGTTCTATTTCTAACATGTTGTGTTTCAGGCCTGCGTACGCATTGTTCGTTTGTAGGACAGTCTTTAAAGAGCTCTTGTCTTGGACGTCGTTGGTGTAGCGTGTCATGAACCAATCGTACACGTGCTTCACCTGGGACAAGTCTACATCAGGGCGCTTGCGCTTAATTCCTTCCGTAACAGTGAGATTCTCGTTGCTGAGATCGCTCATCAACTGGGCTGTGGCTTCGTCTACCCCCTGGTAGAACAACGGCACTTTATCCAAAGGTTTGCCGTCCCAATTGGCCCACGTGCCGTACATTATCGCACAATGAATGGTATGGGCCGCCATCAGAGTGATGCCCAAGGGATGGCCGGTTACGTGAAGCACCGGAGCGGCGCCCAATATGTACTGGAGTGTTTCTACCGGGGTTTTCCCCATGGGACCAATGGGGGCTGTTGACAAGCTACCCTGTATGGCTCCCAAGATAGTTTCTTTGCTGCCAAGGATCTCCACTTCTTTTCCGTACTCCTTAATCCGACAGGCCCATGGTAGCGTTTCGAAGATCAACACATTGTCGGATTTATCGCCCAAAATCCCTCTGACCGCGTAGTCGAAACTAGGTCCAGGGACCCCTAGTATGATGCATTTTGGGTCAACATATGGTTTTATAGCATCCAAGTACTGGTTGTGGGCAAATGCCGGGACAACAAAGATGATCATTTTGCAACCTGGAACCACCTCCTCTGGCTTCTTGGATACAATACTGGGTTTGGCTTTTATGGCAGTGTCCGGTTGACCATCAGAGCCTTTGACGAGTATTGTTAGGTCGTTGGTTTTAAGGCTCTCTGACCACCGGTCAGCCTCATCAGCGAAGAGTGTGAGGACTCTGGCCTCGATATCCGGTTTGGCGGCTGCTAATCCGGCCATTACGTGGGCACCATTGCCGCCTCCGCAAACGAGCACTCGGAATTTGTCAGACATTTTGTGGTGTGGCAACTTTTGATGAACCGGATATGTCGCGGTGTATCCTGCACTAAATAAATAATGGAAATACAGTCTTTTTATAATTGTTCAAGTATATCGATTTGATTCATAATATCGTATTATATAAATAAAAGCATCGGTTTTAGAATGAAAACAGAAGGAAATGATTGTCATATTTTGCGGAGTTGAATCAGTTCAGTTTTCATCAAAGCACTGCATCCAATAATAAAATGTTTTTTTATCATGCATGGCGACTATCAAAACTGCCTTTTTTATATAGGAACATCAAAAACTCCGGGAAGCAGATTAAAGGTACTGCGCTGTGCAGAAAAAAAAAAAAAAAAAAAATATATATATATATATATATATATATATATATATATATATATATATATATACCTCTAAGTATCATAAGTGAGACACGCGGTAGCAATATTCTAACATGAGAGTTTGTTTCCTGCATATCAGGGCCAAAGAGAGATTTTTTCACTAGATATTGGCAGATGTATTACTGGCTAATGCTTTGCACATTTACGTCTGGTAGAGGACAGTATACCAAGTGTTATCTGCCCCGATATCAATATGACCCTGAAACATATACTACTTTACATCCTGTACATGCTACAGGTATGTCTTTGCATCTATATATTATTTTCAGATCCTTAGACTTTGGCAGAATATGAATCATATCTAACATTTATTTATTTATTTATTTATTTATTTATTTATATCCATTCTCTGGGTGTGGGTGTTTGTGTGCGTGTGCGGTGCGGGTGGGAGTGCTGACTATCAGCACTTCCTTAAGAGCGCTTCATGCTATATAGTGGGGAACAACCGCAACCCCTGAGACACACCCAGTGTTACTTGTTACAGGTAAAGTTACTCATTTGATAGTTGAAATTTTGCACCTTTTTATTTAGACACTCTCTGAAAGTTGAATCGTGTATGTATGACTGGTTGTGTTATTTTCATTCTCTAAATGACCAAAACTATCAGTCACCCACTACTTTCTGTTCAAAATGGTGAAAGCAGCCGTACATAGGCTGACATATAGAAGTAACAGGGTCATACATGTAACTCAATAATTAAGATATATTTTACTTATGAGGCTAGGGGTCTACACTACCACCCACCCCTCGACAAACACACTCATGGAATTATTTTCCTCGTCAGGTAGTCCGTGGTTTCAGTAAATATAGATTTCCCTCAAAACTAGAAAAGATAAATTATTTAGTATGCACTTATCAAACCTGACTGTGGTAGTCTTTCGATCGATATTTAACAATTTAGCTAAATTCAGAAATGGGTTTCTTGGTGGTTGATTCAATGCGTAAATAAATGGTTTATTTTGTTTATATGTCCGTTTAAATAAAAAGGAAATAGATATTTGTAATATTTATTATCAAAAGAACAAAATTTAGCTTGGTACTTTATACATCTACATTAAATTGTACTTAAGCCTTTTAATGCGTCCCACAAAATGGCGTCCACATATTGAATGTTTTTTTGTGATCTACTATTCAAAGGGAAAAATTAAGTTTTGATGACCATTTTAAATTGCGTGTCTTAAACATTATTTCAGGAAAGGGAATCGCCCACAAACTGTAGTCATTATACTTATATTTTGCATAATGCGTCACAGGCACACACATTTGTATACTGTTGTGTACTATAACACATTGTCTATGCTACCGTAATGTCAGTATGAAAACCGACCTCATAAATCATTTTTGATTCTATTTTTGGTGCAGTTGAGACAGAATCATATTGGGTTGGTTTTATACTCTTCACGTAGACCTGCTATTTAATAATTTTAACAATTAATTTTGAAATGTCATAAATGTAGAGTTCACTTATACATGGTGTAATCACAATGCTCTGTGTGCACTGCCTCAATGGTTAATTTCGATCAAAAGCCTGGTTCTTCTCAGCTTTAACAACAATCAATAAACAAGCATTCATTTACAGGTGCTCTCGCTGACCAAGAAGGACCTCCTTTATGATCTCCCACAACATATTTGCAGATAATTTTGAAAAATGATCATCTTTCGGACGTTCAGTTATGAGATCAGCCCCAGACTATATAACAGGTTTATATGCTTTCTGCTTTTTGAAAGATTCAAGGCCTTTAAGAGGTCTCAGCATACAACGATGAGGATGGCACTTTAATGTAATTTTTTGTCTAGCAGTTCACACTTAGTATGACATATAGCTTCAAGGCACGAAAAGTTTACGAGTATGCAGACGCTCGTAAAGCGTCGCATAGGTGAACCACCTGAATCAAGCTTGACATTGCCGTTTCTGCGCGGCCTTATACCTATTCTTTATACCTATTCTTTAAATTGATTTAAAAAAGCTGGATAAAAAGGTTGATACTTTGTGAATTTCAAACTCGCAAAACGTCTAAGAATCAAACGTTTGCGATGTCATCCGTCTTACCTTTCAACGTAGGTCCTTCCGCTCAGTGGAGCGTTCAGTTATGGCGGCCTTGTTGCTGATTAACTATTCCGTAGAAAAAGGCGGGTTCATACATCTATATGCCTGTCACATACCCAGCTTGAACATACGGTTAAGCATCCGGGAAGGCCACTGTTTTTTATTATTTGTTTAGTGAACTTGCCGATTTTTTTTCTTTTTTCATTAAGGAAATTTATAACGACTGTGACTAAATTCTATTTTTCCATGTAGCTCCTTTTGAATATGTTTTGGAGACGAAAATAAAAACTATAAGGTAAGAAGGAAAAATAAAAATGGAAAAAAAATACAATTATAAAGACTAAAAATATATATTTGTTTTTCTGTACAAATGAAAAGGGGGAAACCAAAGAGACCAGATCTGGAAAAAGTGTCTTGTTTTTGTGAAAACCATTAAGGCAGTCTTTGCCTTTGAAATTTATAGGTGTGCAGTAACCTATTTAAACACATTTAAATTTACGCCGTTCTTCGCCATAGCCACCTGTAAACAGAAGCCCGAGAAACATTTGGTGGAACTCGATGGCCTAAAATGGGCTGAAAATACGCATCATAGACAGTCCCGCAGATGAGACTGGAGATACGAACTACATATAGTGTGTAATAAACTGGAGAATAAATCTGGGTCACATAAAATAATTGATGAGAACATTAGTTTGATTTATGAAATAGAGTGCTTCAGAGAGTATTTCGCAGATGCGTCCTTGGAGACACTGTGTATGTAATGCCTTAACAGCAAACTACGCTGTATTTGTAATTGATTGTGATTGTATTTATTACAGAAATTAGCTATTAATTAGTGTTTTAATTAATGAATTTTAAAACATTTAATTGATAAAAATGTCCCTATATATAAGAGAGTAACTCTTAGATTATATGGGCAATTCGTATAATGTATTCCACCAGGTCACGTCACACTATGTTAGTGGTTGTACCGGTAATATGGATCAAAAGTGTGGTCTTAATATTAATATTAATATACTTCCTATTTCAGCAAGTGCACAGCATTAGACGGGTCAACAGAACTACGTACCTGGTTAACATTTAGCACAGAGAATAAAATGAAAATCGGACGGTTGGCCTTTTTTCAAAATCAGACGGTTGGCTTTTTATTGAGATTGTAAACGTATACTTAGTACGTATTATGATACCGAATGTTTAACTTACTTGATTTTCCTGCGAAGATGGATCTAGGGCTCCCCCCACCATTTTTTTTTACTGTGTCTTTAGGTGGGCATGCTATCATGTCAAGCAAAACTTGCATTTTTTCTGTCTTTGTCTCTAAACCCACCATCTCCTCACACTCCTCACGTTTCTAATGAATCATTGGTCATGAATAAATGAAATTAAAGAGAATAATGAAAAAATAATTACATGAATAGACGAATACTGATATACATCTGTCAGATATTCTTCAATAAAAAACGTTAATTCAAGATACGACAGTGCGTTAAAATCTCAAGTTTTATTTTATATCTAGATTTTTATTATTTTTGATCAGAAGTAGATCTCTAAATTCACCAATCCGTTTTTACTGAGGCGCAGCGTGCTAACGATACACTCTAAATACACTTCTGTTAAAAATAACTGAAAAATGGTTGAAACCAACTGATTCAACCGTTCAATATGTGCCCAAATATAACCCGGTTGATGTAACTGATCGGTAGGTATATTGACCAACTGAATCGGTTAAGTTTTATAATTATTTTATAATAAATTTAAAATAATTATAAATAAACAAGATTCAACAAGTTTGTAGAATTACTTTACAGTCTTTCGATATACCTGGCAAGTGTCCTCAGTTCAGTTATTCAATAACCGATCCACACGGTTACCATGTTGACCAAGCAACTGGTTGATCAATAACCGTATAAACCGTTGTTTGTATCTGATTTCAAGTCAACCAATTTAATAGTCAACCAATTTAATCTGTGTCAATAACCGATTTGTTTTTAGAGTGCACCCTTTACCAGGGGTCTTCCCTAGCTGTCACAATATTTTATGAAAGACTCGCATACAACTTTCTAACAGCTTAATATCTCTGACAGAAAGTATACTAACGGTGATCCACCTCCACCCGGAACATGCTCAATTTCGGTTCCTACAATACTGTGAACGGAATATGCATAATGATGACATTAATGGGTTTTAAGTTAACTTTGAAACTCCGGTTTTTGGCAGAGGCAATAGTATCTCATTGAAAAGGGGCCCGAGGTGTCGCACGGATTTCAAACAAGAAGATGGCATTTCAAAAACAAGCATTTCCAAGCCATGCTACAATTATCGAGCCCACCGAGAATTCATTTGTGACATTTGTGGATCTAATCTTCGACTAGCAGAATACCCTCTGTGACATAGAGCCTAACACGGCTAGACTCGCCATATTGTAAAAGAGCCCAGTTATCAATGCTACATCCCCATTATACAAGTAATAATGACAATATGCATCAATTCTCATATCAATAATTTTTCATTGATTATTGTACGGGCTTAATGTTCCTGTCCATCACAGCTCTTTTGAATACGGAATATTAGTTCCGTGCTATGGGGCATTGATAGTAGTGTTGAGGTAGAATGCGATAGTTGTTCTTGGCAATGATGTGCGAGGTGCGCTGTAGCAGGTGCATGCGAGATGCCTTTCTTCGTCCCAAACGATGTTGATGTTGTAGTTAATGTGTCTATTTTCTCTTTCATATAGCAATGTGCCAAGTTCAAAGAGGATTCGTAAACGAATTAAGCCATTACACAAGTATGTGAAATATTGTCTAGAAGAAGGGAGAGCAATCTTGGAAAAGTCGGGTAAATAATCAACTAAGGCATATCTGTTACAACGGGCTTGATTGGAGAACGAATTTTGGCCCACTCTGACAATAGTGTTTGTAACAGCGGATTTACCAAACAAAACTTATAATGATGATGTGAAAAGAGATCAGGTAAAATTGGTGAAGGGGGGGGGGGGGGGGGGGTAAAGCGTGTTCTCATATTGATGAGTAATCGTACATGTAAATGAATGCTCGTTAGAGCAACATTTCTAGTTTTCCTTAAGAAATCATGGTTGGGGTGGTATTGCACGTGTTTGGTGAACTTTAATATTTATTTCAAAAAGTGGACATTTAAATGAATGTTGTAGCAGGAGATCGTTAAAATTGACGCACATATCTAACCAAAAGGACTTCTATAAAATATTCTCTCTGCGTACCCTTTCATGATTTAAGGCACATTCCCTGGAATTGTGATATTAAGAAAAATATTTACGTGAATCTGATGTCCTATCTGTGAATGTACCCGTAAATTGCAATAACAAGAACAACGGTGATAATTGTATAATCCACTTTTTAATACATTCATATCAACGTTTACTGTGGGTGTGGGGATAAGCACGTCTGAATGCTGAGTCCCTAACCTTCAAAGTGAATGTAGCCCTTTTGACCAAATGCCTCAAGCCCGTAGCCAACTATTAGTGTGCGTGAGTCTTTGTATGTGTGTGTATGGGTGGTTTTGGTGGGTGGGTGGGGTGGGGGGGTGGGTAATTGTAGATTTTGTAATAAGACAGATTGGTTTAGTGACCTCTTACATTTACATATTAAAATGAGTACGAACTATGATTCAAGACCAAGGCAAGCTAGATAGGGACTTTTTTCTGGTAAAGAAACCAACACCCACCAACCCCCCATCCACTGCCCATTACGGGCTTCATATTTATATGCACTGCTTGCTATTTCTTTTGGCCTTTATCATTCATGGCATTGCACTGTTATGTTATAGTTACCCCATAAGTCAATTGCGCATATCAATTTAATGCAAACATAAAAACATAGCTGAATAATAATAATAATAAAGCAGTACGTCTCTTCATGGACCGTGCTCTGTGAAAGTTACATCTCATCTTATCATTTATTGGCGAATTCTAGGGAATCCAAAACAAAATGGCCGCATCAGCCCTCACTCCTTCCCAACAGCAGAAAAATAGCATGCCCTGAGACCTACAGAAACATCAAAATGCCTTAATTGGACCCCTCTCTTAACATGTTGAATCCTTCACTGATTAGTCTACCAAATATTTCAAGCCAGCTGTAACAGTATTCGAATAAAGATTCTGTAGACTAGTTTATCTTGCTCTACATTGTACGCCCGTTCGCATTCTGTGGAACAAGCCGATCATTGGCACACTGAAAAGCATATGAATCAGCCACGACGTATAGATACAAAACTGAAGCATGGATCTGAATGAAAATCAATCAAAGATTGTCTAAAACCGACACCATTGTCACATCCCGAGAATGTCATTGACAGTCTTATATCCAAAGGCTTGGGGACATCTCGTGCTCTTGATGTCTTTACCGGTCATTTTCCCGTTCACCATATATTCTTTGCCCAATTTTGTCTGGGCCCAGACAATCACTTTGTCTATATTGGGTGTCTCAACTCCGGCAATATCCGCGATACCCTTTACTACGGCTAACCCAAACGGCACGTCCTCTGCAAGATACCTGTGGGTATAATCTGGCAAAAATTTCCCACCATCTACTGACTTCATTGGATGCTTTATTCCATTATACGCCTTGTTGGTTTTCAGGACGGTCGTAAGAGTGTTTTTGTTCTCTATCTCGTCCGGATAGCACTCCAGATACCAGTCGAAGATATCCTTTACGGTAAACAAATCCACTTCCCGGTTGGCCTTTCTAACGGCCCTAGCAATGTCCAATATCTCGCAGTTGATTGCTGACAGTAGAGCGGTGGCAAGACGGTCGACATCTTGAAAGAATAATGGCGCTTCGTCGACTGGCTCTTCTTCATCTTCCTCATCCCTAGCCCACTTCCGGTACATGATCGCAGGATGTAGAGATGCGTTAGGGGCCATTAGAGTAACTCCCAGAACGTGACCACGCACGTCTAAGACGGGTTGTTCGCCCATGAGATATTGTACGGCTTCCACTGGCTCTTTACCAAGACCAACCTTCATGATTTCCTTGCCGAATATTGCACCTTTCAGTATTTTCTTTGTTGCTTTCACCTCAACAGACAGCCCGTAGGTTTTGATTTCACTGTACCACGGATGGGAGTCGAAAGAAAGGATGGCCAGTTGGTCAAGTTTGTCCTTCAAGATAGTGCGCACAGCGAATTCGAATCCGCACTGTCCCGGTAGACCTACAATAACGGTATCGGGTTCTATGTGAGGCTGGATAGCCTTAAGATACTCCTCGTGCGCACTGGCAGGGGTCATCAAGAAAATCACGTGACACCCAGGGACCAGAAAATCGGGAGTTTTACTCACGACGGCGGGTTTTCCTTTCACTGTATTTTCTTTCCCTTTGTCGTCTTTGAAGATGACAGAGACTTCCTTGTTGGCTTTAGTCCACTTTTCCGACTCGTCCTGGTACGTTGTGAAGATGCGTACCTCCACGTCTTTCTTGCTGGCTGCCAACCCTGCCAACGTGTGAACTCCGCGGCCGCCGCCACATATTAGAACACAGAGTTTGTCTTCTGAAGCCATTGGAATACTGTGCTGTAATATTAGCTTTTTTGCTCCAGCTCGATGCTGTGTTCACTGAAGAAACTGAAACGAAATACAGAATGTGTTATGGTGTACATGTATATGTATATGACTAACATCACACGCCAACTTCCTTTTTACTCATATAGGAAAGTTCCAGATTCCTAGAACTTCAGATAACATTTATTAATCAATCATTACATACGTTATAATCATATCCTATGGACATTGTATTCAACGTAATGATGACATAGACCCCCCCTCAAAAAATAATAATAATAATAATAAAATAATAATAATAATAATAAATAAATAAATAAATAAAATAAAATAATAATAATAATTTCGATATATCTAGATTTTCAAATATGTAATGAAATATTGGTGTTTTTTTTATATACAAGCGAAAGTTCTAGGTGGCTATATTCATGATTCATGGGCGAAGTACATGGAAGGAAGGGTCGTGTATCAAAGAATCATCATTACAGGATGGATTAAGGTTGATGTTCCAAAAACGAAAAACATCTAGACGTTTATTTTCCAACGCAAGTTAAAGATGTGATGAGTGTTCATTGCCTGGACAAACGCCAATGCCGATATTTGATAGGGATACACGAAAGATATTGGCAAATAAAAAAATCAAAACGGATTTACTGCTAGAGTCATATAACACGCATTGTGGTAGGTCTACAAGTACCTATATTCTTTTTCATGTAAATCAACGACGAGTTTCTTTCTCACCTAAAGAACTTTTGGTGGCGATAGCTTTAAAGGTAAGTAGACCACCCGGTTCTCTGTATTGGTTCGCGTACCAATCTTTTCATGTATAGCTTATATGAAGTCGAAAGTTCCAATACCTTTAAAACAATTCAGTTCTTATTTTCCAGATGAACATATAGCATAACTATAAATATCACAGGCTAAATATTATAATCTGTACATCTGTTCATCTGTTTCAAGTCATTTTTTTCTCGCTGTTTGACTACTGCAGTTGCCGTTAAGATGAATAACTGTCTTCCAGTACTCGCAGGTGGTAAAGCAACCTTGCAGCACATAGGTAAACCAGTAAACGATAGCATTTGGCTTTAAAAAAACACCGATGTAAGCATTCAATTGCGGCAATAGTCTTTCAGGAATCTTCATTCAGATCTAAGTTCAATATATACATACTCTGCGTTTTCCGTATGTTATGCCGGATCGAAAAAAAAAAAATTAAAACTGGAAAATCAATTAAATCAATTGCAGGCAAATTGCCGATGGGTTGGCGTGATATATTATCTTACAACTCTAATTTTGTCCAGCCAAGATGGTAAATTTTAGTCACAGGCAAATGTTTCCCTGAAAACGGGGCCAAATCTCAGTACAACAGTTCCAAAATTCCAATTCTACTATTCATAATCCTTGCGCTAGTGCGTCTATGCCGCAGCATTGCACAGGTGAAACATACAGTATATAGGTCAGACATCGCAATGCTGCAATACGATCTTCCATCTGGAGAGTTTCCAAAATTAGTAAACCAGCTACAGCTACCGGTGCGAGGATACAGCAGTTGGCACAAAGGATTTTGATAGCATACATATTAAATAAACGTGAACTGGGAATATGCTAGCCTAGCATTCTGGGGTTTAAAGCTGTTGCTGTAGGATTTTAAGACCACCCCTCCACCCCTTCGTAATGCCTAGTCTAGTGCGAGTTCATAATTCCTTCACATTTAGAAGGATATCGAAACCTTTTTCCTTTACAGTGACTCAATAAAGAATTAGATTTAATCAACATTGTTTGCCAAGTTGACAGATTTTTAAAATTTGATTTTTAAAATTTGAACAATTTGTCATTTTCGCATCGTGCTCATCTTATTCTCTTTGATTTAGGCTTACGCGTATCATAATTTGATTTATATGTCGACAAACAACTTCACTGTAGACTCTACTCAAACATGCCCCAAGTGCAGTCGCTCCTTTACATGATAGCCAACAAGAAAAGCATCTATTTTTTAATAAACCAGAGTAAAATCAGAGAAATCATCAACAATTCCAGCAGTTACTCACCCCGCCTCTCCCTACAAGAGCTCCGCACGTGTATTCTGGAAGGCAGAGTCTCGGTACAGAGGTGAAGGGCAACGCTATACCTGTCTATACGATCGCCTGGTATTTACAGAACTGCTTACGGCTATGTCAGGAGGGGGAGGGGAAGTGCGCGCTTCGCACGTGCGTAAAACCTCTCAAGTACAGAGAGAGGTCTGATTTTGAAGATAGTTCCGCGGAAATGGCCAGATGTACTCGAATGGAAAGTATGTGCAGCCATGGTTATTTTAAATTAATTAGACACAGGACCAATATCAAATTAAGTCATTACCAGGCTGAGAAAGGTTCGGCTCCGTATATGGTTATAGACACTAAGCGTTAACAGTCAGGGTTAAACAGTGCGTACAGCACAATTCATAATATTATCCTGTGTCATTATTGGTGATTGATCTTATTCAAACTAAAGCAAACTAAAGTCAACACAGATCATATAGTATGCGATCAAGGAGTGAGAAAACAGACAAACACGCTTTATACTAACTGGATATACCGGACGTTTAAGCCCAATAAAGCTCGGCATATATATATATGAATATAAATTTCATTACAACTGAACTGTGAACTAGAACATCTCAGGTCATAATTCCTCTCAGGAAATCGCTTGGAAAACTATCACACCTAGCTCTAACACACAACAGCATGCTCTGTCATTTGACCTGCAGAGCAAACGCCTATTCCTCTCACAATTCCCCCCCCCCCCGTGCCTGCCACCAATCTATGATTACGTATAATATTATAATGATCTATGTGTAGTCAGGTGGCAAACGTTATTGAGGGAGCAATGTTACCCTGAGTTTCGTCAGGTAACGGAGAGTTTATGCTGGTAAGAAATAATTTACAAGTTACCACCAATGCTAGGAATCTCGGGGTATCTCCTGGGTGCCCAGCGATATTTAGTTTCAGTGATCGTTATCAGATGGAAATGAGGCGTGCAGATCATATTAATATTAATATTAAAAGAAATAAAAGCGTTTATGTCTAAACTGCAGTCACTTGTTTCCATTTGAAGGACGTGAGTTTATCGTCGTGACAAGTAGGCCTTATTTTACTGATTTCCAATGTCTTTCGAGGAGAGATGTGTGTCTGGTTCTATGGAAATTTAGTTAACATCATCCAGCAGAAAAAAAAAATTAATAGATTCTGCCTGGTCAGCAAAAAAGCTTATTCCATCGGAATGTTCTTTTGAACTTTGAGCTAGAAATCAAATAATACACCTGGTGTGAAAACATATTATCAGTCTTAAACAGCAATACAGACATTTTGGTATTTTTACCGCAGTCAAGTGGCGCCTTCAAACATGTCTATAGACTTCATAGTCTTTAATTTTAAGAAGGTGGTAGGGTTGGCAGTTTGTAAAACATCCAAGGAAGTCCACTGGTTTCCGGTGAGTCCACATGAGTCCGGAGAGCCCACTGGGAGTCAGGGACCCTCACTTCGCAGGGGAGGATCCAGGATTATTGGAAGGGGGGTCCGCGGATGCAAATTCGCCCTCCCCCCCCCAACACACACACACCCAAACACTTGGCGTTGGGTTTGGGACCCGCTGAATGCCCCCGGAAAATTTTAGTATTTTAGAGGGCGAACAGTGCCATTTCGTACGGTGTAGAACTATGATTCAGCTAGCACGCCCTCTAAATCCGCCACTGCTTCGGTCAGCCATTCAAGTGAAATAAATCCGAGGAAAATCCATCGGAGTTTTTGAATGCCTTTTATCTGAGCAGCATTTGCGCCAAGTCTTTTTTCGTGAGTAGGCCTAAGCCTGGAGATAAAAGAGTTAAACTAGTTTATTATTCCCCAGTCTTTTTTTAAAAAACACTGTAGAACTTATTTACAAATGCATTATTTTTACCATCTCGAATTTGTACCCTCCACCAAGGCCACAGATTAATTTTTCACTAGATAGGCTAGGCCTATTCACAGGCAGGCTTATGTTTGAATTTTCCATTCCATTATTTTTATCCTTTTCATGATCATAAAAAACACAACATGCTCCTATTTTAAAAATGTTGCTTTATTTCAGCTTAGAAATGCATTAAAATTACCTTTTAAAACGTGAAAAAAATATAACTCCATCATTCAAATTGCGTTATCGGAGCAACGAAGAGCTTAATGTAGTGCGCTAGTTGAGACATAAACCACAATCTTCTTGGAATGCTAAAAATTGGACCTCATGAGTAAGCTAATAAACGGGGTTGGCAGGGTGTTATCCAAAAGCTAGCAAATAATAATTTCTCTGTAACTGTATAAATATTGTAAAATCCCTAGAAGTATGCTCAATTTACTGATACAGAGTCTTAATTTGAAAGTAAAAGAAGAGCGAAGATTTTTGTTAGTTGCTCACAGTGCTTGTAACAATAAATTACGTAGTTGGCATGACGTCATGGGGAATTCCCACAAAAATGGCGGACACCGAAGGAAGTAACAGCAGTAGACTTTCATACTAAATGTGTGAAGATATTTCTGATCGGGTAAGTTATTGAAACTGCAATCTGCTGTGCTAAAGCACAAGTTGCCGAGGATATAAGCTTGGGATTTAAGTAATGTTGAAGGCAGTTTCTGACGGGAATCACCAGAGGCAGTTACGCTAGGGTGGTCCAAGGAATGAGCTGCTTGCATTTTCAGCGTTTGAATAGGAATATAACATCATTTTTGTGAGTTATCGAGTGCTCCTCATGTTGAATACAATATAAATGATATTTTGTATATAAAGTTTAGATGGTGGTGAATTAGACCACTTTCTACTTACATACACTAAACAAATTAAACACAGAATTAAAAATACTAACGTTAGACCCCACCACTACATGTACAGTAGTACTAGGGCCTACTAGGGCTACTGATATATAACGTTTGTAACATGCATTTCTACTTCAATCCAGTAGCGTATATTTAATGTGGGGTTTATGTGTGTGTGTGTGTGTGTGTGTGTGTGTGTGTGTGTGTGTGTGCTATATATCTGATCTGAATGTTTCCCAGTCTAGCTGATTAGAAAGTGATGGGAAATCATGTAATTATATAAAATGCTAGCTGTTACAGTACAGTGTACGTAACAATTACAAGTATGAGCCCAAAAGCATGAATGAAACTAAAAGGGATGAAAAACAACAAAAATATCTCTCCAAAAATTATCCACTGCCAAAACGTAGATGAAAAATAAAATGCTTACTAGTAAGTAACTAAGTCCACCTCCTCAAAAATGGTATACTAGTGTAATACTAGCCATCATATTTTATCAGTCTGAGTGTCAGCTGATCAATTTGATACTGGGCAAAAATGTTCCCTGTAGTAGTTGGATCATAAATGAAAATTATCAATTATCAAACACAAGCAGAAATATTTTCATACCATTACTTAGTAGCTTCAGACCAACCTGTGAGAAGGCCTTCATCAGACTGATATGAATAGATGTTGATACTCACTGACTGTTACTAGTAGGTGGTATATAGTGGCCTCTGGGAAATGTCATGTAGATCGTGTTATTAACTCTTTTTGGAAAATGGTTAGTCACAGAGAGAGATTTTATTTTTTTCCGGTGATCAATATATGTCAAACTAAGCTCAGAATGTACATATCATCGACTATCCTTAACAATATAAGCAGTGTATGGCACCAGTAAAGAGAGAATATATAAGGATAAAGAAAGCTGTACTATACTAGTGGAAGTCACAAGGTAGAGTTCCATCAGCACTCAGAAATTCAAAGTGCTGAATTTGTCCATTACCATCAGGAATGGAATTCCCCATTTACATATCCTGCTTGTTATTTAGGTATAACATGTGTGTGTGTGTGTGTGTGTGTGCATAAATTACCCTTAGTTTCAGTGTTCTGGTATAGACTTCTCTATCCAGGATCCATATATGGTCCCAATCACCTTATGAAGTTGATGCACTGACTTGTGAATGAAAGGATACCATTGATTTATTTCACCTTTTTGTTTAATGTACATTCAGTATGGAAGAAAAATAGACAAACATATAAATATATGGATAAATAAATAGATTTAGGTGAATGAATGAATACTAGTAAGAGAATGAATGAATAAGTAAATAATAAATTACCAATTATAAATAGAGTCTAGTACAAACACAGTGACACCTGCAGACAAAATTTCTCTGTACATTTCAAATGTTTACAGGGGCTGTTTTAAATAGGGACAAAATGTGTTTGCCCATATCTCTAATGAGAGGAAATCTATGGTGAAATACCAAGTAGCATGTGTGGAAGTTGGAGTCATCTGTTAGGAAGGACTAAGAAGTATGGTGTTCAATTAAAAAGAGGAAGTAGTGTTACTTTGATTTTAAATGTTTTTATGATGACTGAACATGCTAACTTGGTAATTATCACCAAATTATCAGTATGAAAGTTTGGCCTTATGCTTTTATCCTGTTTTGTGACCTAGTTAAAGCATTTGACCTAAATCAGCTGTGCATGTAATGCCTCTTGTGATAACTACTAGTAGTCTAGCCGAAATACTGTAATAACTACTGTTAAAGTTATGTCGCATTACCACTAGTAAAGATATGTTTTGAGTTTAATGAAAACTTGACCCAAAGTTTAGGACGAAGGCTCTGAATTGCAAGGTGTGCCAAGTTGTCAGCAGGAGAATTTCAATTGAACATATGCTTTCTGAAGTAAGGTTATAATCTTATCTTTTTGATAATAAGAAGTAATGTGGGGCATAGTGTATTATAACTCTGACCTATAAATAGGGTTTATATATATATATATATATATATATATATAAAATATATATATATATATATATATATATATATATAAAGACTGTCTGGTACAGTGAGCCGTAATCAGTCATACAAATTGTGTATGATAAAATATGAATTTTAAAATTAATTTAATTAATATTATATAGGGTGCATTCCCAGAGATTTAGATCGATCCAGAGATTAAAATTTAGATTGACCTAACTCCCTGGGGGTTCACGCTAAATTGCAGTCAGCCGAGCGCGCACCATAGTTAATTACCCCCTTACAGCTTTTAGTAGGCGGGACGGACGCTTAAGCCGGCTAAGCTGACAGTAATCTAGTGAGACTCCCCACAAGGATAGATCAATCTAAAATCTATGGAAATGGGGTCTTAAACTGTTAAATGAACAATGCTTCCAGAATTTTCAAATACTAATAGTTTCATTTTATGTAGCTGGTGTTTCAATCTTTAGAACAAGGTAAAAATAATTACATGTGTACTAGTAAATGAGTGTTGAGAGAAACTGCAACATTAGACTACATATATGAAAAAAAAAAAAACATTTAAATAAATTATAGTGCCTTTGTTTGATCATTTTAAAAACATTATTTCTACAGGTGAAAGAAAAAACACTGGGAATTTCAGCTGACAACGTTGAGAAGGAATGATAAGCACAAAACATTAAACTTTTATCACATTGAAGAAAAGACCATTTATATCCATATGGAAATATACCTATAATAAACAATGGAGAACCAGCATGGTTTCATAGCACGACCTTCCAGGCCAGGAGAAACCCACTTTACACCACCTCCCCAAATGTCATATCTGGACCAGCAAGGGTCAACATGGCGTCCAGCTCCATCTGGGAATCGAAATGGGACAGAGAACAATGTCATGCAGAGGTCCATGATTGGTCTGCCTGGCAATGATGCTCGAGAATATATTGCGGGAAGACCAGGGCGACAGCAAGATGTGATGTCACAGTCGGTGATTGGTCTACCTGGCAACCAGGCTCGAGAATATATTGTGGGAAGACCAGGGCGACATCAAGATGTGATGTCACAGTCGGTGATTGGTCTGCCTGGCAACCAGGCTCGAGAGTATATCACGGGAAGACCAGGGCGACATCAGGATATGATGTCACAGTCAGTAATTGGTCTACCTGGCGCTCAAGGCAGTTACACTGGAGCAGCAAGCCATTTGCAGGGAGGGCTAACGGGACCGGCCTCTCTTGCTTTTGAAGATCCAAATCTGAGGCAACGCTTGGTTGAAGCTCAGATACGAACCAACCGTAAAAAGTTTATTGACTCGCTGACAACTGGTGATCAGAATTATGGATTGTATCTTGACCAGCTTGTCAGTGCTGATGCTCCCTTGAAATCAAAATATCAGGAATTGGACATAGAAAAGTTGCTGATAAATAATGCCAAGGTGAGAGGTTTGCTGAATATTAATTTTTTTCTTGATATTTGATTATGATTTTGTTTTCAGAAAATGTCAGTGTTAAAAATTTTAATGAACATTTTGTTGCAGCAATATGATTTGTAACAGTTTACTAGAAAATATAATTTGTTTAGTTGATAAAACATAATGCACATATCCTTATTATAAATAATGTATCAAAGGGAATAAAGGAAGGAATTACTAGTATTTCCATATTGCTCTTAAAATAAATGAAATACAATTTGAAATTCATGTGACGGTAAACAACTTTTTTATTAAAATAATATATGACAACAAAATATTTCCAGGGGTTTCACTCCTGTTTTTTCATTTTATTTAAAGATGTTGGACACCAGTATTATGATGGGGGTTCTGTTGTCTTTTTGGTGATGCGGTTATTCTTCAATTCTTATATCATTTTTATGTTTGAATTATTGTAAGAAAACTTTATTTGAATGGTATGAATTTATCTGAAAAATAATATAATTTGTCCATATCCATTTTTACTTGTAGAGTCCCCAGTCATTGCAGCAGATGTCAACAGCTTTGGGAATTTTAGAAAAATATGGCCGAAATCTGTTGAAACCACTGGAGATTAGACCTGCAGTTTGGAGGGAGATCAAGTTTTCCAACTCTGTGTTCAGAGATAGGGTCCAGCCAATGACTGTAAGGATCAAGCCAGTCAACCACTGATTTTGCTGAAACCTGTTAAAGCAGACTTGAGAATTTTCCACAGAATTATAAGATTTTTAATTTTAATTTTGAAGGGATTTAGGGCTTCCCCAGACCCCCAGTGAAATAAAATTTGAATCCTGTGATAAATTTTCAGATATTTAAAAGAAACAGGCTCGGTTCTGTTAAAGATGTCATTATTGAGTACAGAAGGGTTGGGTGATGGCCGATATTTCTCATTCTAATATTTTTAAAAAAGGCACATTGTAAATCTTGAACACAACTTAGGCAACCACAACCAAAGTTGATTTAAAAGTTGACTAACAGATTTGCCATCTGTTTTTGTTCCATTTATCTCACGCTTTTGTTTTTTTTTTTTTTTTTAAATGCCTTAGTCTTAATTATAAAAAAGTTTTTATCAAAAACATGTTTAAATTATGATCTGTTTCAGTGTTCACTCCTCATACTCCAGCAGATGGGCTATACGCTGCAGGTCGATGATGGCCTTGCATACCCACAGGATTCTGAACCAGTCCTCGAAGACATTGCAAGACTGGTGGCGGAGTTAGTGTTGGCTAAGACGGAAATCGATTTATACAGAACTGGGCAGCACCCAATGAAACACAGGTTTGATGAAGTCATAGAACAAAGTCAAGGCCAAGGGTAAGTATGGTGTATTAATATGTATTGTGAATTGTTTGGAGTGAAACATGTAGATAAGAAGGTATTACAGTCATAAGTATTATAGCAATATATACAGGCCTGGCGCCAGCAATTTCAAAAAAGAGGTTTCTTTTTCTGAAAAAGTAGACCTTCTACCAAGAAAACTTTTGGAACCATGATCAAAGTTTATCCAGAGAGGACCTTTTCCTGCCTGTTTGAACATGACCCCCCCCCCCCCTTGGCTAGGGGACTGTTATAGGATAATTGATAATATTAAACTACTAGTAGATGATCAAATACAGATATAGAATAGGTGTTGTTATGCTATACTTGGTATATATGGTTGAAAAGGTATCATATAGTGTTATAACATGCTTAATTATGTATCCTAGCAAGATCTTTGGAAAGAGCTACTGTGACTTTCTTAAAGAAGGACATAGACATTGCACATTTGGGTGAAACTTTAAACTGGGTGTCCTAATATTATACGAGATGTAGGACAAATGATAGTATGGTTTGTACAAATGATAGTATGGTTTGTGAAAGGTCTGAAAAGATGACCTAAATGTATTATCTTGATATAGACCACTACCTAAAGTCATGTTGGTTGTACTGAGTTCATATGCAAAAATTCAATGTCATCTCCAAGATTCCAAATCATTTACAGGATAAGATTTGGTGAAAGTTTTTAATGATTAGCTATAACATGGAAAAACAATACATATGCAATATTCACATGACAATGAGGAATTACACATCATTTAATGAAAATAATATTAGGACCTTTATATTAAAAATAGCTTGATATTATCCTAGAAAAAAAAAAGAAAAAAAAAAATATATATATATATGATCTTCTCAATGGGCAAAATGGTCAAACTTTTCAGATACATAATTTTATAATCACAAAATTTTTATTTTTATATGGCATTTGTGGTGTTTTTACTGCATAGAATAGAATTATATTATAGAATAGCCTGCTTTTTAACTCTATTGCAACCACTCAATAGATATGCTCTAATTTATGACTTATGATTTGTGACTTAAAAAGTACAGTATCTGTAATATCACAATTTTCTCCCATTGAAAAAAAACAAATAATTAAGAGAAAGTGTTTTGCAGACAGCACTATATTATGAATATATACGGTTTTATTGGAATCTTTGTGCTCTCATTTCATTTTGCATGTCAAAATGATATTAATTTCTGGTCTAATAAGTAGAGTAAATTTAGCTTACTGTGGTTTATATGCTTTTTCTTTTTTACAGAGATTTTCCAGAGGCATTGTCAGAGAGGACAGAGATTCAGTATCCACCTTCTGCACAGAAGACACAGTATCGCCCACAGCAGTATCCCATGACACAGTCTCCTCCAGTACAATTTCAATCTCCTCCAACACAATATCAGTCTCCTCCAACACAATATCAGTTTCCACCAACACAATTTCAGTCTCCTCCAACACAATATCAGCCTCCTCAACTAACACAATTTGGAGCTGTGTCTCAGCAACAGCAGTTGGTTCACAGTGGAATGGGCAGGGTGAGTATGGCAGTCAGGTATTCCTTATTTGTTATGGCCACTTTTTGGTCATCTCTCTGTTTTCTTTTGAACTTCTGTTGCAGCATGTATATTGTTTTTGTGAATTGCCTGGATAAATATATATTTTTTGTATTTTTTCTCCATTTTATCTAGTAATGTAACACCCACATCATTTAAATATACTGTCTCATTTATCTTGATATCTCTTGTAAATAAATCCTAAGAAAAATCAATAAGGAAAAAGGAAGAAAATAAAGTAGGACAGAACTACCAATGTATTTAACAGAAAATTATTATGATCAAAGTTTCATTTATTTCCAATCACCACAGGCTTTACAGAGGCCGCCATCAGGTGAAAAATCAAACATAGGATGCTTTAAGCCTCCAGCTGCACATGAATACGTGAACGTGCCCCCGGTGCCTGTCCCTGCTGCTGGTAGATACCCCTCAGAGGGAGGTGGCAGCAGTGGAGGCAGAGGGAAAGGAGGAGGTGAAGGAGGAGTGAGAATAGACACGGCTGGATTGCGGCCACCACCACAAGGTATGGTACTATTGTCAAATTAATTGTTATATTGATGCTGTTGTTAATTTACTGTTGTTTTACAATGAAGAATGTTCATGTAGCAGTTTAGAATGAAATACCAAAATGAAAGAATTGTATTTGTTATGAATGAAAATTATGCAAGCTCAGAGTTTTATTCAAGGGTCACACTCACCTGAACTTGCTACTTATTGAATACCAAGTCCCAGTCATGTTATATACCCCTTTTCATATTTGGACCGCTTTGGAAGGGAAACAATTCTGAACAGTGGAACCTCATTTCCGAAGACTTTATGCTTACTGCATGTGGTTTTGTTTCAGATGCATCTTTGTGTTACTTATGCGGAGAGGAAATTGGCATAATTCGCTGTGATAACCAAGACTGTAATGATATGTTTTGTGAAAGCTGTGACCAATTATTTCACAAACATAAGGTGAGACAGGGCCACAAGCGAGTGCAGATATACACCAGCCCTGGCAGCTCTACTGAGACTGGACTAAGGTAGGCACACACACACTCACTCGCGCGCACACGCACAAACACACACACACACACACACACACTTGCCTTGACATCTCATATTTCTTTGATTGGTTTTTTGATAAAAGATTCAGTTTGCTCTGTTTTCATTCATATAGTTCTCAGCAAGAAAATCAGGCTTCTGCCAGTCTGACCAGTCCTGTTTTAAAAGGTCAGGATGCCTTGCCAAATCCAAGCACAAGAGTTGGCCAGAGTCCAGTTGGGACAGCCATCCCTGGAGGCCAAAATGACCGTTTGTCTCCAGGTTTATCTTCTGGTGCTTCTTCCCCCAGCTCCATGCAGAGTAGTTCACTTGCTACATCCCCCAGTGGTCAGATTGGAAGAAAACCTCCAGTGCCTGCACCTAGGCGGAAATCAACGGCATCTTCTACGTCTTCACCTGAGACGACCACTCCCCCTACACCTGCACCTAGAAAACCAGTAAGTCTATGTTAGATATGTCAGTGGAAATGTGTGTAGATTTAATATACACTATTGAAAAGGAGCAGGTTTTAAGTCACAGATGGGAAAAATTGCAAATTTAAGTTGATAGGTCATTACATAGTATTTTCCCCCCATATGTTGTAGCATTATTTGCTTGCATGAAACATTTTGCTATTTTTACTCCTATTTTACTCATGAGACTTCAGTTGAAATGAGGTTGCTTCTTTTCACACCTTCTTTTTTCTCTAGTGATGAAAAATTACAGAGAGAAAATGTATCACAAATGTGAAAAATTAGCATGAATTGGCCCATATATAATCACTGACACATATTAACTAAACATCACATCTGGCATTTTATGTAGTAAGTATCGAAGTAGCTGCTTTAAATTTTGTTTTCATTATGATTGAAAAAATAAAATGTTGCCCCACGCCTGATTAATGTGCTTGACTCTTCCAGAGACAGTCTGCCAGTGACCCCAGTTTAAAAGAACCCAGCAGCAATGTATCTCCTCAATCTGAGAAACTAGCCAGCTCAAATGTTACCAAATTATCAGTTTTTAATACAGACTACAGTGTTCAAGGTGGGGCAGGTGGACATGAGGCACAGTCTCCTTTCACTAAGACTGAAACAAATTTGCTGCCTGCAGTAAACAGGGCAGAATACATCATGGATGCCCAGAAGATTATTGAGGAACTGGAGGCCATTTCTGATCCAGAAAATAAGAAAACGACTCTGGATGCACGGCTCATAGCCATTGAAGAAGAGATGAAAGAAAAAGAAAAGCGCAAGAATAATATTATTAAGGAGTGCCCTGATTTTTATGACAATGATACATATGCAGTTCTCAACAAACTTATCATGCGGCTGCAACATCAGTACCATGAGCTGATTGTATACAAAGATAATTTGAAAGAGGCCGAACAGCAACAACAGCGACAGCAACATCAGCAACTACATGTTGGTGGGCATGACACATTGCCCCAGGGCAGACTTGGCGTCATTCCTCTTGACATTAAGAACCCTCCCTTGCAGTATACGCCACCCCCTTCTCAACCCTACACTTTACCACCCCCACCCTCCGTATCAGGGCATTTTAAACAGACCAGTTTGGATCCTGAGAGCAGCAACAGTGTCGACGACACTTACACCATCATGCGCCCACCATCGAATGGGAAATACAAACCTCAGCTTGGGGCCCTTACGGGGGAATACAGAACCACAGATGATGTGCACAACATGTACATCCAAATGGGGAACCCTCCCCCTGGCCCCACTGGTGTGAGCACACAGTCTGAGGTCACAAAGGCCTCCACACAGCTCAGCCAAAAGCAGTGCTTGAATTGTCAAACTCTGAATTACTTAGAGGCTCAGTGGTGTTCTCAGTGTCACCAACTGTTTGACGTTGAGACTACAGAATCTTTTGATGAGGTCAAACACCAGTGCCCGACCTGTCACAAAAGGACTGATTTCCGGAAGGAGTGTTGTGAATTTTGTCGCTATCCCATTCCGAAAGGTCTAAGGGACAGTTACTCCCCATATAAAAAATCTGTCACATTACCTAGATCTTTTCACATTCCAAACCAGCGCTCTGATGTTGTATCTGGTGCAGCCACCCTCCCCAGGGTACCCATAGAACACACAGTACCACCCCCTGGTGTGTCCAATCCATATCACCAAGGACAAGAGAAAATGTCAAACGTGCAAGGGGTGTCACCTGCTGGTAATCGCTTTGGTGGACAAATCTCCCCTCTCTCCCAAGATGAAAACCTAATGAGGGTGGTCCCAGGGGTTGAAAGACCATCCTTAGGATCAGAAAGATCATCCCCAGGGGTGGCAGCAACCCAGAGATTCCAAAGCCAAGGCAGCCTGTGGTCTTGCGAACACTGTACCTATCTCAATGAGGCAAACATGAGGGTGTGTGAAATGTGTAACAGGACCAGTGATAATCCACAGATTGTAGAAAAAGCTGCCCCCGAGAACACTGGCCCTATGACTCTGCCAGCCAGACCATATGGGCAGTCTGTTGGCCCAAGAAGTGGGGGTCAGGGTACTGGTCAAAGACCATTAAGACAGTCCCTGTCATCTCAGATCAGTAGTAGTAGTGCTGGTGGCCAGCGGTCCTATATACAGACTGACCAAGAGGTGGGTGGTTTATTCATTGTATTTTACTTCTTGTCTGGACTAGGAGATGATTTTGAGACATGAGATGATGGCTTGTGCTGAATAGGATGCGGTTTGAGGATTGAAGGATGATACAAGTATATTAATTGTTATGAACTGCATTTTTTAAAAGTGAAATTAAAAAATAAAATAATGAATAAAATTTCTCAAGAGAATTTTTTATTTTATTTTTAAATTGCCTTTCATTTATAGATAGCTGAAGAGAAGATCCGGGCACAGACCATGATGCTGCAGTTTGCCCGAGAAGACCGAGAGAGGGAAGAGCAGCAACGCTCTTCAGCTACAGATTTAGTTGGCCCTTCAACCGCTGCTCAACAACAGTTTGGTGGCTCAAAACCATCTACTGGACCTGGTCTTCAGGCTGCAGTGCCAGGAGGGGCACATGTGTTAAATTTGGAGAGTTCAAGCATGGAAAAACCATCAACAGGACAAACTGCTGGTGAGAATTTATTAGTATATTGTGTAGGTATAGTGATGAACATAAGTATACTGAGCAAGGCAAGATGAAACCAGGCAATTCTTTCAGTCTTGGTGCCCTACATATTATCATGTCTACAAGCATGTCTACAAACTGTTACATATTCAATTCCCTTGCTTTGCCCAGGTTCCCCCCCCCCTCCTCAAAATTCTGGATCCTCTAGTGGAGGTTTCAGATGAATTATCTTTATATGAAAAAAAAAACATATTATTATGCAGATGTTGCATTTTTATAATTAAAATATAAAGGTCAGTCAGTTAAAATATTAACCTCACGTTACCTGGAGGTCTGCTATGGAAATCTTGAGGATGGGAAGGTCAAGAGGGAAATTTCTGACTTAATTCCAAACTGTGGTTCACATTCCCAAAATAAGGTGCCAGTGACATTGAAAGCTACTTAAATACAATTTAGAGTGATGTTTTAGTATTCTAGTAAAATGATGTGCCACATAATATCATGGCAATTATTTATTGATAGTTGGAATTATAACATTTTTCCCAAAACAGTGTTTGATTTTGTAATGCTAAAAAATTATGATTTAAAAGTTTGGCTTCAGGATGAAAAGTATATCTTTATTAATGACTAAACATGAAAAATCTTGAAAAATTGATACAATTGTCAATGAATAAGTTGGACGTTCTAAAGTACTAATGACTGTATGTGATATGGTTTATTCCAGGAGCTAGACCCAAACAAGCAACACAGCTGGGGGTGTCGGGCCCTCGCTCTGGGAATTATGGAGGCGGAGATGATGTGCTGGCTGAGCTGGCTAAGAAGAAAGACCTGGAGGCCCTTAGGACTGAGGGAAGCAGTATTATAAAACTTTTGAGGGTAAGTGCGAAATTAACCCAAGCATTCCATCTGCCTTGTAGGGTAAAAACTTGGAAAATTTAGTCGGTCGTTTAGATTTTGTCAGAACTTGATTCTTCGCTGACATAATTTTTTCACTGAAAATTTTGTCAAACTTGAAAATGGGCCTCTCAATAATTTTGAAAAGTCCATTCACTAAAATAGCAGTCAGATTCATGCGTTTTAAAAGATTAATTAATTTATTTCAAAGTCTGAAATTTCAAAAGTTTTTACCATTAATCACTCAGTTACTTTGTTGAAATTTCTTTCAATCAACAGAAAAGGTTATTTTAATGCACCAATGCAAATTCTTGTTTACACTATCACTAGCCAAAAAATGAATTTTCCTGGAGTAAACAACAATTTTCCCATATTTACCAATGGTTAATGAATCCATTTTTACATTCAAATTTAGTCCCTGTTTTTTTTTTTATAAAAAGTTTAATTTTTCTGTAAAATCTCTTAAGAGATTTTAACAGAGTATAGCCATCAATGGAGGTCACATGGTCTAAAGACAAGCTCAGAAATCAGAATAATAGCTATAACTGCTGTTTTGTGGTAAAACAGAATATATTATATTTCTATGAGTTCTTCACAATGTTTTTATTGTGAAATATAGATCTCATATGAAGAGTTATTATCCCTTTAAGGACCTCGATGAAGGTGCCTACGATAGTGATGAGATTGACCTGGCTCTGGATATGAGGAAAGAGGGCCAGAACCCCAAGAATTGGTTGGAAGAGGACTGGGAAAGTATAATAGAAACACTGCTGGTGTATTACCAGCAGGCAGGAGACAAGATGGAGGGGGAAAACCTGGGTAGGCTCTCCAGTTTAGAGGCCAAAGCAGCACTGAAGAAGCATGGGGGAAATGTTCAGGCTGCACTGACAGAATGTATTGAATCTAGGAAGGAGAAGGTAGTCTAATATACTGACTTTGATGGGTTGTATTGTGTCATTTATAACTGACACTGGCTCCTTATTTTAAATTTAAATTAAGTCTTGTGTAATAAGGATACCTACATGCAATAGGATAACAAAATATTTTATTACCTGAATGTTATGGTGCACTCGACACAATGTTTGTCACATGGTTTTCGAGTTCCTGCACTTGTAGTCAGGCGACAAGAAGCACCACTTTAACCTTTTGTTATAATTACAACTTTTGTTTAACTTTGAAAGCTTTTATAGTAGATATGATAGGTGCACTAGACATTCTGCTTGTCATTAATTTGCATCAACATAAATATATTATTTGCACAAGTTATTGCAATGAAAAATAATGCTAAAAAGGTTTTGACGTACCCTTCATTTCAGTACACAGACCTGGCACATGGCAGTGAGTTCAAAAGGGAACAGATTCTTGAAGCACTCCATCAGAATAAGGGGGATGTGGAAGAGGCATTAAAACAGCTTAACAAGGAGGTGCTTCATCCGTTTTTAGCCTCAGTGTGGGCAGGAAGGGAAGAGGAGGAAAGGGACGAGATCGAGGGCACCAATAATGAGAGATCTATACATGATGAACAACATATTAAGGATGTGATATTCAACAAGGATGTTGATGAGGAGGTAAAATGATCACTGTCATGTTGGGATTTATTTCAAGATTTTATGATTATTTATTTCAAGATTTTATGGTGAACAGTAAGATAAATGTTGAGTTTTATCCAACCTGGAATTCATGAATAAATGATCATATTCTATGGTAATAGCGTCATGTCATGTCATGTCCCATGAAAGAAGCACACATTGATATGCCAAATGTGACACAAAATTGCAACAGTACGTGTCCAAGCAGGAAAAATCCACATTTTTAAGTTAACTGTAAGATCATACTAAATTTCAGAGACGTATACGTCTTCTACTTGTGGAAGGCAACTTACAGGGCTGGGAGAGAGGAAAGTTGGCGCTGAAGATTGCAGACAATATAGATGACCTGGAAGGGTCTCCTACATTGGAAGAAGTAGTAGATGCCTCCAAAAATAGCAATGGCACCTACCAGGAAGCCATCAAATATCTGCAGACAGAATGCATGGTCTGTTTTGAGAAACAACCAATGAATAGGGTAATGATTTGTTATTTCGAAAATTTGTAAAAAAAAGGATTTACTAAAGAAATTTTTGTTATATGTAAAATTAAATAGTTACTGAAATATTGTGGTTTTATATCTACATGAATGTCACTGGGTATATTAAGCATGAAAACCTCACAACTTTAATCAACCTTGTAAGTATATACTCAATCATAACAGGGACTCTCAAATTTTGCCTGAAAACAATAAATAAGCTACAGTACATTGTTTCTAGTACTCTTTGAAATTACTGAAAAATATCTTTATTGGGTGCTTTTTTTCATTGCCATCATAGATTAGAATACTTTTTGTGCATATGGCTGTAGCTTTGTGTTGTTTCTTATGTAATTATATTAATCGAACCTTACCTGATTGTACCTTATAAGTCGAGGGGGAATCAATAAAATAAAACCTATCTCTCATACAGATCCGCACCCTTGCCCTTTGTCACTGCTACATCTGCCGAGAGTGCCTGAAGCAGGGATTTGAGGTGTATATCAAAGATCGCCATGTGAAGGACTGGGTTTGTCCCAATTGTAATGAACCAGACATTGATGATGAGGATATAGCTTCAAGGCATTTCCAGTTTTTGGATTTGATGGTAAGAATGATTAAGAAATATAGTTGCTGCTTTTGCCAGGAAATATTTTACTTTAGATTCAGCACAATAATCGTAATTTAATTATTATGATAATGTGTATATATTCCCGATCTATTTTACCTTTTAATAAATGTACAATGCATCTGAACCACTCTAAAGATTTGTATAAGTTGTAGTGTCATTTTTTCTTTACATAGAAAACAATGGTTTTCATTAATAAATTCATGGTTACATAATTTTTACTAGTATTTATGGCTGTGGTATAAGTATTGAAATGTGTTTAGAAAAGCAGGGAAAAGAATGCATTTATTATTTTAAAGATGTGGAAAAAGATTTAAGTTATATAGAAAAAAGAACTCACACACACACACACACACACAAAGATTTTGAATAAGATGCTTTTGAGATAAAGATTTCATGAATCCCATTTCAGCTAGCACAGGCTTCAAACAACTACGCGTGCGCGAAAAGTGCGCTGTTTGAAATAAGCAAGTCTGAAGTTGGTGAAATTGACAAAGGCTGGCGGTGTTTACCGTCTGGTTGATTTTATTTCATTTGCTCTCTGGTGTCTTTTTGAAAACTTACATTAGAAATGTTCTATTGATTTTATGTTATAAAAAGTAAATCCGTTGGAATTCTTTATTTTACCTTCATTTTAAGAGGATTCCCATTGTATTTATAGTGTTATATGTGGCCCCAATGGGGAATTTTTCACCCCTCCCCCACTCTTAATTAATAAAATTCTTCATGGGCCAGATTGAAAATGATATTGCAAAATACATTCAAAATCATAGGAAGGTTAATTGCAGATAATGCTGCGAGGAAATTCTTGTGCAAGGGCAAACTTGGCCAATATAATTTTTTTAAACTTCGTCTCCCGGTTTTGGAGTGCCTGTTCTAATTTTTGAAAGCGAGGCAATGGAACCAAACAATACGATGCAATATGTAATCTCGTAAAGATTGCTATTATTAAATAAAGACCATAGCATGGAAATGCGACTCGTTTATTATTATGATCTTCAATAATAGTTTATATAAAATATACTATATAATAAGTTCTTGTTCCTGGCCTATTTATTAACTTAATTGATTTTTTTTTAATATTTGGAGATTAAAAACACAAAAGTTGTCTGGTTTCATATTGAGGCACCACATATTGTTTGTGTGCTATTTCAGCTGCAGAATTTAGTTGCAAGAGATGTTTATGAACTGTTTCAACAGAAACTGCGAGATTGGAACTTGATGAAGGAGGAAAATTTTAGATGGTGTGCACATGTGAGTAGTTCTATCAGTTATTCTCAAACTGACTGTAAAAGTAAAGTACTTGCATGGAATTGCAGTATAATGCAAATTTGAATGCAAAGCATTCTGAAAAAAAAATGTACCTTTTATTGACAGATAAAGATATTGTTTGAGGTTGCCATCAAATACTTTAACCCAGTCCATGTTATATCCTTTAAATAACTTATTTGTATTGTATTTTATTTGAAAAGTCTATAGAACATATTTTATGGAATTAAGACTAAATAAATAAATAAGTAAAATGAATGAACACATTGTTATTTGTAGTGTGATAATGGATTTATATGGAATCCTGAGGAAGGTGCTGCAAACAACCTGAAGATGAATTGTCCCAAGTGTTTAAAGGGCACTTGTTATGGATGCAAGAAACATGTATGTATCAATACCTTTCAATTCAAATCACCACAATATTTTCTGTTTCATAGCTTATGTGAGTAGGTGAAAGTCTCTCTTACAAAAATCAGGTATGTGATACTTGTGTTATTTTAAGCAAAACAGGTCCTGGACCATGTTGGAGATTTCCTTACAGAAAACAAGTGTAACATTATTAAAGGGTTAAAGTTGGAGGCCTTTTCTTCACAGTAAGTGATATACTATAGTGACACAGTTGAATAGGTACACATGGAGAGGTCCTGACATCTAATTATTCAAGTGGGGGACTTTACTGCCTTTCACAGTTTCTTCATGCACAAGGTCACCTGCTGCTGTTGGGGTTGGTTTATTAATTAAATATAGTAAGTTAATAGTGGAATGATCTACATTGCTTTTGCAGACCTGACAGATGGAGAAAAATTATAACTTTTTCACAATTTCTTGCAGTGGGAAGCTGCACACGAGGATCTGACATGTGAGGCGTTTGCAGACTGGAAGGAGTCAAACGATCCCGAGTTGCAGGCTCAGGGACTGGCTAAACACTTAGAGGAGAATGGCATAGGTGAGCCTTCAGTTTGTAGTAGGAGAAAACTCAAATAATAAATTATTATATAATCATTATGAAATATGAGCTAAAATTACAGTTCAGTTCTTTTATCCCACACTGATGCATACATATTATAGCCTTCAGGTTGCTTATTAATGTATTATTATATTGGTATAATAGACCCATCACACAAGAGAAAATAACAGTTGACATTTGGGTGCAATTATGCTATTTCAATTATGTTTGCCAAGCTTGCAGTATTTCAAAGGTTTTTACTCATTCAGCAGAGTATAAAATGCACATGTATGTCACGAAAAAGATGTGATACCAGTATTAAAACTTGAGATGTCTCTGTTGTTCCCCAGATTGCCCCAACTGTAACTTCCGCTATGCTCTGGCCAAGGGTGGCTGCATGCACTTTAAGTGTACGCAGTGTCGTCATGAGTTCTGCGCAGGTTGTTACCAGGCCTTCAAGAGAGCAGAGGTATGTATGTGTGATCACCATTGTATTAGCATGTTTAACTTTTTTATTAGGGAGTGGGAGGGAGGCACAAATTGCTTAGCAAAAGCAAATAAAAATCAGTACATGGTGTGTGTGTGTGTGTGTGTGTGTGCGTGCGTGTGCATGTGTTATAATTGTTATCTTCATCTTGTCACATTTTACATGTAAGAAATGGGGATGGTGTTTCAATTAAGTGTCAGAAATAGGTCCTTTAAGATATTTAAATATGACGTGCATCCTAGTCACCCTATTTGTGTTTTACGTGCAGTATATTAAAAATACTGCAGAATTGTAGTGTGAGCGAAGGGGCTTATGACACGTGCCAGAGTTCCTAATAAAACTTAATTATCTTCAACTTTGTGTATTACATGCAGTATATTTACAATATAATTGCAGAATTGTAAGATGTACAGTAAGTGTGCCACGTCTGGCCTACACTGTCACCACCCCAGAGACTGCCTGTTCTACCTGAGAGACAACTCTGTCAAAGATCTACAGAAACTGCTACAGGTAAGCTAGGCCAAGTCTGGTCAGTGTATTTTGTTTATATCAGTAATTTTCTGGTGCTTCGTGCTGTTTTTAAGTGGTTAACAACATTATTTGATAGCTGTTATGTACCTGTGGTTAGGGCTAGTAACTGTCATGTCTGAAGATTGAATGTACTAGTATTTGTTGGATTGCTTGATTCAGTTGGTAATTTTAAACTAGGGTCTGGTTAAGCAGTGTTATTTTTTTAAAAAAAAGCTGTTATTGTAGATTTTCCAAACTACAGTAAAGATAACCATGTGCCATGCACAGTGATGGAAAATTTCTGTAAGGCAGACAGTAAAACATTTGATTTACAAGTAACTGTTTTCTAGTAACACTAATTTATTTCCCCGTGTCAGGATAATGAGATACAGTTTGACACGGAGCAGCCGCCCCCAGTGGAGGGAGAAGAGCCACGTGACCGTAATGCATGTCGTGTGATGGAACAGAAGGAGACGGTTGATGGCTTAAAAGATGAGTTCTGTGGACGGCAAGTTCCCCCACGCTATGCTGGGTTGTGCGAGTAAGTATTTTATTGCTACTAGACAGGGACCAAATGTGCAATTTATTTTGACCAGTGTTAGCTGAACTTTCTTTGCCATGTGAAGACTGTATTCTGTGGACCATCTTGTATCTGTCTCCTCCTCATCCTCCACTTATTCTTTCTCCCCTTAAGTTTCCTTAAAACATGATTTTCAAATTGGTCATTTTATTCATGTATATACATGAAAGGTGAAGCAGGAGATTTCTTTATTTTTTACCCAAGAATACTGCAAACTGTTATTTAATTTGTTGTCATCAAACTGAAAATATTGTGCAATAATTGCTGTGTCCTTACAGTACAGTACGCATTCTCCCCACCTTACACATGTGGCAGTAACTTGAAAATATGATCATAGTTAAGTCTGAACAAATTGTGTTGAATAGATTTCTTTTTCTTTGGTATCAGCTAGCTGAAACTTCGTGAACTAACTCAGCCTTTGTATAACTTGAACACACTTTTAGGTCAAATAGTATACTGCATTTTTTTCAACTCTCTTGTACTTAGTATAACACTAAAACTTTAAAGAAGAAGATGAATGAAGTAGCACTTTCTCTTCTTTTTTTTTTATGTAAGCACAATATGGTAGATTCTGTAGTAGACTAGACAGCAAACAATGTTAAATTGTAACATTCAAAGCTGAATAAATTATTAAAAAATTATTATTAAATTAAAACTGATATTTTTTCTCCTCAGGATCCACTATAAGGAGTACCTTGTTAGTCTAATCAACAGACACCATATTGATCCCTTAATTATACTGTCACTAAATGAAATCAAAGTGGTGCTGGGAAGGGTAGACAAGCAACCGCTAAAAAGGAATAAAGGAGAGAAAGATCCTGACTACAAGAAAAGGTTGATAGAGGTAAGATGAATTGCTGATTGATTAAAAGCATATCCAATTTATTCTTAATCATGTCTTAATTTTATGTTAAAAGCATGTTTCATTAGTTTTTATTAATAAGTGGTATTTGTAGATGCTCTCTTTCCCTTGAAGAACTGCCCTTAATTGCCATATTGTTTTATTTAATTACTATATTATGTAATTTACTGTATCATATAATCCAAAGTAATCATAATGATTTTTAACTTTAAAGGCAACTTCAGTTTAACATTATCTTTAAATATGTATGCTGATTAAATGCCAAAGAATGCATATACAGAGAGATGAGATTTATTTAAATATATTAAGGCATAATAATAATAATTATTGTATCTATACCCTCTGCCCATAGAGCTGTGCACATTGAATGCTAGCATTTTTTAGGATTTTTTATATGGTAATTTTTCATAACTGTTACAAGGCTTTTTAACATGTAACTTTCTCTCCTTTACAGTTTGTTCAAAGAGAGGTCCCCCTCACCTCTATGAGACCCAGTCACAGGGCAAGATCCAGACCCACTGCAGTATGAAGAACTTTCTCTCAAGTTGTTATAAAATTTACTGAAACTTAATTTCCTTAAGAATAAAAAAAAGACAGATTTCCCAGCGAAAAGAATGAATTTAATTGTGGAAGATGACATTTTGGCACTTTCAAAATAATTGCATTAAAATTTTGTTTAATTATTTTACTTCTGCTATTTTGCTTCTGCTACCAACGTGTATGAAGTTGTGACAAATAAAAAGGAGAATATTTTTCCATTTCGTTGCAATTGATTCAGATCCTAGCTGTATTTTTATGCAGGAGTACATTTTAACTTCAGAAAAGGAATAGTGTAAGCTTAATGTGTAATTTTAAAAATTAAATAGACTTCTGGAAGTCTCTAAAAAGCATATGTGGTGCTCTGTGGTTAAGTTGCTGTTGACTCTAAATATCTTTATTACAACATGATATATCATAGTAATAATTATAATGTGTGTGCAATTGCATGGTGTTATTGTTATTTAATTATTATTGTTGACTGTCAAGAAGTAATTTTATGGGTTTCTTGCTTGTTTTCAAAAAATGTAATAGCCTACATTTGCACACTCCAGTAGTCATGTCACCATAACGGGGGCGTCTCGATAGTCCGAATTCAGGTTCATTGGTCCGAAAAGTGATAAAATTTTTATCGATTTTTTAATCAAGGGTTCATTGGTCGGAATGTACTATAGTGAACATTCGGACCAATGAACCTTAATTCGGACTATCGCTACGGCCCCACCATAACAGTATGAAAGTAAATAGTGTGCATTCATTCAATAAACTGAAATAATTCCCTACCTGTACCAGTTATATTTCTGTGGTGTATTCTCATTAAAACACCCACAAAATGAACTGATTTTACAAGGCTTAGGAAATTGAATTGTGCATTTTTGTATCTGTTTTGTTTCCATTTTAACACTTAAATGCGATTATAACTGCGAAGCAGCAATTTCAAATAAATGTTGCAGCAAGCAAACCAACGAATTTAACAAAGTTAAATGTACGTGTAACACCTTTCCACTTTCCAACACTGAAATGTGAAAATGTATCGTAAAACTGTTATATATATTTTTCACTAATGAAGCGAAAATGCGCTACACGTGTTATTCAACTTATTGAGAAATGTGTTCAATCAATTTACAGAATCAGAATCAGAGCTCTGTTAAATTGGCAGCTGACTGGCCAATTCCAACGACTCTGGCTGCACTGAAATACCAGAATCAGAATCAGAAGCTTATTGACAATCGCCCTACTATAGACATCCGGGCATGATCAAATACAAATACAAGAAGTAATCCGCAAAGTGATTACCATAAACAGTTTGATTTACATTATATAAACTTTTATTACATATTTACCGAGTGAATTCATTATTCACTCGGTGGGACCCATTTTCAGTGTATCAAACTGTTCAACTGTGTTTAAGCTACCCCATAAAGCACACGTACATGCTCCTTGCGCGTTTGTGTACATTTCAGTTTATTAGGTCTACGTACAGTCCTTTACAGTTTGTTCAAAGAGAGGTCCCCCTCACCTCTATGAGATCCAGTCACAGGGCAAGATCCAGACCCACTGCAGTATATGAAGAACTTTAAATTCTCTCAAGTTGTTATAAAGTTTACTGAAACTTCATTTCCTTAAGAAAAAAAAAAGATTTCCCAGCAAAAAGAATGAATTTAATTGTGGAAGATGACATTTTGGCAATTTCAAAATAATTGCATTATATTTTTGTTTAATTATTTTACTTCTGCTATTATGTTTTGCTTCTGCTACCAATGTGTATGAAGCTGTGACAAATAAAAAAAGATACTATTTTTTCCATTTCTTTGCAATTGATTCAGATTCTAACCTGTATTTTTATGCAGGAGTACATTTTAACTTCAGAAAAGGAATAGTGTAAGCTTAATGTGTAATTTTAAAAATTAAATAGACTTCTGAAAGTCTCAAAAGCATATGTGGTGCTCTGTGGTTAAGTTGCTGTTGACTCTAAATATCCTCATTACAACATGATATATCATAGTAATAATTATAATGTGTGTGCAATTGCATGGTGTTATTGTTATTTAATTATTATTGTTGACTGTCAAGAAGTAATTTTATGGGTTTCTTGCTTGTTTTCACAAAATGTAATAGCCTACGTTTGCACACTCCAGTAGCCATGTTACCATAACGGGGGCGTCTCGATAGTCCGAATTCAGGTTCATTGGTCCGAAAAGTGATAAAATTTTTATCGATTTTTTAATCAAGGGTTCATTGGTCGGAATGTACTATAGTGAACGTTAGGCCGCCTTAATTTTGGGGTAAACAATCAGAGAGCAATGGTCCCTCTTGATTTAGAGCGACATCTATCGAACATTTGGTTCTGGGGATTTCCCACCCTATTTTTAGAACAGGAAAATTTTCAACTTCAAGCGGGGGAAACCATAAAAATTAGTGATAATACTGGGGCAACACTGTAAAGTAAAGATGGCTCAAGCAACGCCACAGGTTTGTGATGTTAACGTTAACTGGGATAATCTATTGTTATTTTACGGAAGTGGTTATAGTTCTTAATTTAAGATTAATTATTTAAAATGTACGCTGTACAGTACGTACGATTAAAATTACAGTATGTACATGTACATACAGTATACACCTTGTACCGGTTTGGCAGGAATGTTAGTCTGCCAGGAACCGTAGTAGATCCCTTCACCATTACTTTGTACAGGTGGCATTTGTCCCATTTACTAACCCCAGTACTCCGACTAATCCTAAAACGTACCCAGTACACCTGTACTATCGGACCCAGGACTTTCATATTCCTGGGACTATCATTCCTGCCACACCTGTATTTGAGCTGTACATTGTACTGGCCGAGCTGATTTGCTGTCCACATGTTAATTCTTTCTTTCTTTTTTTGGTTCACTTATAGACATACATCTCAGTATGAATAAATTGATGAACTTTCGATCTATCTAATTAATTTAGACCAAAACATAGCCATCTTTTAAAGACAACGTTTGCTGTTTGCTAATTTTTCAAGAGGCCATGTCTGGAAATGAGTCTTGCTAAAGTTGCCCTTATTTTAAACCTCTCATCTTTTATCATCCGCCATCATGGGGATGCAGGAAAGCGATACAATGAACGAATATATATTTTGCGATTAAAACAATATCTGCAGAATGATATAAAAAGGTAATTGTATTAATTTGCTCATGGAATGAACAAATATGCCAGTTGTTTTGGAACCAAATTTTATGGTGAGTCTTAGCTGGTACCCAAGTACATCTCCTTTATACATGCACATGTACCAGTATTTTAATCCATGTTTAAATGTATTTTAAAGCAATTTCTCAGACATAATGATAAATGAGTACACTACTGAGCACTGTACACTGTACATGTATGTACAGCTAGTCCTCAAGATTTTTTGCATGAGATATACCTTTTCACTCATTACTTCCCAGTACTTCCCAATTGATGTAAATGTACAATGTTCATTTGTGACATCATTAACAAATTACAATAACTCAATTATTGGTATACTTAAGCAGCAGCAGCAGCAGACTGCCAGGATTAACCCAAGCCAAGGGTTTGGACTAGTCCATTCTTGCGACCTGACATATGATAAGATACCGATTGGAGCAGGAGGTTTTGGAAAGGTGTACCGGGCTCATCACAAAGATTGGGGAGATGTAGCTGTGAAGAAAGTTCTTGACACAGAAGTTCCTGAAAGGTGTGAGTCACTGACTTAAATGCTGGATCTATATTGACACAGTGTGATAATGATATCAGCATTTACATTTATGCCTGTGGTGGGAAAATTCAAAGGAACTGGGAGTTTTTTTTTTTCTGAAAAAGACTACCTTTTACCCCATGTACTCCCAACTTGAGAATTTCTCAAGTGGCAGACTGTAAAATCAATAGATCCTATTTTGATTCAGAGCAGAATTTTACAAGCATATTAATAACGAGGCTTCAATCCCCCTTGCCCCC